ACTCCGGCACCGTACCGTATACGGGGGCATCTCACACCCGAACTCTTATTGGAACCTACGGGTGAACCTACGGGTGAACCTACGGGTGAACCTACGGGTGAACCTACGGGTGAACCTACGGGTGAACCTACGGGTGAACCTACGGGTGAACCTACGGGTGAACCTACGGGTGTACCTACGGGTGAACCTACGGGTGAACCTACGGGTGAACCTACGGGTGAACCTACGGGTGAACCTACGGGTGAACCTACGGGTGAACCTACGGGTGAACCTACAGGTGAACCTACGGGTGAACCTACGGGTGAACCTACAGGTGAACCTACAGGTGAACCTACGGGTGAACCTACGAGAGTACCTGCAGGTGAACCTACGAGAGTACCTACAGGTGAACCTACGAGAGTACCTACAGGTGAACCTACGAGAGTACCTACAGGTGAACCTACGAGAGTACCTACAGGTGAACCTACGAGAGTACCTACAGGTGAACCTACGAGAGTACCTACAGGTGAACCTACGAGAGTACCTACAGGTGAACCTACGAGAGTACCTACAGGTGAACCTACGAGAGTACCTACAGGTGAACCTACGAGAGTACCTACAGGTGAACCTACGAGAGTACCTACAGGTGAACCTACGAGAGTACCTACAGGTGAACCTACGAGAGTACCTACAGATGAACCTACGAGAGAACCTAAACTAACGACATGACAGAGACACTGAGGTATGCAATATTTTAGGATAACATACCTATAAGATAACCTACCTATATTGTAATCTGATTATAAGGAACCTACTCATATAGTAAACTATCTATAATGTAACCTGCTTATATGGTAACCTATCTATAAGGTAATCTAACTGCACGGTAACCTATCTATAGTTGTCTGCCGATATGGTAGTCCATCTATAAGATAACCTACCTGTATGTTTACCTACCTATAAGATAACCTACCTATACGGCAACCTACATATATGATAACCTACTTATGGGTTAACTCCTATAAAGCAACCTACGTATATGGTAATCCATCTATAAGGTATCCTATCCTGAAGGTAATTGCATACCCGATGACATGTCCGTTGTCAACTACAAACATGAACACGGTTACTCCCGTATAGTAGGAGTTACCCGACTATGTCGGGGAACAAGGGGATCCGCTCGCCCCTTAAGCCACACACCACGAAACCGACCGGGTTGAGAGCCCAACCGTAAGGGCCGGTGGTATATTACCGAGTGTTTTGGTTTACATAAGTTAGTTTAGCTTAGTCCTAAATGTCAGTAATACCCCACTTCCCCTACAATATAAAAAATAGCTTTAGTTATTATTACTCTATTTGATATTAGTTATTAATTTTCTTAAAAAGAACAATTTTAAATAGTTAATGTAATAATCATTATTTTAATAAAACAGTTATTAAAAAAAAAATTATTTAATCTTATATAAAAATAGTTAATATTAAAAATAATCGTATAAACAATATTATAGATTCAAATAATAAATATGTATTTATTTAAAAAATAGTTATAGAATGAAAATGCACCAGTTAACAGATTAAATATATTTATTAAAATTATAATTAAATAAATCTCTATTTAAAAAATTAATTAAAAATCATTAAGAAAAAATATGAAAAGAAATCTCATCATAATTAAGTCTTGTAGCATATTTTATGAGTACATAGGCATTACTTTTATAAATTAAGGATTTTATTAGTTTTTATATTATGCTAATACTTAAAAAAATAATACAAATTTATTTTTCATAATTTGTAATATTTAATAATTAGTTATAATTTTTGTATCTAACTATAAACCTTTTAAATTATCTTTTATTTAGTAATACTAAAAAATTTATATGCTATTAATCAATTTTAATTAAAAAAATATTTTAAAACAGTTTTGTATAGTATTACAAACTTTATTTTATATAGAAAAATTAATTTTATTAATAAATTTTATTGCTTATTGCTTTGTAAAGTTTAGTTCACTGCCCATTTGACGTTTAATTCATAGATTAAAACGTTTCAATTTTATTAATAATTTTATATTTAGATATAAGCTATTAGTATTTATTTGATTCAATTAATTCAGATTAACATGTTATGTTAATTACTGTACTGATTATAATTTAGACAAAAATTATGTAAAAAATAAAATAATAACTGTAGTTTATAAGTAAATTATTTTTATACTGATAAATAACTAATTAGTCAAATATGTTCAAACAAAATATATTTTCAGAAAATATAAAACCCTTAATCCATAGACTTATTATAAAATGGGGGGATGTAAGACATAAGGGAAAAATAAAATTTAAACAATATATAGTTATATGTTTTACTTAAAAAACATTTCTCACATCTATTTATTTTGTTTATAACATGTGTTGTCCACTATAGAGACAACTGCATTTAACTAATGCTTTATATTTTATTCCCTATCAATGCTTATTTGACTCAAAAAACATAAACATTTAAAGTCATAAATCTAATACTTCCCGGGTAGCGATTTAAACCAAATTTGATTTCAGAGTAGAATAGATATAAACAAATAATAATTAATGGGTACAAACTTTGTACCACCAAAAGCTTATGAGTTACAGACCTCCAAATATGTCCCCAATGTTGCATCAATACTTAGTCCTCCAATGGAGTACTAAGTGCAACAATGAATCTGACCACTGATTGGTAAATACCGGAGCCATGGACTTCAACAGTATATAAGCAACTTTTAATGAAATCCCTATATGGGATACAGGATCATTATAAGAGATCCACTCATTGATGTTTTCCAAACATTTTTATGTATAACTTTTTATATATTAATAATTATTGTTATAAAACTAATTTGTATAATAAAATAAAATATATTAACTTTAATCATATATTTGTGTCACAATTCATTTACCACCATCAACACTACCATCAAAATCACCATCAACAGAAACAACCAATAGACTAGTGGATCAACTACGCGACTGCATCAAAATATTACAATATTATATAATATTAATAAATATAAAACTGCTAGTCTTATATATTATTATTACAATTATAATTATCAATACTATTATTATCTATGTTATTACTATTATTATTATTATTAATAATAATTATTATTATAATATTGTATAATTACTGTCAGGCAATGATGTATATGTATTGTGGCGCCGGTTCTGCCATCTATCGATGGATACCGACACCACATACATTAGGATTGTAAACGGGATTACTGTTTTTAGTCCCAACGGGACAAACCAGGAGTTCCGGGATTTAAAAGTTAAGGTTATAAAATTAAGGGATAATTACCCGAGTAAACCCGGGAATTATCACGTCTAAAAATAGTAGTCTATTATAATTAGGGTTAAATACTAAACGGAAATATTAGTGAATATTAGTGGGAACATTAAGTAGTAAATATAATGTCTTTGTTATTAATGGGAATATATTTAGTAATGTCTAAGTGAGGGGAACTTATATATTGTATAGTAGGGCTTGTGTGCACACGACACTCATTGGTGTCGTCTGCAAACAATAAGACCTATTGATTCAAAAGCATATAAATACTGATGTAGTTCTCATTGTAAAGTCACTCAAGTGTTGAGTTGGGACTTCGACTAGTCTGCACAATACACAGAGCTTTAAGAGTTCGGACTTCGAATAGTTAACTCTTAACAGTGAGCATAGGCTCAGCCTGGGCTGGCATGCCTTTGCTTTGCATCGACTTGCAAAGCATTGGTCAGCAGTTCCGGGCAGTGCAATTATATTGTTATGGATTTTATTTTACTATTGTATACTTATATTTTATTATTATTAAATAAACATTACTTTTAATTATATTGTGTGTACCATTTATTACGGATTACTTCTTCATTGTGTCAACTGTGAGATTGTTGAGGACTGATCGAAGTTGGTCCTCAGCAAAGATTGTTTACGGACAGACTTCGGCGAGATCTATCGCGGACAGATCTCGGGTTGTGTGTGTCGACTATAGTCTCGGGACTTAAAGCGGGACAGAAAAGACGGCAACACAACACAATATTATAAAATATTATTATTTCAAAATACAATTAGTTACAAATAAATTTTTTTTATAACATTAATATTTTAAATAAAAAATTATTTAATAGATATTATAAAAATTTACATCAATTATTTATAACTAGCTAAATACACTAGTAAAAATAAACAAATTAACAAATATCTTTTTTAAATAAATAATTAATTTATATAAATAATTTTTTTTTAGCATTGGAGTCAAGTAATCCAGCTTATTGTTTCAGTATTGAAAATATCTAAATAAATTTTACTAAAGTTTTAGATTAGATAATTAATTAAAAACATAATAAAATATTATTTAAAATTTAAATTTAAAAAAAAATTTCGGCGCCTTTGGTGACAAATCCACGTTTTTAAGCGACAAATTTTATATCTCGATCTTAGGGGGGGGGGTCATTTGACTTGACCCCCAACCCCACTTTGCTTTACTCTGGTTAATATGTAAATCATACATATAATATAAATTCAATATACATTATTTAGATATATCGTATGATTTATCATAATTATAAAATCTCATTAATTTTGTTGTTTTCTTTAATTTTACAGTTATACTGAAATATAGTGTACATAAAATGCTTTTTAATAATTAATTAAATATGAGTTATTGAAATATGAGTAATTATTATTAACAAACCATTATTTATACAATTGCTTAACTACTGTATATTTGAAAATTTATTAAACATGCAATTCATTACATGACTTTAATTATAATATAGTTTTATGGTTTTCCATTTCTTTTGATTTTGCATTGCATTATATATATTAAAAAATACTGTTTCGATAATAAAATTTAATAACTGAAAAATATATAAATAAAAGAAAAAAAAACTTTTTTTGAATATATTAGTAATTAATAAAATTATTTTCTTATTATTAAAAACATTGATATTAATAATTAAATTAAAACTTTTTAAATAGTTAACAATAAAATCCAATACAAAAATATGTTTACTATAAGAAAAGCCGTGAAAGAGGATTGTCAGTCATTGAGAATTCTTATGCAAGAATTTGCCGAAAATTACAAAATTAACGCAGATTTGGTTTATCCGTTGGAACAGATTGAAGAACAGGGATTCAGTGATCAGCCATCAAAACGAAAGTTTCAGGCACTGGTAGCTCAAAGTACTGACAGCAAACAACAACTTATCGGTTATATCCTCTATTTTATGACATATTCTGCATTTAACGGAAAAATCATTTATACGGAAGAAGTTTATGTCAATGCAGAGTATAGAAGCTGTGCTTTAGGTCGGTCACTGATGAGAGAGTTGGCTAAAGAAGCCATTCAATTGTCTGTAGGCACTGTTGAATGGGATTGTATAGACAAAAGCATAATGTTGTTTTATAAGCGTTTGGGTGGTAAAGATCTAACAGAAACTAATGGCATTCATATGTATAATCTTAATGGCGATAAACTAAAACAATTGGCCGATACAAGTGACTCGGATGGCGATCAATGTCTGACAACTTGTATTAGAAAAGCAACAAAAGAGGACAGTCGTATTTTAAGGCAATTATGCCAAGAGTTCACTAAAGAGGTCAATATTGTTAGAGATGTGGTCAGCCATCAAGACTTGATTGACAATGGATTGAGTGATGGGTGCGCTAGTAGACAATTGTTTCATGTGTTTATTGCCGACAGTGTAGACAGTGTAAAGCCGATTGGATACATATTTTATTGTCGATCATACTCTCCATGGTATGGCACCGGCTTCTGGATTCGCAACTTATATGTGCGGCCAGAGTACCGGCAAAAAGGTTTGTCTCAACATCTGATGGCAGCGGTGGCCAAACATGCTATCAGTGAGTTGCGAACGAGTTTATTTTGGAGCGGCTGTGCTAGCGATACGGTTATCACCAGTCTCTCTGTCAGATTTAAGGCCGACGACTTAACCGATTACTTTGATATTCATTTATTCAATTTGTCGGGCGATAGTTTAGCACAGTTAGCCAATAACTAAACTAAAAAAATACATGTTTTTATGTGCAACTATAAAATAAACATTAACTAAACAATTTTATAATATAATATTTTTAAATTATAAATTATATAATTTTATCTATATATATCAATTTTCTATTATTGATTATATATTAAGTACAGTATATTATTAATAATGCTTATACTATTAATAGTAAAGTATATAATAATTATTTTTAAATGTTTTAACAGTTTATTTTAAATTTATTTAATTGATATTATAAAATATTACTACAATATTTCAAATTACAATTAGTTAATAAAAATAAATAAATAAACAAAAAATTTCTATAAAATAAATTATTTATCTTTGTTACTAAATTTTTTTACTTATGTATTGCATTGTCCGGTCATTGCAGTGCACAGTCAGCTAATTGTTTGAGTGCCGGCCCATCAATAGCAAACAGACGGAGATCGTAAACAAGCGAATAGTTAATGGCACCAAATTGTTCATAAAAATCAATGGCCCTCCGGTTCCACGCATAACAACCCCAGCAAACTGTATGACACCGATCAGCAATCGCTTCCGAGGCCACTCTAGACATCAGCAACCGGCCGACACCCGAGCGCCGATATTGTGGCTTAACATAGAGCGTATCCAACCACAAACCTTTTCCATCGTTAAGCGAATAGTCATTATAATATATTGCAAACCCGATCAGTTCCGAGCTGTCATCTAGTTGTACGACCAACAGTCTGTACTGTCGACTGTCCTTATCATCACCGAATCCATCGTCTCGTAGTTGGTCGAGAGTGACCACTTTGTTGAGATTCATTTTTACATCAACGGTAAACTTGAGAATCATTTCCCTGACCGCCGGACAATCATCTCTAACACCTGTCCTAATTTTATATTTGATTGATTGCTGATCCACTGTTTTATTGGCTAACTGTGCGAGTTTATCATCTCCGCTAATACCAAACTTATGACACTCTAGCGACTCTTGAATGTCAACTGCGCCCAAGTTTTTATAAAAATCCAATGAACTGGTATTCCAACCGTAACATAACCACTCCATTGAAGTACATTCCGCATCGACACACTGTTTAGCGACCTGTGCTACCAGTGCACGGCCTACGCCACAGCCACGGTATTCACTGTCGACATACAGGTCCTCCATATACATACCTTTGCCCTGACTTGGCGTATAGTTTCGATAGTATAAGGCATAACCAATGAGCTCATTGTTGTCGCCGTCGCCACCGTCCAGTTGTGCCACAACCGTACGAAACAGCCGTTTGGCTAATTGATCGGCAAAACCGTACTCTTCTAACTGTTCAATATTGGGTAACGTCTCCAGCGATCGGCTTTCATATTTTGCCAGTCCAATGATTAACTGTTTCAGTGATGGACAGTCCTGTTTTGTTGCCTCGCGTATAATAAATTTTACATTATTTTTATTATTATTTCTACTATTGTTATTATTTTTGGTACAATGTTTAGTGTCGCACATGTTTGAAAAAATATTTATATATATATAACTATAAATTTTTGTAAATATTATATAGAAGTGTATAATAATCAATGAATTTATTAATGTTATACACTATATATTACTGTATATCGTATATAATACTGTATTATAAACATGTATATACAGTATATACTGTGGAATATAATGTAATTTAGTATTGCTGTTTAGTATACCGTATGTTTAAACCTTCATATAATGCATAAAAAATAATGACCCTGAACATTGAAGTAAATGATATTAAATAAAATAAATATACAGTATATCAATTGAAATTGTTAGTTTCATTTTAGATAGTTATCATCAATGATAATGATTATTTATCATTTATAGAAATTAATGTTATAAAAACGTTACCACATTGATTGTTTATGTATTTTATTATTAATAATTGCAATAATAAACTTAATTGATAAATTAAACATTAATTTCAATTAATTTAGGTACCAAATATTAATTAAATAATTTATTTATAATTAAACTATAACTATTAAATTTTTATAATACTGTATTTTCTCATATTTTATACTATTTATTTTTTAATAATAATATGAGAAATTTTATATAATGTTTTAAAATTTTATAAAAATATTTTTTTATTCAATTAAACTATAAATATGTTTGTTTCGATAATTAAATATAATTTTTTAAAAATAAATATTTTTATACTATTTTATTATAGTTGATAATTTAGTTTGATATATTAATAGACATATTATCAATTATTATTTAGTGTCATAATCAAAAGTTATTGAATAATTTTAACTAACGTTTTTTTTAATAATTATAATATATGATTACTGAAATGTAAAACATAAATTTATATTATAAATTATACAACAATTTAATTTTGTATTATAAATTTTATTTACATTCAAGTATATATATAATAATAATAAGATAATAAGATAATACAGTATAAAACTAAATATATAAATTTATAGATAAAAAAATAATTCATTAAAAAAACTCATACATAAAATATAAATATAGCAATTGTCAATATTGCTAATTAATTATTTGCAATATTCTATATACCGTAATTATTATTTAACTACTAATAAATATATATATATACGGTAATTGTAATAAAATTATTAAATCTAATAAATACCAAATTGCCTGGCATAATTGTATATGTAATACATATTATGTATAGTTAAAAACAAATTATTGGTATATATTTTGTATATATTATGAAATGTCTATTAACTTATTAACCCTAAAATTATACAACAATAATTGTAATCTGAGATTTTTTAAGTCAATTGTGTTATAGAATAAATTATAGCACAATTTTTTTATATAATAATTTCTATACAACCAATTATATCAGGCAATTAGGTTTATGTCAGAAATTAATTCAGATCTCTCTCTCTCTCTCTCTCTCTCTCTCTCTCTCTCTTTCTCTCTAACTATAAAAACAATCGTTTATAGTATTGCAGAGACTTTTGCTGAGACTCTTCGTAACCATAGATCGGCTCGTAATCCAAACGAAGTGTAGCTTTGGTACGATTGTAGAAGTATGTGTTGCACAGGTATCTGAGTGTCGGTTGTGTCAGACCTTTGGGCAATTCAATGGGATAGACGGACCACAGTAGCCGTACGGCTAGAACCACAAAATACATGACTAACATGAACAACCAGTACGGGTAGGCGCGGACCGATAGCTTATAGCCGCGCGACTGGACATACGGCGCCAGAAACTCAAACGGATCGAGAATTTGTGTGTCGTCGGTAACGAAAAACTCTTCGCCGGCCACCGATTTGTCCTCACGAAGCTTGTCTTTAGCCCGCAGACAGGCCCAGGCGGCGTTGCCCGCATAGGTTGGCTGTATTCTGACAAAAACATTGTCCAATTGGCGCAATACACCCGACTGTTGTTTGGTCAGCTTCAATACGGCAGTGATAAAGTGTTGGTCCTGTTCACCGTAGATCAGCGACGGTCGCATTATGATTGTATGCAACGAGTCTTTACCTATAAATACAAATATAATACAAATGAGATAAAAATATTTTTGTTTAGCCAACGATTTAGCTAACCGTTTGACAGTTGTCGACCATTGGCCTCTTTGACCAGGACTTCGGCATCGAGTTTGGTCTTAGAGTGGGCTAATATATGACGTTTGGGAACGGGTGTCGTATTTTCGGCGCCGTAATAGATGGGGTCGTCGCCGACAATGACGTCGGCACCGCTGACAAACACCAGATATTTGACATTCAATTCAACCATAGCGTCCATCAATATCTGTGTGCCTATCAATTTGTATAATTGTTTTTAAAAAATATATTTCACATTTTCGGGACAGTTAGCTAAAGTATATTAATTTTGTAATTTATTTTTAAATAAATTTATTAATGTAAAAAATAAATGTTGTTGTCTAACAAAAAAAACTACTATGATTTATGATGCCTTATTTTGTAATATGTATTTACAATGGTATATAAATTATTATAAATATATATATATATATATATATATATATATATATATTTAGTTATAATAATTTACAAGTAAAATATTGGACTTATACTGTATATTAAACACCGACATATAAAAATAATATGCAATTTCCTATTTGGCCTAAATTTGTAAAACTTTATACTATAGCATACATAACTAATAAGTTTAGATAAATAATTTACTGAATACTTCAAACCATATACAAGTAGTACTTGAAAATACTTAGATTTATGTAAATAATAATAAATTTTGTCAAAATACTGTATATTTATAGATAAAAATAATATTTATATTTTTTTAAATAAAAATAATTCTAACATACACTGTAGTAATAACACATTTGATTTATATTTAATAATATACCGGTATTTGTTTACACATAATAAATATATTAAAAATAATATATAACTTATTACTAAAAAAACATCTCCTATAACATACATGTATGTAAACACCTTAGAGTTATAATAGATTTGTAGTTTTTATTTACTAAAAATAATATTTTTTAAAAGATATATAACTGGTATATATATCAAGTAATGACTACCATATTTGACAGAAGCTTACCGTCAACGTTGACACTATTCATTGTTTTAACATCGGGCCAGAGGCCAGTGTCGACCACTGCGGCACAATGTATGACACAATCGACACCTTCCAGTGCTTTAACGACTGCCCTTTCGTTACGGATGTCCGCCGTAATGATAGTCATCGGCTTTTCCGTCTTGTGCTCTGAATATTTGTTACAAAAAATAAATTTAAACAAAAATTATTTGTCATTTTTGTTGTTTAAACTACATATACACTAAGCATATCATATACTATAATACAAATATGTTTTTAATGAAATATATAACAAAAATTATTTTTAAAAATTTTATATACAGATTAAAATAATCAATAATAATAATTATCAAAAAAAAAAAAAAATTATTTAGTCTAATAAATAAATATAGTGAATTTAATGACTTTAAATAACAACAACAAAATTGCTATCATATTTTTTTATGAAAATTGAAATGTCATTTCAAAAAATAATTTTATAACAATAAATATATAATTTATTACTAAAAATAGATTGTTATATATACAGTATAAGTTGATTAATATAAAATTAAAGTAGTTATTATAAATATAAAAAATAAGTGCCGGGTAGTTTAGCTAACTTGTTGTTATCTAAATTATATACAACAATTTATTATAGTTTATTTATTTTAACTATAAAAACAAAAATTATCTAGCAAAGTTATATATAATTTTTTAATTTAAAGTTAATTTTTTTATATACACAAAAAACTATTTGTCGACAAAAAATATTTATTAACAATTATTTTGACACAACAACAAAATTGAGGTCACAATATATATATATTATTAATATATAAGTTTGAATGTATTGCTTACGTAAATTGTTTTGATAGGGCTTTATATCCAAACATTTTATCTCTTTGACCGACTCGTCCCGTTCCTGTAAATGTTTGACCAGATGTTGGCCAAGACAGCCGCTGGCGCCGGTCACCAGAACTACCTGTTTTTGGTCGGCAGCCGCTGTCGACACTTCAGCCATAACTTTAACTCACTAAATGGTGTCTATGTCTTAATAGAGGGTATCTATGATTTGATATGATATATATGTGTGTATAGTAGGGTAGGAACTAAAAGCTCAGTCACTCGTGAAGACAATATATCATATACTAAGTTATAAGGTGTTTGCTATGTGTATGTACTGTACTCTATGTTTGATAGAGAGGACAGACACACAAATATGACTAACTTTACTAATTTATTTTTTTTGCAATAAATAAAAAACTACAAAATATTACATAATATTACATAATGCCTACATATCATACATGTATACTATTTTTAAAATTTTTTTATAACCTGTATATACTTACATAGTAGTACCTCTATTATGTAACTGACCTTGTGAGTATAAGGTTGGCGACTAAAAACTAGTTTTTTATAGTTATTATTATTATGAAATAACAGGTGACAAAAAATTAGATATTAATTAATTTAAAAAATGTAAACTAAGTGTATAGACAAGTATATTATATTTTATAATATTAACTTATGTTAGAAAATTGTGTATGTGTTAATAAAATAAATTTCTAAAAATAATTAAATTAAATTGATTTAAAAAAAATTAAACAAATTAATTGCCAACCCTAGCATAAAGTTTAGTTTTGCAAACTGTATACTATTATAATACAAACTTTAAATTTTAATAAACATAAATAACGTATATTAAATATAATTAAATCCCTTAATTAATATTAGTGTAAAATATCCATAATTAATAGCAAACCATTTAAAACATTTTTGATTCAATAAAAAAGAGTTTATAAATGTCGATGACGTTAAATAATTGCAAAAATACAATCGCCTCTCGACTTAATATACATTTTACAAAATAGCAAAAATTAACATTTTTATATTGATATAAATTGTTAATTAATTTATAGATCAAATTACAATAAAATATTGTTATTAAAATCATATGGTTAATAAACATTAGTTTTATTAAATATTATTATTTAAAAAAAATAAAAAATTAGTTAAATTTCTATTATTTTCATTATTAGTTGTTAATTATAAAATGAAAATAATTTTACTAATTTAACTTATTAATTGAAATATTTTTATCATAATTACAATTTATAAGATTCATATAATTTAACATATGATTAAATAACTTGGATTTTATTTTATATTTAATATCATATATTATTAGATTTTGATAAAAGACTTTAAATAATAATAAAAGTTAGTTTATTTACTGTTTAAAAATAATTAAATGTTAAGAATTCAACATTTTTAAAAATCAATTAAATATATTAATTTTTCCTAAAATTGACTGATTGTTAGACATTTACTATATGTGTGTTATTAAGCAAATAATCTAAATTCACATTTGATATAAATTGATAAGAAAAAATTTGGATATTTTATTTTAAACTTAACTGTTAATTATAGTTATTATTTAATTTTTCTCAATATTAATATACAATATATATCTATATATGTATAAAACTAGAGTAATACCTACAGTATATAATAGTTTAATATTTTTTGTTTATTTGTCATTTTTCAATAATAATAATAAAACTAAATAACTTAATAGATATTGTTATGAGTTAGCGTTAATACAGTATATAAGTTTAAAAATTTTACTATAATATAACCAAATGATTATTTAATTATCAAATTTATACTAATTATCAAATATATACTAATTGTAAGTTTTTTTTAGAAAAAAATTGATTAAATATCTAAAAGATTTTGCTTAAGATATTTACATTAAATATCAAAAACAATACCAAATGTTAAAAAATTTCTATTAAAATACACTAAATTATCAGTATAATTTATACATGTATATTTAAAGTAAAACTAAAAGTTTAAAAAAAATTAATTTGAGTAATTTTTTTGTTAAATACCTGATAACATACATATATATTAAACTCAATACATTGACAATATAGTTACTATATTATAGTATAAAAAGCTGAAAAATGTCTTCAAATTTTTTCAGATAGTCTCCAGCTTTTAATTATAAGACATTAAATAAAAAATATAATTTTAATATAATTTTTTTTAAAAAATAATTTTTAATATAATATTTTTTTACTATAGAATTAACAAATTATAATAATTAATAATAGTTTCAAAATATATTTGAATTAAATAAATTTCTAAAAATATTTAGTTTTAATATAATAGTATTTTTATTATCAATTGTCTTAAATATTAAACAACAACAACTCACACGACTATCACCAACAACTACAACAACAATACGATGACTTCTTCACCGAACCTATTGTTGACAATTTCCGATTTAAGTGATTGCATAATGAATCACTTGAAGATTAAAGTAGACAGACCTACACTTGAGACGATGCTTCTCAACAAACACTCGGCCGTCATTACCGGTGACGACGACGACGTCGACAGCAGTTCGTCGCAGTTATCTGTGGCCCAGAAATTCTTCGTTAAAGTCAGCGAAGAAAGCGAAGCCATCATATCTTATCCACAATTGGAAAGACTTCGATCAATGCCACGCAAAGAACCCGAAGTTTTGGTATTCGGATCGGTTAATCAAATCTATTTGGCCAAAGAGCTGATAATGCGTACACTGGATCCGCATCGTAACAAAGTAACACTGAAGATAGATGTGGCCCATACTGATCACTCGCATCTGATTGGCAAAGGAGGTAAACGTATTCAACAAATAATGGACTCGACTGGCTGTCACATACACTTTCCCGACGGCAATCGCAATGTGGGCGAAGAAAAGTCCAATCAGGTTACTATTGCAGGTCTTAGCTTTGAACAGACCGAATTGGCCAGAGCCCAGATCAGACAAAATTTGCCACTAATTATCAGCTTTAATGTTGAGCTAACCAATGTTGGACTATTGGATATGACAAATCCGACTATGAAGTACATCCAAAGCCGCTACAGTGTTATAGTCTGGTACAAGATGTCTGATAATAGATCTGCGGCCGCGGCGGCAACAAAAACTAGCGACAAAATGGTGGTCACAATTTTTATACGCGGCACACGGCAACTGTTTAATCAGCTCCGTGAGGCGGCACTCAACGTCTATCAGTATCTCAATTGGACACCAATCGGTTTTAACAATACTGTGGTTACCATTTCAATCGATATCGCTGCCCAACATCACGCGTTTACCGTCGGTCGTAATTCATCAAATATACGCTCAATATCTGATATGACGGGGGCAATCATAATCTTTCCGCAATATGATACCCTTGGTACTCCTAGCAAAGTGGCCGTACCGAAAACAACTGTTTTGATCAAAGGTCGCGGCTTAGACTCGGCATTCACGGCTTGGCTTCAATTGTTATCTTACTTACCTGTATTCCTAATATTTGAGCTGTCCGAATACCAACAAGTCGATGGCAGTCTGGTCACGGAATTGGCAGCCAATCAAATGATATCCGTAATGATAAGACCTAAGACCAGAACCAATGGCAAAACGATTGTCATCAAAGCTCACGAACGAAACGTTCATTTGCTGTATGAGGCGCGCAATGAGCTGATGAAGTCAAAGATTGTGTCACCGGTCAGAGTAGCCGCCAATGTTAAGGGACAGACGGTGGCATCCAATGGTTTGTTTCCGGTCACTACTACACCACCAATCAGTCAGTCGTATATTAATAATTGTGGCCTGACTTCAGGATCAAAATTGTCAAATTTGTTCACAAAATTTCATTTGCCTCATGATCTCGATATTGAAGTGATGCGCGCCGTAACCAAAACCAAAGATAGCAAACAATCATCAGATGAATTGATTGACTTTGATTTTTTGATTAATTGATTCAAATAGGATGGATGGATGACTAGGCATTATCTATAGAAAACACTACTAATTTTATTATTTACTCAGTATTTGTTTTTTTATATAAAGAAAAATATTTTAATTTAGTTATTATTATTATATTAGTATATATTTATGGTATATTTATCTTATTGTGATTTTATTAGATATAAAAATAAAAAGTTTTTAATAATAGTTTCTTTTTTTGAACGTGTTTGAATGTTTTAAATATAATTTGGTTTTTATTTATTTTTATATAAATTTTCATTAAGCGCGCGTGCATTGATGATTTAAAAAAAATAACCTAAAAAAATACAAACTATAAAATTTATGGATAGTTATCCGGTTGTTGGTCGCTATTTTGACGACAGTGTCGTTCCCCACGATATCCGCGACTTTACCATAACTTTTGCCACAATTACGACATTTTTGTCGATATATAATCTATGGTTTTATGCAATTGGTTTTGTATTTTTGGCCAAAAAGAAGCAACAAAATCAGCTAACAAATCGTCGGCACCGGGATATCATTGGCAAAGAGTTTACAGATAACAGTACTAATAATAAATGGCCAAAATCAACAAGAATTGGATCAGTCTATCACAATCATTATCGACAGCATCGGTGCTGTTTCTGTGACGACAATAAACAGCTAACCTATAGATTATTGGCCTCAAACTCGTTATACTATTCGCTGAAAATTGTGGCCAATTTGTTGGCACTAATAGCCATAATGTTAAGCTATAATCATTGGCTGTATTTTATATTCATTACCGTCTATCTGGCCGTAGCCATCATTACCATTATAACCGATTGTAAAAAACTACCGGACCTTATAGGTTATGGCAATACCATCAATAACTGTTCATTTTTTATACTCATTAATACCAATAATTGTTTGCATCTATTGATCCAAATGCCAACATTTTGTCTCATAAGTGTCTATACATACTATTGGGTGATAAATGAAGACTATTTGTTTAAATTGTTTAAATAACAGAAAATATTTTATTACTTTGTTTCAATGGAAAGAAATCAATTGTTTATAATATTTAATAGTAATTTTATTTTTATTTCAATAGTATAATACTATATTAATTTTATTTTTAATTTTATTAGTAATAAATTGATTTAAATAATTTATATATTAGATTTAATCTAACATTTTTGTGCAAATATATTAATATATAATGAAATGTTATGAAACAAGTTTTGAATTAATATATGAGTTTATATAATAGTAAATTAATTTTTTTAAATATATAATTTTTGTCACTAATTCCAGTTTATGTAATCAAATCAATTAACAGTAAATTAATAATAGTAATTATTATCAATGAAAAAAAACAATTTGAGATCAAAAAAAAAAGAGAAATTATGTATTACTTAATAATACATAATTTTTTAAATACGTTTTTGACGCACAATTAGATCCGCACTGTCATTATAACGCAACTCAATGACAAACGGCTGGACATGCAATTCGTCGTCGGCCACAAAGCCGTCATCCCTTACTATATAGCGGTCGATAGTACGTCGGGAGCCGTAAATAACTCCCCTTTGGCCGTAAGCGTTAGACAACATTTTTTCGTCTACCTGTGCGCCTCCCAGTACTTTCAGTTCGAGTTCAACGCTATCGTCGTTACCAATACCGTACAATCGGAGCCGATTTCTATCGGTCATAATATGTTGCTTATAGATGAGTATCTGTTCAGTAGATGGTATTCCCTCCAAGTAGTCAATCTGGCGTTTCAACTGTCCAACCGTATTGTCGGCACCCATTCGTACGACGATAACTTGTTTGCGACTCAACTCGTTCACAGTAATCATATACTTGACACTGACGTTGATCGCCGGTCCCGACGGTACCAACATTTTTTCAGTTTCAATAATAACCTTCAGTCGAGTTGAGAAGTGTCGGGACTGTTCCTGAGTTACGCCATAGCGTGTGGCCCGAGATTCGATGATGTCGTCGATGTCGTACAGACTACCGCCGGTAAAATGCAAATGTTTGCCCTCGGATTCAATTGTCCGATGAATATATTGATTGCCGCGTCTGAGAAAGCATTTCTTGGTAATGGTTGTCAACGATTGGATAGTATAGGAGATATTCTTCGAGCTCATAACGTTGTCCATTTCGATCTCAAAATCGGTATCATCGTCGGTAAACTGTCCAATGAAAACGCCATCTTCGGCACCGGCATCAAGTTTGACCATTTTGCGTATACTTTGCAACCGATTTACTTGTCTGATACGAAAACGTGTGCCAAACTCATAGCAGATCCAATCGTTTAGCATAAACGGCATCACAACCACCTTTGAAACCTATATGATATGTGTTTATGATTATAATATATGATATATATATCTCCACAAAAAAATCGCTTACAATTGGTTTGTTGGTGTCCACCACAGCATCGGTATTAGCGGCCATTTTGGTGGTCAACAACAAACAATCACCCGAACTGTTCCCAAAACAACAAAATACAACTATTAATAATAAAATGAAGAAGAAATTGGCAGAAAATGTTTTCTGAAAAGTCTATGAAATAAAAATGTTTTCCCAAAAAAAAAGTATTGAAATACTTTTTTTTTATTAATTAATACAAAATAATACTGTTTTACATACTATTGGACACTAAGTGCTAACAAAAAAAGTCGTGCAAATTGTGTATCAAATATCTGTTTTAATGAGAAAAGGATGTGAAAAATAAAACATTGAAAATAAGTTCTCTCCCTTAACAACGATAAAGTTCCCAATAAATATTATTAAAATTAAAATTAAAGTTTTCATTTTTTTTAATAATCATTACATTTCTTAATACTGTATAATTGATAAAAATACAATATAATTTAATCTACAATTAACAAATTTTATACTATAATAATAATAACAATAAAATAATAATAATTAGCATATCATATACATTGTAGTAATGTATCTGTAATTTCTATTATAATTATAAAAGTTTATATCTTTATTACAAATTTTTTTTTTTATATATATAAAATTACTACAGTATTAATAGTCATATGTTTATTTAAAAAATTATTGTCTACTTATTGTTGTTGTTGTTGTTGTTGTTTCTATGACTATTATGTTTTGATACAATATTAATTTAATTAAATGTAATATTGAATATCATATTATTTATTATAGGATACAATGATTCAACAATAAGTAAAATTTTAACACATAGTTCAACAAACAAAATAAATAAATAATAATAAATACATTACTAAAATACTGTACATTAATATAGTAACTTATAATATACAAACTTTTTTTTTAAAAAAAAACTATTAATATAAAGTGTTACATCAATTTAAATTATAATATTAATAGTAAAATAGGATTAATTGAAAATATAACTAACTTTTCAAAAAAAAACTTTTGCAATTTATTTTTTTAAAAACTTATAAATAATTTTTATCCCAAGTATTTTTGTGTATTTTTTTTTGTTTAATTAAATTAATTCACAGATTTTAATTGTATTAATTAGCTCACTATTATGATTTTATTAGGTAAGATAGATAGCAAGGTTTGGTGGATTAAATTTCAATGGGTTAGGGAGGGTGGGTAGAGTGGGTTGGTGCCCACTGGGTGGTTATATAACATAAAATACAAATAAATTAATAGTAACCAACAACAAAAATATTTTAGTAAATGATATCATTAACTAAATAAAATGATTTTTGTTTTTTATAGAAGAATTTTTAAGATAATTTTAAAAAAAAAATATTTTTAAATAAAAACTAAAATTAAAAAAAAGATTATTATAAAAATTTCTAACAAATATGAACGACGGTGCTGTCCAACCGACAACTGGAGGACTGTTGTGTCCAATATGCGACCAACCGGGTACACCCGATCATCCATTGTTGTTTCTGTGTGGCTGTAATCGTGGCTATCATCCAGAGTGTGTTATACTGACAATTGTAACGCCGGCGGCAACGGCACCGAATCCGTGTCCGTATTGTAACGAAGACTTTCGGGATGACTTCGGAGAAGTCTTCACAATCGCTTCACCATTCAATCCAGAGGTATTAAGACGGATATCTATTTACGGTACGATTTGGGCGCTCAGTCTATGGCTGTCTTATAATATGCATCACAAAGTGTTTGATTTTATGTCGTATGCCACATATCTAGCACGCTTTCTGGCACTGGGAGCTAACTGGTACGCCGACAATCAACTTCGGCCACTATCGTCACAAATCGATTGGTGGCTACCAGTAGAACCCGGAGAACGTATCTATACGTTTCGCGACTATAATCCGGACACACAGCTACCAGAGCCGGGCAGACGCTATCTGTTTGATGTACGCCAGGAACGTACGGCTCATCGAGAGAGTAGTCAGACAGCTGCCCGACAGATCGCCCGCAACCGACTACTTGAGGAGCGAATCAGAGCCGATATTGCATTGGAGTTCGGTATAGACGATGTTTACAACATTACCGAAGACCAGTTACCGGCGTCGGTTGAGATGCGCGACCAGTTGTACAATAGGCTAATAGAGTTGGAAAGGATATCGAAATCAATAGAAGAGATTCAGCGAGTGTTTCCCAATCTTCAATGACGACAGCACCGGTAGGTTGAATGAGAACAAGTAGATAAATTAATTAAAAAGAAATTAATAGTAATAAAATTAATTACTAGTAGTGGTAGTAGTAGTAGTAAATTAGTTATTATAAATTGTTTAATGCTATTAGGGTCGGTATGTATCTTTGTTTTATTGCAATTATGATATTTGATAAAAAAAATTAAAAATTTAAAAAAAAATATAAATTATATATTATGTTTAATATAAGTTTTAATTATAATTGCTTTAACGGTATGTATTGGATATAATTCATAGTATTTTAGCTTTAGTTACCTTTGATGGTATGTAATATAAAAGCATTGGATAATTTATTAGCTATTTTTCATCTCATCATCAATTTTTTTGACATAAATAAATTTACAATAAAAGTTTTACTGGTAATTATTTCTATATACGATATATACAATATATTTAACAATCAAATATAAATTTCTAATATTTGATTAAGTTAGTATTGGCATAACATTTATAGGTATCAATGATTACACACAAACACTATCAATGATGTATTAATAGTTAAAATACTGTCTTTACATCAAATATTTTATATTAAATTTTTAAATTTTTCTTAATTATTAACAATTAAAATTTTCTCTTAAAATAAAAATAAAGAAAAAACGCAAAAAACTCAAATATGAGTGGCAGAGGACAGTCATGGAAACCAAACTTACCGGTAATACAGGAAAAAAGCCATGAAGAAGAAGAGTTGATCGGAGCAGTAGGCGGTGGCTCAGATGGCGGTGCTGTACAACCAGTGAATGGGGCAGAAGCAGCCATATGTACCATATGTCACGAGACGGGCACTGAAAACAATCCATTGATACAGGTATGTGGTTGTCAACCGGGTTATCACGAAATGTGTGTTAATGTTGCAATCGTAACACCGATCTATATGGCGCCCAATCCGTGTGCATATTGTGGACAGCCGTTCAGACACCGGAATCTCCGGCTAACTGTTCCCTTTCAACAGGAAGACTATTATACAACAATATTGTTTGCCGTTTGGCTAATAGAAATCTTGTGCGTATTTATCGTACCAGTGTATCCCTGGGAAAGATATCATCTGGACTTTATCCAGCCCAGCCTCTACTGGTTAGCTCAGATATTCACTGTCGGTGCCTACCATCTTTTTGGCGACTATTACTTTGATCCCGATTGGCCACCAATGCGCAACCCTGACGACCAAATCATAACTTTTCGCGGTTACGATCCGCGAACACGTCTACCGGACCCGGGACGTAGTCATCAGTTGAATTTGATGACCGAAAGGCTTGCCTACTGGAACCGACGCCAGCAGTTGGTCGACCGGTTGCTATTAGAGGAACAAGTGGTGACAAACATCCAGAACGCCATCAGAGCTCAGTTTGGTATCGAAAATATGGATGAAGTGACACTAGAAGACTATGATATGAGTAACCTATCGGCTGAACAATGTAATCGACTTCGGGAACTGTTGGAACAATTGAAACAGTCATTGAACCGACAAAAACAACTGCAACAACAAATTAGGGAATAAAAGTTGTGATGAATTTTAATTAATTGGTATTTTTATTTTAATAATATGATTATCGGGTATTTTTATCCATACAATACAATTCAAGTTTTGCAGGTAAAATATTTTACTTATATACACAATATATTTAACAATAAATATTTAATTAATTTAATAATTCGAATATTGTCTATAAAAAACCATTTATGGCACTTATATTTCAAATTGTGATTAGTTATTGAATTTACAACAAAAAGATAACAAACACATATTATTGTAAATAATGTATTAATATAGCAGACTATCTAATTTTATACCGTATTATTAAATATAAATTTTAATATTATTTTTTATCTAATTCGTAATCAATTAATTGCTAACAAAATATACAGTTAATGATTAGACAAACAATATAAATGATGTAGTTATATAACAGACTTATGATTTTATATATTTTTAAAAAAATATTAAAAATTAAAATTATCTCTTAAAATAAAAAGAAATTCAAATAAATCTCAAAAAAGTCCAAATATGAGTGGCAGAGGACAGTCGTGGAAAACAAACTTACCGGTAATACAGGAAGAAAGTGACGAAGAAGAAGAAGAGTTGATCGGAGCAGTAGGCGGTGGTGCAGATGCCGGTTCTGTACAACCAGTCGATGGGGCAGAAGCAGCCATATGTCCCATATGTCACAAGACGGGCACTGAAAACAATCCACTGATACAGGCGTGTGGTTGTCAACCGGGTTATCACGAAATGTGTGTTAATGTTGCAATCGTAACACCGATCTATATGGCGCCCAACCCGTGTGCATATTGTGGACAGCCGTTCAATCACCCAAATCTGCGGGTAAGTGTTCCCTTCCGATTAGATGATCATTTTACAACAGTGGTGTTTGTCTTATATCTAATCACAATTGTGACCCAATATCTCATACCATCGTATCCCTGGCAAGAGAATAGAGATCTAGCCTTTTTACAGGCTATATATTACTATTTGTTTCAGGCTCTCAATGTTTATATGAGCACTTTATTTGGCTATTTGTATTTTGATCCCGATTGGCCACCAATGCGCAACCCGGACGACCAAAATATAACATTTCGCGGTTACGATCCGCGAACACAGCTCCCAGACCCGGGACGTAGACATCAGTTGAATTTGTTGGCTGAACGAAGAGCTTACTGGAACCGACGCCAGCAGTTGGCCGACCGGTTGCGCTCAGAGGAACAAGTGATGACAAACATCCAGAACGCCATCAGAGCTCAGTTTGGTATCGAAAATATGGATGAAGTGACACAAGAAGACTTCGATATGAGTAACCTATCGGCTGAACAATGCAATCGACTTCGGGAACTGTTGGAACAATTCAAACAGTCATTGAACCGACAAAAACAACTGCAACAACAGATTAGGGAATAAAAATTCTCATGAATTTTAATTAATTGGTATTTTTATTTTAATTATATGATTATCGGGTATTTTTATTCATAGAATACAATTCAAGTTTTGCAGGTAAAATATTTTACTTATATATACACAATATATTAAATACTGTATTTCAAATTATAATTAGTTATTAAATTTACAACAAAATATAAAATATATGATCAATAGATAACAAACACATCCTATTTTAAACAATGTATTAATATAGCAGACTATCTAATTTTATACCGTATTATTAAATATAAATTTTAATATTATTTTTTATCTAATTCGTAATCAATTAATTGCTAACAAAATATACAGTTAATGATTAGACAAACAATATCAATGATGTAAATTTTTTATATAACAGTAAGTAAGTAGTTATATAACAGACTTATAATTTTTTATTAAAAAAATATATTAACAATTAAAATTATCTCTCAAAATAAAAAAAAATCACAAAAAACAAACAACACAAATATGAGTGGCAGAGGACAGTCGTGGAAACCAAACTTACCGGTAATACAGGAAGAAAGCGACGAAGAAGAAGAGTTGATCGGAGCTGTAGGCGGTGGTGCAGATGCCGGTGCTGTACAACCAGTCGATGAGGCAGAAGCTGCCATATGTACCATATGTCACGAGACGGGCACTGAAAACAATCCATTGATACAGGCGTGTGGTTGTCAACCGGGTTATCACGAAATGTGTGTCAATGTAGCCATCGTAACGCCGATCATTACGTCGCCCAATCCGTGTGCATATTGTGGACAGTCGTTCAATCACCCGAATCTGCGGGTAAGTCTACCGTTTCGAATTCAGGATTATGCAACAACTATACTGTTTATCATATTTCTAATCGAAACTGTTTGCACATATCTTGTACCGGATTCTACAAAAGACTTTGAATATTACAATCTATCGTTTCTTCAGCCCATCTTATACTGGTTGGCAATGGCAAGTGGTGTCACTGCCGCCCATTTTTTTGGCTATTTTTATTTTGATCCCGATTGGCCACCAAAACGCGATCCTCACGACCAAATCGTAACGTTTCGCGGCTACGATCCGCAAACACGACTTCCAGATCCGGGACGTAGTCATCGGATGAGTTTGTTGGACGAACGGGATAACTATTTGGCCCGAAGACAGCAATTGTATGGACTACTGCACCGCGAAGAACGAATGGTAGAGAACATTCAGAACACTATTAGAGGTATGTTTGGTATCGAAAATGTCGAAGAAGTGACCGAACAAAACTTCGATATGAGTCGTCTATCGGCTCAACAATGCAATCGACTTCTGGAACTATTGAGACAATTTAGACGATCAATGGATAATCAAAGACTACTCCAACAAAAGTTAAGAAACTAACTAATTAAGAGATTTGTGGGTAAGTTTGGATTAAATACAGTTTATATACCAGAGATACAAATATTATTAGTTTAGTAGTTATGAAAATATAGATTAATATTATTATTATTATTATATGACAATCGGGTAGTTTTTTTAAAAAACATTTCTATTACCCAATTCTGACCCACCCCCACAAAGATCACCATTATTATACAGTGACGGAACCGGTAGCAAACAAAACCCCATTACAGTAATAATTATTATTTTATGTCTGAGCTTTTTATGATGTCGTTTCGACTCAAACTATTATAATTTATATTATATATATATATATATATATATATATATATATATATATATATATATATATACTGTATATATATGAAAACATTTAGTTGAAAAAACAAATACATAAATTTCAAATCAATTTATATACAAAACAAATACATTAAAAAAATTATCATACATTTCAATTGAATTTATTATTATTATCTAAATTAGTGTCATTTATTTTACTGAGATTATTGATTGAAGTATCCAATGATCGCCGGTATTTCTGGTAGTCTTCGTATAGAGGATTCACCAATTCGTTGCTGAATTGACTGCCGCGAAGCGATTGGTAATCATCGTTGCGCTTCATATCCATGTCGTATACCGTCAGATCGTCTCCATCTTCACCGTCACCATCGATATGATCCTCATTGATGACAATGGATATGTCGGGCACCCGTTTCCGTGATGTTTGTTGACGTTTTTGGATTATCATATACAGTATGACCGATACGCTGACACCGCCGACAAAAAACGAGCCCAACATTGCCATTACAATAACCACCAATCGGGTGGACATATAGACACGCATTTTGGAATCGCTTCCATCCATCATTTGCATCGGTATTTCACCAAAAATTGCTTATTTAAAAAACAAAATACTAATTTATAAATTTTAATTTCCGGAATATAAATGTTATATTATGCATACAATTTGCCGATTGATTGCTGCAAACAGGTTGACTACCTGTCCATTTGCCGTCTTTACAGATACGACTTAGTTGGCCAATTAAGCGCACAATTGTGCCATTGGTGTCGGTATTATTGCACGAATATATTGCCAAATCATCGGTGACGGCATATTTTGTACCATTAATTTGGTAATAATTTTTGTGTTGAACACTGAGAACAGAGTCATCGTCGTTGTTGTCGCTGTCCAGCGCCGGTATTTTGCATGTCTTTTGCGGTGCACACACAGGAAACTTGTCAATCCATACGCCGGTCGGCGAACACCGGACTTTCTGGTTGCCGACCAATTGAAATCCTTCCCGACAGCTAAACACTGTATATGTCTTTTCTCTGGCCAACACTACTGAGTCCAGCGGTTTTTCCGGTGATCCGCATAAATCGCTTATCACATATAGACGAAGATCGCAAAACGTTGTGGTAATATTGAGTACATCACCGTCGGGGACATCAACTTTGATGACAATCTTCTCAATTGATTCGTCCACACCTTCGTGTGACATAACAATCATCTGGTGTTCAGTTTTGTCGCAAACAAAACCTAACTCATAGGTTATGGTATCAGCCAAAAGCTGGAAGCGCTCCAATTGACAGTACTTTGCTATAATTAAGTCCTCAATTTTGGCCGTCATATTCAGTCTACCATTGCGTGCCAACTCCAATATCGGGCCTCCTCTCAAATATAGTAAAAAATAATTGAAATAATAGCCACGGATTATATGAAAAGTCCAGCTCTGGCTTTGATTTACTGTCCACAAGAACTTTGTTTTGGGACATTCCGTATACTTTGCATTGTTGTTGACAATTTTGGCCACTCTTCTCGGTGTCTGTGCTGTCCACGGCATTTCCCGATAGACGGCCTGCTGTCGGGACATCTCCCGGATCTCAATACGCTTTAGCAAAACTGTTTCAATATGTTTGGCTGTTTGAAATAATTTTTGTATTACTATTATCTTTTAGGGATAAACACAAACACACATTAGCTAACTAACTGACCACATCTGGGAAGTGTACCATTCCAGCGATGGTTGACACACTGGCAATACTGGCCCTCAATCAGTACACTATCGCCGTCCTCGCACTCATAGCTGACAACAGTTTGCTCGGCGTAACGACTCTTGAATAAACTTAATTTGGTTGACTCCGGGATTGCCGGCAAACCACAGTCACCAATAGCTAACCGTACTTTATTTGCCAACAGTGCCGACAGTACTAACAAACTAAATGTTTTTGTTGTCAACTGTTTATTGTCAGCATTAAACCCACTTATTATTGTCATATCTTTTTTTCAGTCCATTTAAATGTCAAATTTATGGCAATTATTTAAAATTGTTATAAATATACAGTTTGTTTAATTAATAGGATTATTCTAATAATAATAATAATCACTAGTATATCAATAGTTTATTACCAATTATTGGATGATGTCATTACCGGGAAGTCATAATTTTTATAGGAGACTAAAAATCCTGGATTAAAATATTTGACAAACATTATTATAATATATAATTTTTTTTCAATAATCTATTCAATTCAATACAGTATAGCAAAAATTATTTTTGAAAAATTTATTTTTATTATGCATTAATCAAATAAAAATATTTTTACAAAACTATTACCACTTTTTTGCATCAGTTATATAGTATAACTCTATAATGATTTTTTTAATACAATAAAATAATGCAAAATTAAATGTTTGCCAAAAAAAATTATTTTACTTTTGTAATACTTTTTTTTTTAAATCTCATTTATGTGCAGACAATAGTGAAAAAATACAATTAAATTTAAATAAATTAAAAATAATACAAAATAGTGATTATTTGTGTCTTTTTTTAGGAAAAAAATACTAATAATTTTCTTTTGTATCACTTATTGAACACATCTTCGAGTTCGCGGATCTTCTGTTTCTTAGCGTTAAGAATGGCCACAAACCGTGTGAATAGTAACGAATCGTTTTCCTCTTTACGAACGGCAAAGTCGTCCAACTCGTTGACCGATCGGTCGGCCAACTGTCGAAGTCGACCGTTTTCGGTGACTAGTGAATCGATACGGCGACGATTGGCGGCAAAAACGGTCACCAATTTTGCAAACACATTGTCCATAAGTGTATTGCTGGCCAGTGGCCGACAAGTAATGCTAAACAACTCTGTTCGGGCAATAAGTTCTTGGCCATCGTAAACGGCAACCGTAATGTTGACTGTATTGTCCGGTCGCAGGTCAAACTCGTAACAATAGTCGGCGACAGCAGCGGTGTCCGAGTCATCGGATGACCGCATAGGTGCCGAACCGTTACACAGGGCTTCCCTCAGTTGCCGATACCGGTCGTCCAATTCGTCGGCCGTCTCATTGTCCGGATTACTGCTCCGGTAGTCGTCATAGTCGATAAAACCGGTCAGTAGTCGATCGGCCGAAACAATTGTAAGTGTATGTCGATTGCCGACCGATTCGCTAAACAAATAATGACTGTAGTGGTCATCAGTATCGGCGGTGGCAGCCGGTTGGCCAACAAGTCTTAAATAAGACAAATTGTGTTCATCACAGGTCGTAGACATTTGGGTCTTCAGATGGTTGTTGTCTTAAAAAGTTTTTTTTCAGGTATTGATTGAAATGTTTTTTTTTCAATCATTGAATTACTTTATTAATTAATACAATGTGTTGTCAATGCATTGCATATAGAGATAGAAATAATTTATTACTTAATAAACAGTATATAATAAACATTAATACAGTCTAAACACATACATAGTTATGAAAAGTTTATTTTCAAAAAAAATGTTTTTGATTTTATTAGTAAATTAATTGTGAATATTTTTTTTTGTTAAAAATATTATTAATTTGATGATAATATTTTTTCAACATTTTATTAATAAATAAAAAAAATTACTTAAATAGTTAATTTATAATATAATAATTATATATATATTTTTAATGACATTATTATTGATATATTGTAGTAAACATTCAATGTTTACATTGCATTGCAATGCATTGGTTGCCAATCGCAACACATTATTATTGTGTTTATAAACAAATGCTTAGAAAATATTTATAACATAAAAGTCATTAAATAAAAATAAAATCAATTACTTATAAAATATCATTCAAATAGTCAGTCATATCATATGTGACTATCGGGTTTAGTGACCAGATATATGGCTACTGCTGTCAAACAACCAGTATTCAACTATCAATCGGTATTCAAGTACACCAAAGTGGTCACTGATGAAAAACTGTTTACCGATAGCAGCTGTCCAGAAGGCGGCGGCGATGACGACGATGACTTCAACGACTGGCCATTCGGTGAGGACCAGAATCGACCGGCTGGTCAGTCAATGATCAACCGATTGGTCCATCGATTGATAATATTTGTATGCTATGCGACACTAATCGTTACGTTTCCCGTGTCGGCCTTTTTCTGTCTTCGGGTATCGAAATGGTCATTAAAAAAAAAATTTTATGAATTTACTGACAAATACTTTTTATTTTTTGCGATAAATAGCGGATCCATTCACTACAAAGATGTCTCATCTATCGTTTGGGTATCCGATTGCCGATCAAAGGACCCGGTATTTACCAATCAATCAATCAATCAATTGCTTTGATTATTGATAATGTATTTTAAAAATAAATTATAATTTTAATATCACAGGTATTATCATTAAGTTTCCGGTCATCGACTCTATCGAAGTAATCGATCTCTCGGACTATGAGTTCACATTAGTAGAGACAACACAACCGCTGATGACATGTATGTATTAGACATCATTACTATTGAATTATTAGTCCACTAATCCTCCACTTAAATCTCTCACTTTCTTTCATCTACCAATCCATTCAATCAATTAGCCGACGGCTCGATCATCGAGTTTGCGACCGGTGGTGTCCAATGTCGGCTAACCGTATGCAATGCCGTACGAAGTTCTACACAACTAAAAGATTCGCGAAACAATGTCCAACAGTTTTGTCGCCTATCGTTTGCCAATATGATTGCCAGTACACATGTCGAAGACTTTGAGAACAAGACGGATATAATTATGAGACAATTTGATCAAAACTGTAATCTTTATCTCAATAATTGGGGCTACAATTGTAAAGTGGATTATCTGTAAGTGGGGATCCACTAAAATCCCAATACTTATTACACTAATGATGATAATAATAATAAATAGAAATATTATTGTTATTTAGACCAAAGTTTTCGATTATCAATCGTGCAAATCCTGTGAATCCGATTGTGAGAAAATTGAAGAGTATGTTTGGCGGCGGTCCCGATGCTGACGGTGGTGACCAACAAAATCCGATGATGACTGAGCTCTTGCGATTACAGGCATCGGCTGCTAGCAAAATGGGTAGGTTTTCTGGTAGTGCTATTGGTAGTGGAAGTGGTGGTGGTGGTGACCCCAGTCAGGAACAACAGATAATAGCATCGCTCGAATTGATGGGCAATAAATATCGTAGTTATGTCTCCTATGATATCAATATAGCTATTGTTGTTGAACTGAAAATTGAATATTTTGTGTTTACTTATACAACAGGTTTGTTGTATTATTTTTTGTTAAATTATAAATTTTATTTTATCTAAATTATTGAATTTTATATCTTATACAATAATAGGCAAAGTTAGCAAATTGTCTGATAAGCCTAACAATGTTCACATCAATATAAGCGCCGATAATAATGACAATTTGATGAAATTTTGTATCAATAATGATATGAATTGTGTGCGAATTAGCACTAATTTAATGTAAAGTTTTGTTTTTTTCTTATGGTTTGAAGTAATTTATTTATTAATTGTTAGTAATATTAATATATAAATTTATAAATAATATAGTTTTAATTTTGTTTTTGATTAGTTGTGTTTTAGTTTACTGTATGTTATTTTTATTTAATATTAACTTAACATTATCGCTAATTTATTATAATTTATTACATTATGTTTTCATAATTAAATAACTTGAATAAAAATATATTTAAAAAATAATCTATTATAATATATATACTATTTTTAGTTAGAAAAAATTTAAATTCAAAAAATTAATTTTACCGGTAATATAAACAAWTATATATATATATAAATATCCCAAATGAGGGGTGTATCGGATTACTGGGTAATGAACAAAATTTTCAATAAAAAAATTTCATGAAACTATTCACTGAGACAATAGAAATTATGATTTTAGATTATGATAATTGAATTGGATTTGTCATCATTTTTATAAATGAATAAATTATTTTTTGATAATAATTGTTAGGAAAAAAACCTATTTTTGTTTTTGTCTTAAAGTAGACAAAAACATTGAAATTAATTCATTTTCAAAATCAATTACTATTTACATTTATACAGTTTAAAAGTGTTAATTGTTTGAAATTTTAATACTAACAAATAAATCAAATAATTCAATAAATAATTAATAGTTTGACAAAAAAATAATATTTTTTTTGTATATCAAATGAGTAATAATTTCAAGACAAATATCAATGAAACAAACAAAATAAATAAATCGGTTATTATTTTTGGGTTCTCATACTTTGTGTACTTTTGATTGATCTAATGTTATCAATATCCGATTGTTGTGACCTCTGTTTCTTTGGTGATTCTGTGGTCGACAACACCACCGGCTGCTGCGGCGGAAACTGTTTTGCCTCGGCTTTTGATGGTGAATAGGATCCAGTTTTTCGGCGACATATGACCAACAAAGCGACGGCAACGATGGCAATGATGACCATTATAATAATGATAGCCACTATCAAAGCAATGATAATCGATAAGCTATTGGTTTTTTTGTCATCGTCGGGTGTAGTGGTGAGTAAACAGTTATTAGGTCCACAGCATACCAGTCTCTTGTAATCATTTAGGCACTGATTTTATTATAGAGCCAACAATTTATATATTAATTATTAAGTCAACAAAAAAATAGTCATAAAATTAATAATAATTTACTCCTACTTTCAAACCCATGTACTCAGTGGTACAATAACGGAGTTCCCTATCCATCTGAAATATGGTAATATATTTTTGTTGTGTAACCGGTCCCCAAAATGCTACCACTTCGTAATCGGCATTCAAACCGGACAACCGATGACCGTTCAATGATTTTTCCACTCTCTGGGTCACATCGATAATGTTGTCAAAGGTAATGTTAAATTTGAAGCACTGGTAGTTGCCTTCAAACACAAAACCATTGACATTGTCAACCAAAATACCAGGCTTTTGGATTTGATTGAGAAAACACATTGAGTGATATATTTGCGGCCGTACACTGATCCGCGGCTCACGGATGACTGTATCCATCGTAGTGGTCGTGAAGTTTAGATAACTATTTGGATAGATATTTTTGGTAGTATTTGTCAGATCCTCGGGTAATTCAAACCGACCCCATTCGATGGTACCGTTTGGCTATTTTTAGTGTTAATTAAAGCATGAGAGAGAAAGAGAGAGAGAAAAAAAATTAATTCAATTAATTTGAACAGTTGTTCCCAACTATGATCAGTCATATACCCAAAGCATGCCATTTATGATATCTTCCGTTTCGTTGGTCAAATAGTTGGCGACACTAAATCCCGTAAAGTAATCATTGGTAAACCAATCGCTTAGTTTTGGTTTGTCGACCAACAGTTTTAATGTTTCATCTATGATATTGATCTCCAGGTTCCAGAAAGTGTTGCCAATGACCAAAACTGTAAACCGACTGGGATTTTTGTCAAGCCGTTGCTCATAACTGTAGCTAATTTTGTATGAATTTTTGGCCCATTGAGTGCAAAATGTACTGTTAATGGTATTGTCATCGATATCCATACTATCAATCAGTGTCGACATAAATGCTAAGACTGTTAGTGTTTGGACACAAATTAGCAAAAAAATTCTCATTTTTTAAAAATTAATAAGTTGTTTGATATCTGTCTATATATAAAGAAATCGTTGGATAATTTTAATCGATTATATAGAAAAATTAATTATATAATTTATTAAATAAATCTCTATTAAATAATTGATTTTTAAAACTAAATTAATGTCAAATATATGTAACAATTATTACATTTTATGATTGTGTGTAATAAAATTTTAAATCTCACGTGCATTTTAACAGTTAAAACAATTAATTATTGACTAATTAAATGGCTAAACAATAGACAATTTTTATTATGGAAATTAATTTATAAATTTTGCTATAAATTTTGTTGTTTAATTTACTATCAATGGGTATATTGAGTAATATCTGTGTATTTTGTTTGGCTCTGGCTATGGGTATCATTGTTGGAGTCTATGTGTCCAATGAATACAAAGTTAAGAGTGTCTCACAATTGGTTGGTTTGATGTCCGAAAACATTGGCGACAATCGGGAAGTCAATCAATCAATGAATTGGTTATCGATAGTCACAAACAAAACCGATTATAACTAAAAACTATATCTTTAAAAAATTTTACAAAAAAATTATTTAGTATTTATAATTTCGAAAAATTATCATATTTTTTCTATATTACAATATCATTATCTAAATTACATAATTATTTAACTTTTAAAATATAGTTATGTAGTTAAATATAAAATTTACAAAAATTATAAATTTAGGATAAATGTTACATTAATACAAATTACTGTTATTTTAGACCAATAATTATATATTTTAACAATTAAAAAAAATATTTTACCAAAATACTAAAATTAAATCATTATTATATTTAACACTAACTATAATTAGTGCCAATAATTTTGTTGGTTTAATTAATTTTTATTTTTCTATTCGTTTACTTATCTTTAGACATCATATATATCAATGGTTTCATATTTATTCATATAATATAATAATAATTTAATAATTTTTTTTTAAAAATAAATTTATCAATTAGTCTAATATAAAAGTAGTTTATATTTGTCAAACATTTGTCTGCTATATTTATTTTTAGGTTTAGTTATTACAAATTTGTCCAATATTTTATCTCCTATTGTATATTTAAATTAATAAGTTATATCTAACAATAACTATTATATAATTGTATTTTTCTAATTAACTTATTAATTTAGAAAATTTGTAAAACAAATATTTTTAATATAATATTGCATTTAATGCATTAGTTAAATTAGATATTAATTAATTATTGTCATTAACAATAATAATTATTACAGATATATTATTTAGAGATATATATTTAGAGATATTAGTTTGGAAGTAATAGGAGACAATAGTTTAAATTATGAAAATGTTTATAAAAACACTTTTTGAATTTGATTTTCAAGGTTTAGTTTAGAGATTATATTTATTAAATAAAATATTTATTTAAATTATTCTGTGTTTATACATTATTAATTAGTTATTATTTAAAACACATTTTGTTAAATGCTAATTTTAAATTTTTGTTAAATGCAATTAATTTAATATTAAATTTAAATTAAATACATTAATATGTAATTAAAAAGGTGTCGGTATTTTAGATGCGGCCACCAATGCTCCCAACTGACCCAATCGACGTAACTCTAGATTAAACATTTTCAGATTACGGCACTGTTGGTCAACCGGCAGATCCTGGCTTTGGGAGCACTGTTTGCCAGCAGAATACAACTTTCCGTAGAGATTCTTCATCTAAAAAACAAAATAATAATAAATTATTTATACAGTATATATTAATACAAATCTATTAATACAAATAAATTGTATATATATTGGTTTGACATACCTGTGTAATAACCGATGCCATGGGTGGTGAACAACCTTTCATTAGGACACCGCCGGCACCCATAACTGTTTCAATGATGGGTAGACTGACTGTAAACTCGGTCAGTGCTAAACCGTTTTTTTCAAATATATTACATTCAACCGCATCGTTAATATGATTGGCCCGATAAGCCTCGTCACACATAATATATTCAGTCATTGTTGCGATCTGTTTAGTTGCCGACGACTTTTCCCGTTGGTTTCGGGCATTACTCAACACTTGTTGTTCACCAGTCGGTCCCATAATAGCCATAACTGACTTTCCGTAATCATTGTTGAAGGTATCATAACATACCAATCCTTGTGCTTTGGCAGCTGAGGCTCGTTTGGCCACTAATTGTGAGGCATCGACAAGATTTTGTTGAGTCCGTTCAATCAGTTGCTCGTCGGACAACCCCTTGAGTGCGTTAACCCGTTGTTTAGCGCATTGTATGAACTGATGGTCTTCCTGTAGACTGGCTGTGGCTGACAATCAAAATATTAATAGAAAATTAATGTTAATATTATTTTTATAAATGGTTTTAAAAATAATAAAATTTATAATTACCCAAAGATATGGTTAGAGTTAAAACAAGAATTTGAATCATTTTTTCTTTAAGTTAAATATTATTTTTTGTTAAACAATTGTTTTGTTTTATAGAATATATTAAACTAAATTAATGTATGCTTTATATAAAAATTATTCGGTATTTATATATAAATTTTCTTATTATTAAATATTTTATTATAAAATTTGTTATCGAAAATAAAAACACATTTTCTTGATTTATTATTTTAAGTTTAAAATATAGACTATTCAATATATAAATATACTAAATATTAATTGTAAACTATTAATATACACTTTTTTATTGATAATTAATAACAAAAAGGCTGTTTATTATTATTACTATTATACTTCATATTTAGATAATTAATTGTTTTAACCAAATAAATTAATAAATAATACCATTTTACCGGAAATTAATTAAGCACTTATTTAACCATTTTGAACATTTGTAGTCAAATGTTATATTTTTTATTTGATGCACTGAGCTTTGTAATTAATTTAATCAATAGACAATATTATTATTTTTTATATTGACTTAATTTTAAAAAATAATAAAATTTTTCGAAACTTATAATATTTTAAATTAAATGTTTTTATAAATACTTTGAAAATATGAATAGACAAATACTTAATACTAATAAATTTTTATGTATATTACTTATTAATATGAATTATTTAAAAATTACAACGATTTTAATGTAATGTATTTCTAGAAAACTGTATGTCTATAAAACACTAAAAATATCATACTTATACACATACAGTATAACTTATAATTATATTTAGTGCATAATTTATGTGTTAATTAAGTGTTTTCTAGGTATACTATTTTCTAGAAATACATTACATTTAACTAAATATAAAATTTTTAAAACAATAGAAATTTTATAAATTAATAATTATTTTCATTGATTAGACAATTATTCTAATATTGCTCACAACTATAAAATATAAAGCAATTAAGCGTTGAATTATATGAAAATATATTAATAAATTATAAAAATTATTACTTATTGCACAATATTAATATTATAGTTACAAAAATTTAAGCACACCATTAAATGCCGATATTTATTAATTATAATAAATTATTTCTTTTAAGTTTGATAATTAATGTTAATTTTATTAATTTTTATAATTAATATACAATATTTTAATTTATTTTTTATATAGTTATTTATATAGCATAACAATTAAATTAATATTTTATTTAATGTACAGTATATACTGTATATGTAAAAGTCAAATACTCAAAATTTTTATTATTTTATTTTTATTTTATTGATATTATATAGAATAGATAATAGTGTATAATACATTTATATTAAATATTAATTACAATTTTTGCTAATTACAATAGTTTGAATTATAAAAATGTTTTATAATAGAAAAAAATWAAAAAATTATAATTTGTTTATTCAAATAAAATGTTTATTTAAATTATTCTATCTTTTATAAATTATTAATAAATTAATAAAAGTTTTATTTAAAACATATTTTGTTAAATGCTATAAAACTATAKYTAAATTAAATACATTAATATGTAATTAAAAAGGTGTCGGAATTTTAGATGCGGCCACCAATGCTCCCAACTGACCCAATCGACGTAACTCTAGATTAAACATTTTCAGATTACGGCACTGTTGGTCAACCGGCAGATCCTGGCTTTGGGAGCACTGTTTGCCAGCAGAATACAACTTTCCGTAGAGATTCTTCATCTAAAAAATAATACATAATTTTTTAATTAATTAGTTAATTGTACTTTTTATAATTTTTATACATTATATATTAATATTATATATTGGTTTAACATACCTGTGTAATAACCGATGCCATTGGTGGTGAACAACCTTTCATTAGGRCACCGCCGGCACCCATAACTGTTTCAATGATGGGTAGACTGACTGTAAACTCGGTCAGTGCTAAACCGTTTTTTTCAAACACATTACATTCAACCGCATCGTTAATATGATTGGCCCGATAAGCCTCGTCACACATAATATACTCAGTCATTGTTGCGATCTGTTTAGTTGCCGACGACCATTCCCGTTGGTTTCGGGCATTACTCAACAGTTGTTGTTCACCAGTCGGTCCCATAATAGCCATAACTGACTTTCCGTAATCATTGTTGAAGGTATCATAACATACCAATCCTTGTGCTTTGGCAGCTGAGGCTCGTTTGGCCACTAATTGTGAGGCATCGACAAGATTTTGTTGAGTCCGTTCAATCAGTTGGTCGTCGGACAACCCCTTGAGTGCGTTAACCCGTTGTTTAGCGCATTGTATGAACTGATGGTCTTCCCTTAGACTGGCTGTGGCTGACAATCAAAATATTAAAAGAAAATTAATGTTAATATTATTTTTATAAATGGTTTTAAAAACAACAAAAAATAATAATATTTATAATTACCCAAAGATATGGTTAGAGTTAAAATAAGTATTTGAATCATTTTTTCTTTAAGTTAAATATTRTTTTTTGTTAAACAATTGTTTTGTTTTATACAATATATTAAACTAAATTAATTTATGCTTTATATGAAACTTATTCGGTATTTATATATAAATTTTCTCATTATTAAATATTTTATTAAAAAATTTGTTATCGTAAATAAAACCATATTTTCTTGATTAATTATTTTAAAATAAAAATATATTATTTACTATAAATTTATAAATATACTAAATAATTAACATTACACTTTTTCATTGATAATTAATAACAATAAAAGGCTGTTTATTATTATTATTATACTTCATATTTAGATAATTAATTGATTTGACCAAATAAATCAATAAAAAAAACTATTTACCGGTAATTAATTAAGCATTTATTTAACCATTTTGCACATTTGTAGTTAAATGTATTATTTAAAGTTATATTTTTTATTTAATGTACTGAGCTTTGTAATTAATTTAATCAATAGACAATATATTGACTTAATTTTAAAAAATAATAATAGTTTTTGAAACTTTTAATATATTAAATCAATGTTTTTTTAAATACATTACAATATGAATAGACAAATACTTAATACTAATAAATTACTGTAATTGTATAAAATTAATAAATGCCTCTTTAGTAATAGATGTTTACTTAAAACTAAACTAAGTTATAAAAAATAAAAATATTAATAAATGATTTACAAAAGTTTTTAAAAAATAAACAATTTGTCTTATTTTTATGTTAGGATTGATCATAAAAAATAATATATTTATTACTTGAATTATTGACAATATATACTGTATATCACACACTAAAAAGTTTTATATAAAGTATTAAAAATAGCTAATATTTAACAACAAATTTGAAACGCGCGTGCATTCAGTGTTTTATACAATACTCGTGTATTTCGAATAATTGCAATTAAAAAAAACAATAATTTATTGCATTTCTTATTTGAGTTAATTTTAATTAATTTTTTGTCTATTATTGTTTCGAGTAATATAACAATTGTTTTATTGATTACCCCTAACCTACCGGTGCTCATCAAACAGCCGTATTCGTATTAATGGGTATATTGGGTGATATCTGTGTATTTTGTTTGGCTCTGGCTATGGGTATCATTGTTGGCGTCTATGTGTCCAATGAATACAATGTTAAGAGTGTCTCACAATTGGTTGGTTTGGTCTCCGAAAACATTGGCGACAATCGCGGAGTCAATCAATCAATGAACTGGTTATCAATAGTCACAAACAAAACCGATTACAACTAAAATAATCACAAAAATATATTACAAAAAATTGTCTAATAATATTAAAATTTTCAATAAATTATCAAATTTTGTATATTACAAACTCATTATCTAAATTTCATATTTAAATTTTAGTCTATAGTAATATTGTAATTAAATAAAAAAAAATGTCTTGAATTTATATTATTATATTTTAGAAAATCATTTATTAAAGCAGTTTACATTTGAAGTTAAAATTATTTATGTAAAAAAGCATATGTTTTTTATATTTATCAGTAATGTATATCAGTATATCAAATAAAATAACTAAAATCATCCGGTTATCCAAACTGACCCCAATTTGGTGATAAAGTTTGGCAATTATTTTCAGTGTTAATTAGTTGATTTAGTTAATTAGCATTAGAGTGCGAGAAATATTTTTTTAATTTAAAAACAATTATTATTGTTAAATATTATTTATCGGATAAAAAACATAACAGAAAAAAATTTGATCACAAATTTACTTTTTTGGTGACTTATGTGTGAATGTTTGCCATGTCTTTACTGATAATAAACTTGTTTTGTATACTTTGTCTAACATTTGTTGACCAATCGGTTAGTTATTATTATTATTATTTGTTGTTGTAGTTGTTGAACACATTTTTACTATTTTTAATAATTATTATAATCATTCAAGAAATCCAATGCTCTTATCTGCGGTCAGCCAATAGATTCAATATTATCGGTAATCAAAACTATTGATAATTATCCCAAATTATGGATATTTTCCGGTGACAACTATTATCTCGTCGATCATTATGTAGTCGATGGATATACAACCAGTAATGTATCGACAATCGGATCCATTAGTAGTCTTAATACAAGTTTAGTCGCACCGATTGATTTAGCATTTGTCGACAACAATCGCTATCATCTTATAAATGTTTGTCTCAATAACAAAAACTTTATACAGTTGTGTGTAATTGATTTAAATCAATATTTTATTGTTTGTTTGATGTATAGATCAAAACTGATACCGAATGGATACTAACCAATGAGTGGCAATTAGTTGACAGTAAAGTAGGCATCAAAAGACCTAACGGTACACTATTGGAGGGTTTGGGCAAAACTTTGAAATATGATTTGATTTATTTGGCCAATAGTCGCAACAAAATTGTCATCAGTTCCATAAGTTTTGTTATTTGTATACTCATGAAGAAGACGACAACAAAGATGACGAAAAATGGCGACTACGAAGAGATAGCGTTTGAGTGTATGAATCCCAACGAGACTGCCGTCAGTGATCTCGATGGACAGCCCATCACCAATGCTATACTAACGCCAAGAGAGCTACATCTGATCGCTGGCCAACATATCTGTCCCGTACGGTTTGATAGGCTTATGGATAGTACACTATGGCAGCCAATGTGTCGTCTTCTAGATTTAGATCAACTGATTGCTTGTACGCCGCAAACCAGTGTACAGGCAGTCATCGGTGGCACGAAATCCAAATCCGATACTAAATCATTAATTTATATCATTTTGCTTATTATTGCTATTATAGTTGTAGTCAGTATTATCACTATTTTAGTTGTTTTCATAGTTATTCGCTTACGAAAAGGTTATTAAATTATTAAATTTTAAATATTTATTTCAATGCTTTCAATATTATTGCTAAAATAATTCAAATATTATTATTTAAATATTATATTATTGTTTTTTGTTTTGTATTACCGATTAATTTAATTGTGTATATTATCACCCAATAATAGGTACCAATTCATCGGTGGGCACTTCGCTTGGCTTTGATAAGAGTCACTCTCGTTAAGGTTTAAATGTCCAACAAATTTATTAGTTGATAAAAAATATAGTAATTTTTTCTTATCTAATATTAAAAATTAATTACAAATTTCAGTATTACTATCATATAAATGGATAAATTAGTTATTATTTATATAGTATTTAAATTTGTTTTCAAAACTATATTTTATTAAACTATTAAATTGTTTTTATTCTACTTTAAAATAATGACTCTTTTTTTTGTTTGATTGATTTTTTTTAAATAATTGTTTTGTTATAATAATTAGAAATTGTTTTTTATTCTAAGTTTATGTTATAATTTTTTTTATACAAATATTTATTGACATTAAATTATTACAAAAATTATATTTACCGTAAAATATTTACATTTTTACTGAATCACAATTATTTTCAATTATTATTTATATTATTATTGAAGTAATTAATTTTATAATCTAATTAAATAATTATTTTACATTGATAATGTTATGAAAATCTTATGGAAATATATAATAAATTAACAAGAAATAAATTATAAACATAACATTTTTGTTACTAAAAAACAAAAATACAAATATTTAAAAATAATTTTTCATAATGTTTTACTATGAATGGTATATAAAAAAACCCCCGATTCACACTAAATAATAATTATCGTATAAGTTGTCAAATTGTGTAGATTTATGATTCATCTGTTGGTTGAAATTATATTTATAAATATTTATTATTTTATTTGGAAAAAATATCAAAACTTATTCATATAATCATAAATATATTATTGTTTTTTTTATAACACTTACTTCAATGTGTACATCAGATCTTGATATATGTCTAATCCTATCGATATTAATCTCATCAGATCTGACATTACTGTCCATTTTATATACTAGAATATGATAACAAAATTATTAACCAATATATATATATATATAATCTAATAAATTAATTAATCAAAATATTTATAAAACTAAAGTTTGATTTATTTTGGTTGAATTTATAAATTGTAAAATTATTAAGCAGTATAATCAATTAATAATAATATATATWTTTTTTAAAAACTTATAATTATTTATTGTAAATTCCTGATATGTTTAGCACTAAATAAAATAAATATTTCTATCTTAGTATTAAATATATTAAATTAATAATTAATTCTAAAAAATCAATCAATCAATATAGAAATTATATAAAAAACTAATTGTAAATTAATTTATATATTATCTATATATAACATTTACATACCATTGGTTTGTTTCAAATATGAATTAATTTTGTTACCAATAGTGATGATAATAATTGCAATAATAATAACGGCGCCAATACTTGAAACATAAATTAAAACCTTCGTTGGTATCGATGATAATGAATCATCTGTGGATAAGTAATCAGTGATTATAGTGACAGTAGTTATTGTAGGTGTGGTCTCAATTGTTGGATCAGATTTGCAGACAATCAATTGATCCAAATTCAATGGTGAACACATTGGTTGCCAATATACTTGTTCAGCCAATCTGACAGACAGGACATATTGGCCAGCAATCGGATATAAGTGGTGCTGAGTTCGTATGGCATGACTGATGGACAGTCCGTTAAAATCATTGACCAGAAATCTCTTATCAATTGTTTTATCTTTTATATGGACACACGCTATCCTATTGGTACAGTTATCACCAAATTTGTCAGTAACTATATTAATCCGTTTTGTTATTAGTGTACAGTGACTATAGTCTACTGAACTGATATCAATTTGTTTGTCATGTTTTACAAAATTAAGATAATCACTATTATTAATAACTGAAGAATTAGATCCTAAACCCTCTAAAATAGTCTCATTATTTGGTCTTTTGATGCCATTAGTGATATTCAATAGATGCCAATCTTTATTCAGTATCCATTCGGTATCATTCATACTCTATAATATATTTTAAAAATTATTATTATTATTATTATGGAGACAATAATTATGTGGACATCAATCTATCAAACCAGACATTTATGAGATGATATGTATTGTTGTCAGCAAATGCAATATCAATGGGTGGGACCAAACTCTCATTCAGATTACTGATAAATCCAATTTGTGACACATTATTAGCTGATTGTCTATCGACGGCAGTAAAATTGTCCACTCGGTAGTAGCGGTTACCGGAAAATATCCACAACTTAACCATAGGTTCGGCGGTAAAGTCCGATAATATTGAATCAATTGGTTGACCGCAAATCGTTGACTTAGATAATATAAAATATTTTACATATTATTCATTAATATTAATGTATTATCAAATCAATTTAATAACTTACCGATGTTTGGTTGGCAACAGTTGACGGGACAATAAATATCAAACAAATTACACAACAGATCAATATCGGTAAAGACATGACTGATAACTATATGTTTTTAAATTGATTGAAAATTTCAGAAATCAGATACTATAAGTATTTTTTAAAAAAAAATAATTGTTTTATTGACACAATTTTATAAAAATTTATGTTGAAAATAGTTATAAGAAATCTATATCTTGATAACTGTAAGATAAATGATATTCAATAACTTATTTATGAGAAAAAGCTTTTTTTCTGATTATAATAATAATAACTAATAATAACTAATTGACATTTGATAAGAAAAATTTTATCTATTAAACAATGTAAATGGTTATTGTTTTAATGTCAATATATGAGTAACTAGCAAGACATTTTTAAATATAAGATTAGTAAAGTTTATATAGTAGCTAGCAACTTTTATTAAATAGTTTTAATAATATGTTTATTTTTTGTATAAATAGTTTATTATTAGTTATATTATATTCTTTAATTAAATTAATAGAATAATTATTATTTTCTCATTTTTTTGTAGCAAAAAACTAACATAAAATATTATTATTATTATTATTACTAACAGCTAATAAATTTTTGTGATTTTTAAATTTTATTTCAACTATATTTCATTGAAAATAACAGTAATGTATTAAAAAAATTGTTAACAATTGTCACCATATGTCACAGCTATAGTCATAAAAAATAATTAATTAATTTAATATCTAATAATAATGTATTATAAAGTATCTGTTGGAATATAGTTTTTTTGGATTAAATGTTTAATTTATGTCACAAATTTACAATACAATAGATTATTATTATTTTTATTGAATAGAAATTTAATTATAGAAATCTTGTTAAATAAAATTTGAGTTAATAAGTGATCGAAATAGTGGGTGAATGAGGAGAGAGAAAGAAAGAAAGAAAGAAAGAGAGAGAGAGAGAGAGAGAGAGAGAGAGAGAGAGAGAGAGAGAGAGAGGACATTGATTAAGTCAAAAGTGATGGGAATTTTGCCAAAAAATTTCATCACAACATTCAAAGTCATTAACAAAATCAAAAGTTTGTGTGCAAACTATATCCTACATAACTGTGTGCTCCGATTGACTGACTTTCCTCTCTCTCTGTTTCTCTCTATTTTCAAACACATATCTCTCATTTCTAACTAACTTTTCTCTCATAACTGAATCAATTTTTTTATTTAATTATAACACAACATATCACTTATTATTAAAGCTATTTACTAATGTGAAGTGTCGTCTCAAATATTCAATTATAATGAAAATTGAATTTATTTTAACTATTTGTCTGCTAATAAACATATTGTTAGCAATCAGTGGTGGTGTCAATAGTTTGCCATCCGATCGGCGGCCACTTATTGAACGCTTTAAACGTTTTAGCGACGGCGATGATGTAGATATTGTCGGTGATGATAATAATGATGATAACAACGGCGATGAAGACACGACAACAGCATCAGTGATAACAACTGATAACAATAATAGTAACAATGATGATAAAGACGATGATGACGATGGAAAGCCAGACAAAGACGACAACAATGGGAACAATAGTGATGATAATGATGAAGACGATGAAGATGTTCATCAAGAAGAGGATAATGATGACGATGACAGTCAGCCCGATGTCAGCCAAGAGGGCAGCAAACTGTTGGTTATATTAGTAGACGGCTTTCGGTGGGATTATGTTGCCCGAGACAAACGGTTAATAGGCTTTCCGCGAGTGGCTGCCAACGGTGTTACAGCCAAATACGTGAAACCGGTATTTCCGGCCAATTCCTATCCCAATTGGTATTCGATAATGACTGGCCTATATCCSGAAAGTCACGGTATGTTTGAAAACTATATGTACGACCAGGACTGGGACGAACTGTTTCTGATGTCACCGCATCGTAACGCCTCTCACTCGCACTGGTGGAACCAAACGGAACCGTTGTGGGTGACAGCCGAACAAAACGGTTGTCGTACGGCTATGTACTTGTGGGACGGTTGCCAAGTAAGGATAAGGGGCACAAAACCCTATGTGTGCCACCAGTATCGTCAACTATACAGCGCTGATGAGGCAGACAATCAGACCCGGACTTATATGAAACAAATTTTGGACGACTTCTCCTATAATAAATATAGACTGGCATTACTGTACTACGAGTTTGTCGATTACAATGGTATATAATTTATAAATATATTATATATTATATGTCCAAAACATCTACATTTCCTATTTATAGTACCAGTGCAATAATACCACTGCACTGTGTTATGTGAATGTATGGCATGTATATAGTATATACTTTTTTATACATGCTTAGTATTTGCTTTTTAATTAAGCTTAATTTAATTTATAATATTTTATATATACATAATTAACTTATAATATTTTAGTTTGCTTTAAATAGCGTAACTAATTTGGCTAAACCCACCAATTTTGTTGTTGATTGTTGTAACTGTATTTTAACAACAAAATTAGTTATTTTAAAATTTTATATATGCTATAAATTTATTATAAAGTACAGACATAATATGGTACATATATACTGTATATATATCTTACATAAACAGTTTTATTATTACAATATATTTCACATTTTTCAATACTAATCATTAAATCTGAGATATTTCAATTTTTTTATTGAAATTATAATAAATTAAAATATTAATATATCTTAGTATATAAAATAATATTTTGGATATTATTAATATATCAGTAGTAGGTTATTATTATATATGGTAGTAGTAGTAGTAGTAGTAAATTTCGCTGATTTATTGTTGATATTCAAAATTTATTGATATATTAGTTGTTAGAAATGTTTAACATATGGCACGTGCAGAGAGAGAGAGAGAAGAGAGAGAGAGATAGATAGAGAAAGATAAATAGAGAGAGAGAGAGAGAGAGAGAGAGAGAGAGAGCAACAAAAATATATATACATTTATTTATTCAATCTATCCTCAAATATGACTAATAATAATTAATTTTCATATATAATTTGTTTTATTTTTCTTTTATCAGTTAAACTACTAAACTATCATAACTTTTTTTTGCATCATTAATAATCTAAATATCTAAATTTAGGATTAACTTTACATTAGTCGATAATAAGCATACAAAAAATTTTGTCAACTAAAACTAAAGTTAAAATACAGTAAAAACTTATGTCAATAAAAAAATGTGATTAATAAACTTTTAGATCAAATAAACATTTTTCTCAAACACTCAAAAAACTACTATTATTAGAAATATATAATTAATTGACTGATTTTTTCTTATATTTATATAAAAATCTCTTCGTGGTATCGGTAGGTCATGAATACGGTCCCCGTCATAGGCGAACCAAACAGGCTATCCGAGCCATCGATAAGATAATCAATGACTTATACGATGACATACTGGAAGAGAAACTGGAAGACGATGTAAACGTTGTGATCGTTTCAGATCACGGAATGATCTCTAAGGAAGGCTTTCGGGTCATTGACATCGAAGACTATCTGGACTTCAATGATGTCGAACTGTTTATCGGTAAGGGATCAGTGGCACAGGTATTGCCCGAAAAGGATAAGGAGGATGAGGTAAATAATAATAATAACATAAAGTTTTATTATACACTTGTATTAAAATATTATTATAAACTTTAAAATTATACACTTTTGAATAGTTTGTTATTAATTACTTTTAATTAAGTTTTTTATTGTGTAAATATATAACTAATTAATGATGTATGAAAATTAAATATAGATAATGATAATCAATTAATTAATTAATAAGTTAGACTATTATCTGATTATTAAGGTATTTCATCAATTAAGACAAGCAAAAGTTGATGGACTCAATGTCTACCGAAAGGCTAATATTCCCGATAGATATCATATGAAAAATCATAAAAATGTTTTACCAATACTATTGACCACCGATGAGGGCTATTATATAGAACCGGTTTGTCGTCTATAATATAGAATTGAAAAAAATTGAAAATTAAATTAATTTTTTAATATCTATGTATTTTTTCGAATGAATTTATTCTTTAGCCTACAATTAAAGACAAAGTGTATCCACACCAGGAGTCAGACACAGCACCGGGAGATGATTCCGATGATGATAACGACAACAACGATAATAATAATGTGCTCAAAGGTGGCGGCGCTCACGGCTATGACGTCGAATATGTGGACGAAATGCGGACAATAGTTTACGGCTTTGGCCCGGCCTTTCGCAAGGCCTACATATCGGAACCGTTGGAAATGGTCGACCACTACAATCTGTTCTGCGAGCTGTTAGATCTGAACAACTGTCGGCCGAACAATGGCAGCAAATATCGGACCGAGTTGTTGCTGAAAGAGGCCGAAAGCGATGACGACGACGACAACGATGACAGTGATGAAGATGATGATGAAGACAATGATGGAGATGACGATGATAGCGATGGAGACGGTGTCCAAGCATTTAGTCTAAACTGGTGTCTGGTGTTTGCCGTTTTGGCCAAAATTGGCGCACAATTATGGCTATAATTTGTATGAATACAGTATTTTAACGTAATAAAAGAGATTATGATTATTATAATATTTAAATAAAAATGTTATAAAATTTTTTATTTAAAGTAAAGTACGATATATGACATTAGTTTCCCTCCTTCCGGGAAACTAGTGTCATATATCCTACCTTTGCTAACTTAATCCCGAAATCATAGCACAATTAGCTTCTATAGTATCCTATCCAACCCATACAATACTAATAATTTAATCTAAATAACGATACGAGTATATAGTTTTTATTGTGTTTCAAACTAACTATTTTTTTCAAACTAACTATTAATCTAAATTAGATTATCTAATGGTTATAAAAATTTCAATATTAGTTTTTTTCAACAAAAAAAATTAAATGCTATGAAATAAAACTAATTGATTTCATTAGTGGTATTTATCTCATATTAAATTCTATGTATATTAATACAGTATTAATATACAGTATATACAATTAATATATAGTAATGTAATATATAAGATACTATCCGTGCCAATCAAACCTGTTGACTACCACTACCATCACTGCCATCATTATCGTTGTCATCATTTCTGTCATCACGTAGTTGTTTCGGTTGGGCCTTAGATGTGTCCACTTGGACACCGACAACCGGGCCTTCTCTTTGTTGGATATGTTCAAATACCTGATGCAATAGCCAACCGGCGTAGTATAGGTAGTACGTGACGGCCAGACCACCGCCTACAACGGCTCCTGTTTTAAAATTTTCGCTAAAAAATGTGGCCATCAGTATCAGATAGGCGGCCAAACAGAGAAGTGGTGAACCCAACATTTGCAACATATGTGCTCCAAAAGACTGATTCGTATTTAGCGTCAAATTCATTTCATTGGCCACCCGTTGCCTGTATCCCAACAATAGGCTCCTCCGAACCAACTGAATGTTGCGATACGGCTGTCGACACACTTCGCAGGTCATATCGTCGGTCAGTAGTCGACCGTTGGTCTGTTCGCGACTGGCAATCAATTTGAACAGACAATCGCTACACATACCGCTCGTACAGTCGCATATATAGTACGGCATTTGTGGCGCCTCATAACATATTCGGCAATCATTGCCAACAGTGGACGTTGTTGTGGCAATACTGCCGCGATGTGAACCGCCAGCAGCTTCAGGAATGTCTAGTCGGATGTCCATTGGAGCCACAGGTCGGTGTCCTGGTGACTGTGCTGGCGAGTAAGCTGTCAATGGAAATGTTGGCGGTAACGGTATTGGATTAATTGGTAGTGATAACCGCCGTCTATGAGACCCTATTGAACCGATAGTAGACGGCGACTCCAGTGACCCAAGTGATGATGACAATCGATGTGACAATCGATGTGATAATCCTGATATAGTTGGTGTTTGTCTCGATGTCGAATCTGTAGATGTAAAATGAGTTGATTGATCGAGTGTCGGCTGAACGGGAATCGGATACCTTTGCTGACGTTTAGGTCGAGGTGATGGCGGCGGCCATCTGGTTGGTTGTGGCATTGGATCAAATGACAAATGAGACGGTTGTCTGGAACCTTCTCCAGGAAATTGCCATCTTCTAAAATTTGGCGAAGATTGCGACCTTCTTGAGCTAGTAGGTGATGGTAATATGAGCGAACCTCCTGGCGAAGATTGCGACCTTCTTGAACTAGTAGGTGATGGTAATCTGAGCGAACCTCCTGGCGATGATTGCCGTGAATCTAGAGATGATGAACCGAATGTCGGCTGAACGGGAATCGGATTCCTTTGCTGACGTATAGGTCGAGGTGATGGCGGCGGCCATCTGGTTGGTTGTGGCATTGGATCAAATGACAAATGAGACGGTTGTCTGGAATCTTGTCCAGGAAATTGCCATCTTCTAAAATCTGGAGAAGATTGCGAGCTTCTTGAGCTTGTAGTCGATGGTAATCTGAGCGAACCTCTTGGTGACGATTGCCGTGAATCTAGAGATGATGAACGCCCTGTTCTCCGGGCTCTACCTGTCTGTCCCTCACCACCGACTGGCCGACCGCCTAATTCTGACATTTCAATGTATTCATCATCTGATTTCTTAGCCATTACTATCTGTTTTTTTCTATCTACCGGTTCTTTTTTTAATTTAAATTTATTTATTGTTTTTTAAATATTTTCTTTTAATTTTAAAAATAAATATATATTTTTTAATTTGCAAATATTTATATAAAATATGGGTATTATAACTTTTTAATGACTTTTTAATTGATTCTAGATAATTTTTATTCTAGAATATTATTTTTTTATTATAATTTACAATATGCTTGAATAAAATATTTAATTTTTTTATTTAACAACATTATGTACGATTTAAACAATATTTATTCAAATTTATATTGTTATTATTAGCTATAATTATATTATACTAATACATGTATATGTAATATTATGTAATTGAAAACAATTGAAATAATTTATTTTTATTATACTTATGTATTCATGTGCTTCAAACCATTTGATGACATTTTCTAACAAAGTAAAAAAAATAATTGTCTAAAATAATCTAACAATTTTACAACTAATAACATTACATTAACTTTAGTGAACAGTTAGCTAATTTGTGATCATCAATAATAAGTTAATTTTATTAAAATATTTACATATATTGATAATTCATCTAATTAATTAAGTTAATTGTAAAAAATTAAATTATAACATTTAATTCTATATATTATTTATCTATTTTTATTTTAAATTTTTATTTAATCCATGCTCAGTTGATTTACTTGATAATCATATACTGTATATATTTATCAAATTGTTATTAATAAATATTTACTGTTAAAAATAGCTATTAAAGCGCTTATATATGCACATTTGATAAAGTTATTTTTAATACCTGTGATATATATTGTTTGTATAATATACTGTATATGTATGTATGACTGCATGTGTCTCATCTTTAATGTTTATTTAGGATTAATATTTTTGTATTTATTTTAAACACTTGCGTTTAACACGTTTAAACCATACACTGGTAATTGTAATTTATTATACATTATACAAATATAAAGATATATCCTATGTATATATATCAATATATAAACAGATTTCAATACAGATTAACATCAGTTTTCAGTTTTGCTTTATTTTTTAAAATATAATTTTTGTATTATATTTTCTAAACATATGGTAAAACATGAAATTTAATTAATATTATTTGTTAATTAATTTTAATAATTATTATTATAATACTGCATTTATAAATTTATTCTGAATTTTTTATTTATTTTTGTTGTTGTAATTAAGTTTTATTTAAATGCGAAAAATATTTAGCAATTGATAATATAATAACATTAACTATTGGATTAAACAATTTGTTCAAATATTATGTGCAAAAAACAAATTTTGAACTGAAAACTAGATAATAAATTGAAATTATGAAGACTATTAACAAATTGGACGACACCTATGAAGTTATCAAATCTCAAGTCACCAAATGTGTGCTAATAGGCCTGAAGTGCACATTCAGCGGATTTGTAGCCCTGTCCATAGTCGTCGACACCAATGATAATCAATGGCAATGTTTTAATAATAGCCGGTGCTATACATTGAAAACATTGTTATCAGCCATCGACTTATTGTTCATATATCTGATAATCTTATCGTTGATTATCTTCATCTATGTTGTCATAAATGAACAATTGCTGGGCATAGCCTTCATGACCGGACTGTCCGTTTGGGAGATTGTCTATCCGTTTGGCCAAACAGCTCGTTTGTCGACACTGATGGCCATACAAGCGGTAACAATCGGATTCATACTACTGGCCCTATATGTTGTCTCATTGATCGACACACATAATAAAAATCTCAAACATAGGATACTATCGAAACAGTTATCAATCATATGATGTGATTTTTTATTATATAAAATCATTTATTTTGTTTTATATTCATATATATGTAAGTTATAAGATAACTACAAAAAAAATATCTAATTGTTTTTATAGATATATTGAACAACACTTGAAAGTTGCTAATCACTTGACATTCAATTTGAAATATAACTGATTATTTATTTGCTCTCTTAAATTATTTGAATGTATGTTTAAGTTAATCTCATAATATGATTTAATTGTTTATTATTATTTTTTTAAAAAAGTATTTATTAATATTAATTTATTAATTGACAAATATATTCATAATGTAACAATAAATTTTTAAAAATATGTATTTCAACAAATTAGTATTTATTCTACATATTTTTTACATTGATACAATTGATAATAATAAATTATTATTTTTAAATGTGAGAAAAATTTATAAAATAAATTTAGTTGCAATTAATAATATCTCAATATTAACAATATGTATTATGCTATTATTTTTTTATTAAACAGCAAACTTTGTCCTAAAATAATATTTTAATTTAAAAATAAAATAAAAATCTATTTTTAATAATAAAATCTAATATAAATGATTAGTTTTTGTGGTCAATGAATAGATTTTTCTGTAATATTTAAGACAAACAACAATTTTCAAGAGAGAGAGAGAGAGAGAGAGTTAAGATCTAAAAATAGATGTAATAATGCATATAATGAATTAGTGACACAATTTCCTCATATAACACACATTTTCATATACTATGCAGTGATGTAACAAAAAAAAATAAATAATATTATCAGACATTTCCATTACAACAAACATATTTTTATAATTAAATATTGAGAAAAAAATTTTGTATTAAACATAACAACAACAACAAAATTAATTTTTATTTTAATTAAATGTATTTATAATTAATTAACTAAATAATAATAATAATAATATAACACATTTGTTTATTAATTTAAACAGGTACAGTATAGTATACAGATATATTGATTTTTAACCAGCAATTTGTTTCTAATAATTATATTACTTTTACTATACAGTACACTGTGTGCTGTAAAATACTAATACTATGTTTAGATGTATTATAAAATGTTTTCACATATTTATCATGTGTTGTACTAATTCATAGAAAATTTCAAAAATTTCAACTGTGTGTAAAACTGTAATATCATTATCATATTAATATCATCCAAAAAAAATTATCAACTAACATTTCATATTATTATCTACATTATGTACAGTAATAATAATAATACCCAAATAGTAAATTGTGTTTTTGAGATATCATATTAATTTTTGTTGTCAATTATTATTGTTATTATTATCTGTTGGATTCAGACAATATGGGTTTTATGACCCGAATGATGGACAGAGTCCGCCAATGGATATACTCTAGAGAGGAATGGGAGGCCTATCAAATTGAACGCAACCGTAAACGTGAGGCCAAACAGCAGGGAAAGCCTACCGATGATGATGATGATGTTAAGGTAGTTTTTTAATTATAATTATATTTATTTACACACTTTTTTAAAAAAAAATTAGTACAAAATTTATTAGTCATTATTAAGCAATTTTGTTTGGTTTAAATAGTTTATTTTTTATGCTAAATATCTTATCAGTTTTATTTATTACATAAACACTTATTAAACCATTGATTTACACTCGTATTTATTTATTTAATTAATTACTATTATTATTACTGTATTATCAATTCAATATAGGACAACAAACATCAGCGACAAGTGTCACGAAAATAAGTGATAAAATTAAAATAACATAATTGAAGTACTTTTCTCTCATCGTCACATAATTTGATAATTTAAATGTTATTTATTTAATAAATATTTAATTATTAGTAAAATTCATTATCATCTCAAATGTCATAATTTATATAATAATTAACTAATTTAAAATGAGCTTATTATACAATGTAATAATTATAATAATAATACAAATGTAAGTGTGATTAATTTATGATATAACTTATTGGTAATTAAATTGAATTTATATTGATATTATAACTAATTTATAATTATAAGTTATATATTGTAAAAAAATATTCTCAATTACCTATAATTGTTATATTGCAATAATTATCTCTCAATAAAAATATAATTAATTAAATTAATTTATTTCTAACAAATAATTTGACCAGATATTGAAATTATTTTTAAAAATATAATAAATATATAATTTAATTAAAACAAAAAGAAAAAAGCATTAATTCAGACAATTTTATTTTCGCACAAAATTCTCTAATATGTGATTAACAAACAATTGTTTTACGCAATTATCGGATAATAATATCATTTCAAACCCCTTGACTGAATGACTGATTGATTGACAAATATGTGTGTGTTATCTAACGAGAGAGAGAGAGAGAGAGAGAGAGAGAGAGAGAGAGAGAGAGAGAGAGAGAGAGAGAGAGAGAGAGAGAGAGAGAGAGAGAGAGAGAGAGAGAGAGGCCTAAAGTCACGACTACTTAAGCTAAATGTCAAGCAATCAATTGATTCAATTAGTTTTTTCGTTGTCGACGACAATAATACTAAAAAAATGTCTCGACTAATAGCACCGATACTTGTAGTATATCTGGCCGTTTGCAGCGGTTGGCTACGGGCCGCGGACAAGCCATGCAACAGCTTTCCGTCGGGTATCCAGCAATTGGTCAGAGGTATTGACGTATCCAAACTGGATATGTTTCCCACCGATTTGGCCCAAACGGGTGGCTTTCAGAGAAGTGTCGTATCGTTGACCTGCAATGAAGGCAAGAAGTGGACACATCCGTACGACAAGAGCATTGTCTTTGACATTCCCGATCAGGTCAGCGCCGTCAATACGATTCCAGGCGGTGTGGTCAACACCAAAACGGCTTTCATCGAGTCTACCGAAGATTTTAAGCAAACATCTGCCGTAGATGTGGGTCTAGATATCAATACCATACAATACGGCGCCTACTCGTTGAGCTCCGGCTACAAGAAAGCACAGGAAAACCTAATCAATAGCACAAAGTCTATGCTTGAGGCGAGTTATGATCTAATCCTCCTCATCGGTTGAATTCATTACTAAATGTTTCCTTTATTAGGTATCGGCTTATGTATCGGCCATACGTGTAGATTTGCATCCATACTATGAGCTGAAACCTGACAAAGACTTCAGTGACTTTGTTGACCATATATTGCCGGCCACTTATGCCGAAGATCCTCTAAAGTACATTGAGTTTGTCGACACATTCGGTACCCATTACTTCGATAGCGGCATATTTGGCGGTTTTGTTCAACAGTCCATTGAATTGCAGTCCAATTTACATCTGAAAATGTCTGAAAAAGACTTGAAAGTCAACGCCGAAGCGTCGTTCCTGTCTGTTGTCAAACTCAAGGGCGGCTACACTAAGGACGTCCAGAATGTGAGTCGTCAGTTTGCACAGAGCGCCGAAGTTATGACTGCTTTCTACGGCGGCAAAGCCAATCTGATGCGCGAAGGAAACAATTGGCCAGAATGGTGGGACAGCGTTCCACGGGATCCGTGGCTTTTTGGCGGTTCGCTCAAACCGATCACCAATCTGGTCAGCGGACCGAAGAAGACACAGGTGACCGAAGCGGTTCGCGTCAAACTCGACAAAGCACTGCTCGAAGATCTGAGAGGATCCTTGACTTTGTTTCACAAGTATACGGCAGTTCCCGTAACCGAAGAGCTGACCGCATTGGATGCCGTTATTGGCCGCCAGTCGCCGGTTCACACAGATGTCAAAAATATTAAACAAGCTGTCGCTGATTTCTTGACCCGCGAAACGGCCAAACTTAACAAACAGTATCTGAAAACATTGGAAGATCGGATCCAATCACTTCAAGACATCGAACTCTTCTGTAAACGAATAGTGGCCGACAAGTGTATGTCCGACCATTTGCGTGATGTCGACGAAACTATTGCTGCCGCCAAAGCCTTGTGGAACCGAGCGGATCAGCTCAAGGCACAGGAAGTACCTGACAAAGACCAGTTTATAGAGTTGTCCCGTTCGGTCGAGTCGTTTATCGAGACCCAGAAGCACAGCCACATCGGCGAGTGTAAGGAAAAGGTGTTTTGCAATCTCTGCAAAATTACCGAAGCGCTGACCATTCATAAAGCAAAATGTGATTCCACTGAAGTCAAAGAAATACTCGATATTCATGTCTAGAAAGAGAGAGAGAGAGAGAGAGAGAGAGAGAGAGAGAGGATGTACTTTATATGTCAATTGATTTTCATTCAAAACAACTATAAAAACAAAATTAATATATAAATTAATTAATTAATAATTCTTTTGTTATTTTTTTGTATGAATTATGTCTTTAAATTAATTGATTTTTAAAAATTTATAACAAATAAAAGTTTTATAATAAGTATATTGCAAATTTTGATGATTGATTGATTTATTTAAAAAAAATTAATTAACGTTTTTAATTTAGTTTTTAGACTAATTTATAACAAATATTTCAATACTAAATTACGGTTAATTATAATTATATACATATGTATATGATATGTAATCAAAACATAATAGTAAAAATTATTTATAAGGGGACTAACTATTAAGTTAACTAATTTTTCAGATATACCACACAATTTATTAACTATTTAAAAACTATTTATTTATATTATTTAAGATTAAATAAAAAACTTATCAAGTACAATTGACTTTAAAATTCCTAAAAATAAAAATTAATAAAAAATTAGTCGTTAGATGGCATTATTGAATAAACTTTTTAAAATAATGTAAATTCAATTGCATAATGTTTTTTTATAACATAGCATTCAATAAACACTAAACACATTGTGTAGTACAGTATGTATTGAATATTTTACTTTTTAAATGACATTTCAGTACGTATTTTACTAAGTCATAGGCTTATACTGTACAGTGTATAACACAAAGTACAGCATATGATTGCTATTATTGTTAATAATATATCGTATTTTTTTTAAATATAAAAAGTTGTTATAAACAATGTACTAAAAAAATAATACTATAACAACATATTTGAATATAATTAATATATTATTAATAATATGAATGAATGAATGGATAACATGGATAACAATACATTGTATTAGATTTACTATATATAAGCAAACAAACAAAAACACAGTTAGGATATAATACAAAGTAATAATAATAAAATAGATAACTATATATAAAATACTACTATAATATAGAGTCTATGATATGATAATGTAATACATTGTCGACATTATTATTATTATTATTATATGATATTATAATCACATAAACAATAATAATAATAATTTTTCGGAAACCTATTGAGTGGCCACTGGTTTTGCCTACACATCGATCTGATAGGACATCCAAACAGCTACTGATTCTTGTTGTTTGTGGTGATAATAATAATAATAATAATATCAATCATTTCATATATCGATAGACCATCAGATGTTATCCGTGAGGCCAACACTTAACAAGTGTTGATTTTCGGGTCATCGTTGTTGTTGTTGTTGGTGTTGTAGTGGCTAACGATGCCATTACGGTGAACCATATATCGTATCATAAAAGTGGACACATTTTAAGAGTGATCTCTCTCTCTCTCTCTCTCTTTCTTTTATCACATTTCATATGTCGTCGTCACTAACAATGGCCAACAATAACAACAATAGCAACAACAACACGACCACTGCCGCCGCTAACGCCAACAACGACTGGCGACCCGATTATTTTCTATTGGGAATGTACTCTATGCGACCACAACTATGCGACGTGACTTTGATTACCGACGATAATCACCGAATTGTAGCCCATCGTATTGTTTTAGCCGCCAGTTTGCAGTACTTTCAGGCCATGTTTGTCGGTTCGCCGAGCGGCGGCCAATATGTAGAAAGTGGCCAGTGCGAGATACATATACGTAATGTGGATGGCATGGCATTAAACGAGATTATCAAGTGGTCCTATACGGGTCAAGTGGACACCAGAACCGATAATGTGGAACAGTTGATGAGCGCCGCAAAAATGCTGGACTGCGACCATGTGGTGGCCATTTGTGTCCAGTTTATTGAATCCCAGTTGCATCCGGAGAACGCACTGGGCGTCTACGGGTTTGCCGAACTGCTCGGCTGTACTGATCTCCAAGAGTTCACAATGAACTATATATACAATAACTTTGTGGCCATTTCGCGCCAATCGGAAGAGTTTATGCAGTTGACCGGTGAACGAGTGGCTCAAATAATATCTTCGGATCTGTTGGACACTGGAGAGGATGGCGAACAAGTGGTACTGTCGGCACTGATTGCTTGGATACTATACGCCCGAACCGATCGTATGAAGTGTTTGTCGTCGCTTATACAACACATACGATTTCCGCGCTTTACTCAGGAAAGTCTTGTACGCATTGAAGACGAGTATCCGATCATCAAAAGCGACGCCACCTGTAAGGATCTGCTCATCGAAGCCATGAAATATCATCTCTGTAATGGCCAGATTTCGGTGGCGAACAATGCACGCTTTCGGCGACGCAAACCAATGGGACGGGCCAAGTGTTTGCTGGTATTTGGCGGCCAATCGCCGAAAGCCGTCTCCGAGAACGAGTACTACGACTTTAAGCTGTGCCAATGGATTAAACTGGAACCCAATCTACCTGATCGTCGATGTCGCGCTGGACTAGCCATTCATAACGGTATAGTCTATGTAATCGGTGGTTTCAATGGACAGTCGCGTATCAATACAGTCGACAGGTTTGATCTGCAGCACAAAGAGTGGAAACAGTGTCGACAAATGCTGGCTAAGCGGTCAACGCTAGGGGTCGGCCTATTCAACAATATGATCTATGCTATCGGCGGTTTCGATGGTACAATTGGCCTACAGTCGGCCGAAGTGTATGACCCGAAAAAAGATTTGTGGCAATACATTACGCCGATGTCTACCCGACGCTCATCAGTAGGTGTGGCCACACTTAACGGCGGCATTTATGCCGTKGGCGGCTACGATGGCGCCAGTCGACAGTGTCTGTCATCTGTCGAGTATTATAATCCCGTGAACAACACGTGGACATTGATTTGTGATATGTCTCAGCGTAGAAGTGGAGCCGGCGTCGGAGTATTAGATGGTCGACTGTATGCAATTGGCGGCCACGATGGACCAGCCGTACGCAAGAGTGTCGAATGCTACGATCCGGCTACCAATAGCTGGTACCAGTGCGCCGATATGATCAATGCTCGCCGCAACGCCGGCGTAGTCTCAATGGACAGCTTTCTATATGTGATTGGCGGCGATGATGGCCAGAGTCATCTGTTATCCGTCGAGGTGTATAATCCACAGATAAACTCGTGGTCACTGTTGCCGGAAGAGATGTCTATGGGACGAAGTTATGCTGGAGTTGCCATCATTGACAAGACATGGACGTGAATACCCCGCAAAAAAACGACTGATAAATTACATTACATGTTATTTTGATATTTTTTATCATTATTATTAATAATTTGTAATAATTGTTTTTTTTAATTTAATAATTTTGTTGATAATTTAGTTATTTAATGAATTATATAATTATTATTATTATTTTTTTGTAAATGATTATTATTATTATTACTGTTATCATGTATCAAGGTAACATTATAATGATATATAACCTTATTGAAATTATCTCAATAGTATCATGTATAGTATAAATATGTATTATTTTTTTTAATTTTAAATTTATTATTATTTAGGACTATAATATAATTGTTATTTTTTAAATGTTTTATATATATTTTTTATTTATCCACATATCTTATATAACATAATAATACATACATACATAGATACCATAAATAAAATATCGATTTCCGGTAATTTAATTTAAAACATTTGAATACTGCATATACAGTAACCCTATTTATTATTATTTAAGTTTATGATTAACAGGTAATTAAATATTTTTTTTGTTAATAATTATAATAAATATTATACTCTAAAATTGATAACAACTATAATATAATTATTTGAAAAATAAATAATTGATATTTAAATTATTGTAAATTTAATTGCAATTTAAGTTATAGTAATTTTTATTAACATCCAAATACTTATATAAATAATCATTTGCATAGCAATCAAAGTGTCTAAAACAATACAATACCGTATTTGTGAACAATTTAAAAAAAGTGAATTACCGTAACTATATATTATTAGTTTATAATTATAACAACAAACAAATTATAGACAATAATTTTTTTGTGATATATATATGTATATATGTATATATATATGTGTGTGTATGTGATATAATAAACAGTTAGATTGATGTCCATCAGCATTACTAGCACCACACCATCATCAGAGCACCTATAGCTCATCACTGGTTGCACAGACACAGGCATTCTTTTGAGATTCTTTAAAGTTTTTGCAGCCAAACGTCAGAAAACTCATCATCAATAACTTGGTGGCCGTACGACAGCCTAATTAGTTATGGGAGGTGACGGAGGACAGGATATCCAAAAAAAATAGGGAAAGGGATACAATTATTTTTTTTTATATCAAATAGTCAGGTAGGGGTGGATGGGGTGGATGAGGGTAGGAGGAACTCCTTATTTATGGGACACATACTAACCTTTAAAAAGGGCTTCGTCTTTTTGAGTGTCGCGGCAATTCTTGACCAAACATTTGCCAAACTGGTCGTCGCACTGGTTCTTGTCGGCGCCGCACTTGTGATAACACAGCTGATGATCATTACAACAGTGACGCATCTCTTTGATCGGTAGATCCGACTCTTTGATCTAATTGGGGATTAAATTTATATTTTTTTTAAAAAATCATTACCAAAAATTTTTAACAATTTTTTTATATAAATATATAAATATTTGTTTGTTTGCCAACCTTTATGCCAAATGTCTGGCAACCAGTAGGCAAGTGTTCGTAGGCTTTATTAGTCACTGCAATCTTAGCTTAAGGTAGATATAAGCACAGGTAAAGAGTTGTTAAAAACTCAATTATTTATAGTTTTTTTAAAAATAAATTAATTTGATTGCAAAAAAACTAATTAATATAAAATTTACTTAATAATAATTACTGTAGTCTAATTATTTATTTAATGATAATAATTATCTATTTATTATAAAAATTTTAACTATTATTATCAACTAAATCATGAATTTCTTAATTGACTTAATTAGATGTTTATAACTAAAATTTTTTAAAAAATGTTTTTCACAACTATTTTACAATTTAAAAACCTAGCCTATTATACAAAAGTTATAGAAAGCTATAGTATAAATAACAAAGTTTAAAAAATAAAAATATTTTTATAATTAATATTCAACAAACAAATAATTCACACAAAAACAAAATTAAATATTCAAATACTATGTGGACATAGAAAATGGCATTCCTCTCCTTTTGCGTGTTCAATGATATGGTCGGCCCAGGAGTCGACATTAGTATACAATTTATCGACAAAACCGGACAACGAGTCTCCCATATCTCCAAACATTTTGCCAAAATTTTCGACAAATGCATTACCAAATGGTAAGGATAGTAATAATACAGTGATAACTATCTGAACAATTGATGATAAATTAGTTGTTAATGGATTCAATAGTTTCATATTTATTGTTGTTGTTGTTATTGATAAGTATGAGGAAAAAATACTAATTAAGTTTAATAAGTAAATAAATAGATGAATTTTTATGTTTAATTAATTAGATTGATTTAATTATAACAAAATATTTGAAATTTAATAAAATTTGATATACAGTACAGTATTATAGACTTTTATGTTATATTTAATATAATTTTATAAGAGTGTATATATTTTTTACAGCAATACAATTATAAGGCAATTATAAAATTATAATGTTTTTCTAATGCAAATATGGACTCAATTTTATTAAAATGCAAACTTTTTCTTAAAACTTATTTTGTATAATCATAATTATAATAAAAAAAACAAAAATATAGTGAATATTATATGTTTGTTTATTATATAATTTATAAGGCATAACATATATACAAATATAGAATATTTGCGTGATTTGAGTTTATTAATCATTATTATCATTGATATATATTAAAATATATGATCAAGGTAGACTTAAAAATTAAAATTATATATTACATATTAATTTTATGCAATATAACATAAAACCAATAAAATCTTAATAATTAATTATCAATTATTGGATATAATAAATTAAAATTTAATAGTTAATAAAAATTATTTACAATCAAATTGTTATCATTTTGAAATAGTGTGCTATCATATAAAATTTATATAGAAAATGCTTTTTTAGATTTTCATAATAATAAGTATTATATATTACATGTACAATATGTCTTAATAATTTATATTAATTTATTTGATTATTATTATTATTATTATTATTATTCATGATTTAACATTTATAGTATATACCTGTATTTATTTAGTTATATACTATCGTATATAATAATAATCGATACTTGAAACTTACATTTTAAGGAAATTAAAAAACATAAATAAGTTTACATAAATTAAAAATACATAATTAGCATTATTTATGAAATTTTAATATTTAAAAAAATAAGCAAATATTCTGTTATTATAAATTATATTATAACTAAATAATAAGATAATAATTTTTTTTTATATATCATTAACTATCTGTAATAATTAACAATAATATTGATTTTATTTAAATTAATTTTCGTAATTTGTTTTTCTGTTAAATGAAAATATATATACAATTCATAATTTATAAAAACAAAAACATAATACACAATATATATATCACTAATTAATTATTTGAATTAATACAGCAATGAATTATTTATATAAATTTTTTAAAATTTTATTTTATAGACTCTCTCTTAGCATAAGTATGAGTGTCTCGTCGTCGTCGGGATATTCTCCAGCTTTCTGTTCATTGGGTATATAATGAGTTTCGGCAAACTCTTGAAAATATTTGCCAATCTCCAGATGTTTGATCTCATCGGACTGTCCACACGGTTCCAGATTCTCTTGTGCCGCATATCTAGTGGATCCATCGTCGACCAGTACATTATAAAACGGTTGTTTGTCTTTGTTGGGCAACCGATAGACACCCATCTGATAGATCCAATCCCGACTGGCCGCACATTTAGAATCCCAACCGTAAATAACGCACCGGTAGTTATATCTATAAAATGAATAGTAATAAAAAACAACACACAAAAAAATTAATATATTAAACACTGATTTATACTCAACAAAAAAACTAACTTCTTGTGCAACATAATCATTCCGATGGCATACTTGATGTCATTGTTGACATTGCGATGCTTTACAGCTGACTTGCGATTATTATTATTGTTGGCACTAGTATTTCGTTTGGCCGACAGTTGACTGGTCACCGATTGTCGTAAAAACATTACCACACCGATCGAGTTCGGATCTCGTTCGCTGATTTTGGCCAACATATCGTTAACAAGTTCTAAGTTTATATTCAAATGCAAGTATACTCGTGACAGAAGCAGTTGTGATTCGTTTTCTTCCGGAGACAAAATGCATAGCAATTCAAGAGCATTGCGCAAACAGATCAGTCCATCCGATGAGATCTCCTGTTGGCGGCCAATCTCGACAAGATTGCGACACATTCGACAAAACACGTCGCGTAGAGAACAAACGCCCACTCGATCAATGTCTTCGTCGCTATGATTGGCCAGAAGTGGCGACCGAGACGTCAATTGTTGGCCACCGTTGTAGACATCGATATATATCCATCGATACGAGTCGTGCGATTCGTCATCGCTATTAGCGTCGACAACAAGACATATAAAATTTAGTCAAAAATCAAATTCACATCAAATTATTTTTAAGACATTACTTGTATTGTTTCCACTTAAGAATGAAATGATGGGGAAAGTTGACACCAAATGTCTTAACACCGAGTTTAGCGCATATCGTATGATATAATATGCAATATGTTATGGGAATACCAAGTCGTCTATCGATTACTTGATCCATAAATGAATTGTTCATTTCGTAGTAGTCGTCGTCGTTGGTCATGAAATGCAACTGATTGAACATTACTTCGTTCAGTGATTGCATAATCTGACGACAGTCTTTGGCCGACCACTTGGATTCAGTCAGTTGCTGTGCTTCCGAATCTGGCAAACATTTGGCCGCATTTTGATGGACAATGGCATTTGAAGGATAATTAACCGCAAGTTCATCGATAGTTAACTGTGCAATCAGTTCAACTTGTCGTCGATAATGTTCTTCATCTATTGACCTATTCATCTGAAACCATGACGATATCATCAGTGCTCCGTTGAAAAAGTCATCTACCGATTGGTGGCCGCTATCGTTGGCTAAATAGTCTAACCATTGTCGACGAAGTAACTCGTGTCGCAAAAATCGCAACACTTTCAGCGCATAGTATTTGATGGTCAGATTCTTGCGTTCCGAGCCGTTCCGTAACAGACACTCCAGTTCGTCCATTTGAAACAAATGTATCAAATCGGTGGTTAACTCTGGACAACGATTTTGTCGATGATTATCATCGGTTGTCAACTCGTATTGGTAGTCAACAAACGCTTTGAACGATTCGTTAGACAATTCTTCATCAAAATAGTGACTGTCGGCCAGTTTAGCCACTTCTTGTTGAACGTGTCGACCGCAGGCGTACCTGTCGGCCACCAAACCTTGCCAATCGGTGACCTGCGATAGTAACCGTCGAGTCAAACCGTTTCGCCACAATAGTGGCCACTGATGAACAAACTTTCGGCGCCAGAGTTCGCCGTTGCCGGCAATCAACAACTGGAAGCGTTTGGCAGTACAACTGAGCCGACACAAGTCGACGGCCGTTAGACACTTGTTGGTCACTATGGCCTCAAGAATTTCGTTGGGCAGCGACTCGATGCCGGCCGCAGACATCGTAACAGTTGATATCAGCGATGATGTCATGTCTGGCAACAACTGATGTCTTGTATTTGTCTCTTCACTCAATGTCCTGTTGTTGTTGTCATTTGACTGTCGATGTAAACAATCATTTCATAAGCAATGACTAACTGTATGTACAGTAAGTATATGTGTTGTGCAATACAGAGATTGTACTGTAATTGTAATACAGACTACTTATGCTATTATGTGTAAAAAAATAGCAATAAAAAAACATCATTAAAAAATTTAATAATAAAAATAACTAAATTAACCTGGATACACAATTTTATAATTAATTTTATTGATATTAAAAAACAAATTTAATTATATTATTTTTGTTGGCAATGAATAAAACATTTAAATTACTGTATTTATATAAAAACACTTTATTAAAAACATTTATATACTGTATTGTATATAAACATATGATTATTAGGAAAAGTTATGGTTTTTTTGTTGTTGTTGTTTGTGTCCAACTATTTTCAATACTATTTTATTTATTAAAAAAAATAAAATAAAAATAATTTTTATATACCTGTCCTCCAAATTCAAGAGGACATACACCCGAATTTTAAGATCGTTGTTTTCAATTGAGGCCTAAACGGCTTCACCAATCATAGTTTGGTCACCGAATTGGCATCGATCCGCGGCCGTTGCCGTCGCCGCCGCAGCCAAACAACAAATATGTATAACAACGATATCAAAGCCTACGGCGAAAGTATACAAAATCACGAACCATTGTTTCCGTTTCCGTCCGATGAACTCGTGGACGACGACTTCAGTTGTCGGTCGACATTGAAAAAGGACGAACCGGCCACCACTTTGACCATTGAATTTCGTCTATTGAATTGCAATGAGTTCAGTGTCCGGGCGTCCAAATATAACGACCGATTTATATCATTGGTCGAGAAGTGTCGCCAACGAAAGACAAAAGAAATGAAATATTGTTATGAATTAGATGTCAAACACTATATTTATATCTTAAGCCATCTTAAGGTATGATTGATTACAATCTTTTTTTTCATTGACGATCACTACATTTGATCACTAATTTCTTGGTTATTCATTACTAATTATTAGCACTTTCACGAAGAAAGCTATACAACTGTCAACTATAACAAACTGGACAACGAGTTCATGCGGGCACTGATGGCCAACAGCCAGTCAAACAACGATATCATAAGATTCATACAATCAGAAGAAAGTAGTCGAATGTCGATAATAGAGTCGTTGACCTCAAGTCCAGAGTTTGGCGAAACAGTTCAGCTAATGATAGACAACAAAATGTTTGACGACATATATCCGAATCAATTGATCTCATGGTATACAGCAGTCGCCCGTAACGGCAAATGTATATTAGTGGACACGTACGGTAAATCGTTGACCGCCCTACTTGTTATGGTACACTTCAAAGACGACTGGCCGCTGGTTATCATTTGCGGCGGCGATCATCGTAAAGAGTATTGGTTTAATGAGATGACCGAAATGCTTAGCGGCGCCAAAGAATTGAACATCAATATTGTGGACGAATTAACCGATATTTATGTTTATCCGAATCCATTTCCCGATGTAATGATCATGAGCTACGATGTGTACTATGAGGCGAAAGATACCATTAGTTTTAAGTGTCTGAATCTCAAGGCATTCATCTTTGAGGACCAATCGCGCGGTAATCCACATCAGACCCGGCCGTGGAAAGGATTGTCCAATTGTTTTGACAATCTTTCGATTGCCAAACGACTCGTTTTCATTTGTGCTACCAATGGCTGTGATTTATCTCATAATCTCAAACGTTTGTATCCAATGTTTCGGCTATTGGATGGCCAAACGTTTGCTGATTATAATAAATTTTACGAACACTATTGCGATGATAGTATAGATCAACGTAAACGGGATCAACATCTCCAGGAACTGGAGATACTGTTGCGATCAACCTTTTTAATGCCAATTGCTTTTGTCTGATAATAATAATACCTATACATCTCTCTCTCTCTTTCATATCATTAATTATGTAATGATAATAATTTAAAGTAAACTATAAACTGTTTATCAGCTGAGATATAATTGTGATTTTAAATATTTAAATAAATTATAAAAATTTTTTATTACTGTATAAACTTTTTTTTCAATCATTAAAAAACAATTTAAATTTCAATGAAATGTCTATTCAATAATACAGATGGCATTGTATTATAAACTGTATTACATATGCTATACATTTGCAATATTTTATTGACACTCAAAAACACTACACATATTCACAATATATTTAAAAACCCCCCGAAACCAGTGACCACTTTTTAGTTTGACTATTACTTATTGACAACGGGTCATATAATGTTACGGTCGATATATTGAGGACACATACACACAGACATCATTATTATCATCATCAACAACAACAGTGACCACATATACGCACGCTATGGCCAAGTAAGTGATATTCTGCCGTTTTTCCCGCGGCCGCAATTATGATAATTACCGTCAAAAAAAGACATAACATTTGATTGATTATCTGTTTCTTCTTCAACTTATTCTTCCACTACTTATTAAGACGTTATTTTGACAACTCTGCCAAACAAAAGCCCGGAATTATCAGGTATTTGCGCCAAATATTTTCATTACCCGTAAACTTATAAACTTATGTTTTTTTTTGTTTCCGACCGGCCGTTTGATAACTAGCGATGAACTTCGTCGGGCGCTTAACATACACGACGACAAACTACCGATTTGGATATACCGTATGCGAGTATTAGGTTATCCGCCCGGTTATCTACAACAGGCTCAGGTGAACACACTGTCCATATTTGACGACGCAATCAATGCCGCCGAAGATGGCGAAGTGCGCGACACACCGGCCGTCGCCGCCGCTGCCAATCCGTCCGGCGTTCAGTACAATAAGGAATCGTTTATTGAATATCCAGGCTTTAACTGTCCCGTTCCCTACGGTGTCAAAGATGTAATACTAATAATAATACTACTAATCGGTGATTGACTAAACCAGTTCACGGGTCTGTGGACAGGGTTTTTTTTGGTCACCAAAATAATTTGTTTGTAACTAATTATTTATATGTACTTATTGTTGTCCGGATGTATTAGGATTGGCATTATCTACGAATGCCACCGATGCTCGAACAGCAACAGCTAAAAGAAGCGCTCAAAACAATGCGAGTGATGGAACCGGTTCCCTATAAGAGGGCCAAAATGGACTTACCGTCGACCACCACCACCACCACACCACCATCATCATCATCGACGGCAAGTCGCCGATCATCAACTAATCGTAAATCTGGTAATTAATTTGTATAATTTGTTTTTCGTAATACTCATCAAAAAAAATCTGTATTTCCATCTATTTATGTTTGAAAAGACTCGTCATTCTATGGCAACAATGAATCGCTAAACAATAGTTCATTAAATTCATCAAAGTATGACAACAGTGTTGTTGATCTCGAATCGGACGACGATGTGGTCGTACTGGAGGACACACCACCGAAAAGTTCTTCCAACGGCAATGTTTCCAAAACAAGTCAATTGTCCGAAACGGAAAGCCAATCAACAACAACAACAACAACAACAGCACTAACCTCAACGCCTGTTGTTTTGCACAACGAAAGTACCGATAGTGAACGTAAACTGAAGCTAATATCGATGGGCAGTCCGATGCCGGTATCGGAACGTACGAAAAAGCCGGCACTGGAAAAATGGTCCGAAGGTATGGGCGAACTGTTGTATTTTGAGAACCCAGAGTCAGTACAATACACCGGTATCTATAAGACCAAAATGAAGGCCGTTATCGACAAGATTCGGGAGAAGACTAGTAGTGGCCATACGTGACTATAATAATGTGTTTTTGTTTTTTAAATGTTTTTTTTAATAATTTTAATTTATAATTTGACTCAACAAAAATTTGATAGTTATATATATATATATTTGTAACTTGAATTTTGCACAAATATTTTCTTTTTTTTAATCAATTAATTACTGTTATAATCATTTTTTTCTCTCTCATTTGACTACTAAATTGTTATATATATATTATATTATTATATTCATCTAATTATTTGACATTACCCTAATTGAAACATTTATATTTATCATTTAAATACTATATAATTTTTTCTTATATACTAAATTGTCACAAAATTTCTAATTGTTAATATCTAATAATTTGATATTTATTTCCAATAAATAACTTTTTTTAATTACCGGTAAATTATCAATTTTTTAGATTAGGTAATATATAGAAGATCTATGGTTAGATTCAATGCTGTAGTAAATGTTTTGCAATACAATTATACAGGTAGTATAAAAAAACTTTTAATAACAATAAAATTGTTATAATAATAGTAATAATTACATAACTATCAGTTCATTATTATACAATATTACAATAATTTTAAACTATTATATATTCTATACTAAACCATAATTACAAAAAAACATCATTATTACAAGTAATAAATTTATTGATTATTTAATAATTTTATTAATTTTTTCTGACTATTTAAAACAATTGTTGATATTTTTTATGACTGTTGTTGAGCTTGTGGTTGTGCTGCATATTGTTGTGGTTGTGCTGCATATTGTTGTGGTTGTGGTTGTGCTGCATATTGTTGTGGTTGTGCTGCAAATTGTTGAGGTTGTGCTGCATATTGTTGAGGTTGTGCTGCATATTGTTGAGGTTGTTCTGACGGACAATCTTCTGGTGGTGGTTGTGGTGACGGACAATCTGCTGGTGGTGGTTGTGGTTGTGGTTGTGGTGGTGGTGGTGGAGGTGGTGGTGGCTGATAGTAATTGGCTGGTTGGCCATTGTTGTTGGCATCGAATTCGACTTCAGGACAGGCAGGACCCAAACTTCTGGGCGCTGGCGCGTAGATCTCAAATATGGGTCCCTCGACTATCTTGGACTTGACTGCCGGCTTATGTATGATTTCTCTGGTTTCAATTACTTTCGGTACTATCCTCTCAAACAATTGCCTCTCATTGACCACTTTTCTTCGTATAATAACTACCGGTTCTATCATTTTCTGGTTAACAATCTTACGTTTTTGCATGAATAGACGTCTTCTTGTTTTGAATATTGTCTTAATACTGGTCACTACATAGCTTTCGGTATAGGTTTCGATCTGTAAATGTCATAATTAAGTAGAAGACAAAAAATATATAATAGGTTACAATTGGATAAACTAGGGCTCAGTTAGGTTTGTTCTACCGATACAATTACTAACATATTCTTTGCGGTTAGTTTTGAGATCTTTTTCCATTGTCTTGATATCGGTGGGCGTCAAGTGAACCCGTTTGACAATCTTGCAGTCGGATTCCTCTTTTTTTCGGTCAATCATTTTAATGTTGGGCGTAACTGTTGGCGGTTCCAGTGCTCGCGGATTAACACAATTTGTTTGGTCATTTTCGGGACCGGCCAGTGACCGCATACGTGGCATGTTTGGCATTTCTCGCCAACCATTTTCCTCACCTTCTTTGTTGCACTTTTTGCCAGTTATCGGATCAGTGTTTTCATCCGGAAACAGTTGATTGCCTGAGCCCGGTGCTGCTCCATGATCTTCGCTATCGTCAGGTGAGCCGTAATTTTGGGCACCACCACCACCACCGCCGCCCATAGAGCCGGCACCCGACTCCAAACTGGGCGCCTCCATTTGCTTGGCGTGTTTGACACCCAGATATTGATACTGGTTTTGGGCCTGGGCATGGCAGCTATAGCAGCACCCACCTATATTTGATAAAACACAAGTAGATAATCAAAAATAATTTTTTTTTACTAAAAAAAATATATTTTTTATAAATAACAAAAACGTTTTAACTCTAAACATACTTAAAACAATACAAATTAGTAATCTAATTGATGACAACATTTATTTTAAAAAATTGTCAATTCAATTATTTGCATTCAATTGTTTTTTGAGATTATTATTATTAATTAATTAAATTCTGATTTTAAAAATAAATATTTTAATTATAAATCACTATAACTATTGAGATAAAACAACACAATTATTTAGATCCAGATTTTTTTTACTTTTTGCCATTTAATTAAACAAAATTTTTTAATTAATAATTATTTTCTTTTCTAAAATCAAATATGGATTTCAAATATACAAATATATCAATACATGCAATCAAATATCTAACTATACATAAAACGCTAAAAACATTTTAGATTTATTATAAATTAAAAATTTAATTAATAATAAATTGGTAACAAATACGGTATACATATTAAATATATGATACAAAAAAAACAAAATAAAAGTACTGTAATTTTATATAAAAAAATAAAACAAATAATAATAATAAAATATATAGTATTTATTAGCTTGAAATATTTTTTAAATAAAATTTAATAGATTTTATAAATATAAATTATAGTCATATAACACATAACAGTCTTATATATAGCTTATTTTATAGCTTTAAAAAATTATTTTATATATTACTTTTGATACTATTATTATTGGTATTATTCGTATTAAATTAATTTTATTAGTATTATTATTATTATTATTATTATTATTATTATTATGTACTATCATTACATTTAATCAAAACACTACTAAACAACACAATCAACCCTTTTTGCCTTTCGGTGGTTTAGTTATCTTTGCTTTAGCTGCCGGCGCTTGAGCCTTTAGAGGTTTGTCCTCCGGTGACTCTTCAGCTGCTGTCGAAGCAGTGGACTCCTCGGCTGCTGACGAAGGACTGGACTCTTCAGCTGCTGACGAAGCAGCGGACTCTTCGGTGGTGGACGCCGACGCCCCACTGTCCGCTACTGGTGCCGCTGCCGCTGCTCCTTTACCATTTTTGGCACCTGGTGGTGGTTGTTGTGCTGGCTGAGCAGCTACCTTTGCAGGATCTCCATATTGGCTATAGTATTGGTTTTGCTGGTTATCGCAACCGGGATCTGGGGACTAAAATTTTATTTTCATAGTTAATTTTTTTTTTTATAGATAAAAAAATAAAATAAATAAAATTAGGTGTGAGCTAATTGGGATGAGTTATCTAAGATATTATCATCGCAACCCATCCCATCCCATTCGATGCTTTATCTATTAATTAATGGATTTTGGTAGTAGTGGTGGAAAAAAGGGGCGGAAAACTAGAGACTATAGATGTCAGCTAAAACAATATAACAAACAAATAACAGATGTATTGAAATAACTATTTACAAGACTTCTTGGCTGAACGGGAGCATCGGGAGGTCCAATAGCTGGCGGGGGCTGATTGTAGTTGGATGGCGGTTGAACAGCACCGGTGTCGCACTCGTAGACATCCTCAACGCCGTCACCTTCAAGACCGGCTCCGTCGTCATCGCCATCGACATCACCCAACTGTTCCTTTGGTCCTTCTTCTATCAACTCTTTCACTTCCTTTCTGTCGACGATTTCACGGGTTTCGATGATCTTCGGTACAATTCTTTCGAATATCATTTTCTCTTTGACCAGCTTTCGGGTGATTATCAAAACCGGTCGATTGATTTTTCGGCGAATCTTGCGGCGCCTTTGCATCCAAATCCTCTTTCGCGTAACCGTCTTATACTTACGCCCTTTAGTGGGGTATTTCTGTAAGTCATCAAACAATAGTTACATAAATAATGGTTCACAATGTGTTTGCATCTCTTGTTATGGTGAAGTGATTTTTTTAAAAAAAAAACTTTACTTACCATAAGTGGCTTTTGCGATGGTTGTAGAGAACGGGGAGCAAAAGGAGGAGGAGGAGGAAGAAGAGGAGAAGGAGGAGGAGGAGGAGGAAGAGAATCACAATCGGGTGGGGGTTGAGGAAGACAATCGCCTAGTTGTCCGCCGGCAGCAGCGTATGGCTGCACCTCATGCGGTGGATGAAAGCCTGGTTCGCCTAAGTGTGGCGGCGTATCGTACGGTCCTTCATCTTCACACTCTTCGTCTTCCGCCGGAGTCGATACTTCCGGTTCCCAAGTGAACATACCCTGGCCATTGCCATTACCATCACTATTGACGTCATCGTTCATTGATCTTGGCTTGACATTACGGGGAGTAGTGGTCAGGGAGTCGGAGTCGTCACCAGTATCGAGAACCGTAATTGTTTCAATCTGTCAACAAAAGACAGTTTGTTTATTTGTTTTATATTTTGGTAAAAAACATAGTTTTTTGCCGACCACTAGTGATGATACCCCCACTTACCGTTTCGGAGGTTAGCGGTTCCATATTAATGATCTCTGTGCACACCTGTGTGGGTATGATTTCTGTGAGATATTCGGTAGTTCCGGTTTCGTTTTCCCGTTTGAGTAACTTGACCAGCGTATCCTGGGGTATCTCCTGGATCTGTTTGGGCATTTTCATGTCCGCACACTCATCAGGAGCGGCATAATTTTGTGGCGAACCGTCGTCATCGCAATCTTGATCTACTTTTTGCATCTTTATGTCCGATTTGGACATGTCTTGGCCATCGAAGTCCAGTTCGACAAATGGTCGGGGAGCCGCATCACTTACTAGTTAGTTAGGACATACATATACACACACACAATGGTTTTAATTTTTAAAAAAATTATTATTTTTGTTATATACAGATAAATAACATTTTTTTTGAAAAAAATATCAATAAAAAATTAGTTGAATTCAATAAAAAAATACTTACATTTAATATTAAATAATAGTAATGATACTAAACATATAATTGCCAATCGTATTATCATTATTGTTGGCTAAAATATATAAGTATAATACGAGTTATCTTAAGTTATTTAAATAAATACATAAGCAAGGTTGATTGATTGTTAATTGAATTATTTATTAAAATAATTGTTATTATATAATTAACAATAATAATAATAATCGTCAAAATAAATTTAATTAATTTATAGGGCTTTTAATGATTAAATGTCTGCCTTAATTTATTACATACAAAAATTAATTAACCATTAAATACTACAGTACTATATATTATTTAATACTTAAAAAATATATATTACTTAATAATTTAATAAATAATATATTAGTTAATTAAAATTATTGCAAACTATATATTTAATATTTCACATAAATACTACTCGTTTTTTTAATGTTAACTATATTTATATATTTTAAAAAAGTTTAATTTAAATATTTGTAATCATATTACAGTGTATACAGTATTTAAAAATTAATTTTATGTATTTTATAATATTTGTCAATTTGTTTAGCATTTAGTGGCAATAATTTCAGATTACTTAACGGTCGTAAACCGTCGGGAAATCCTAACTCATGGCGCCGACCGCCAAATCTGACAGGTATTACATCTTCATCGACAAACTCAGGCAACTCATCACGTCCTATGAATGCTACCCTATTCTGGATACTGGTGCTCACCAGCGACATGATTAGCCGGGTAAAAGCATTCAATACAAACGGCAAGTCGAGGACAATGATCCGTCGGGCCAACAATGGATAGTATTGCATGAGTTGCATACGAAAGCGCATCAACTCATAGCTAACATTGATTAGGCCGGCGTTTTTGATGTCGGACACTATGGTACAACCATCTTCACCGACACGACTGTCCAATTGATGGACAATATGTGCCATAAACTGTTTCTGAAGATCGGCAAATCCGTCGACACTGCGATCATTTCGATAGCACTCCCACTGTATAAGACGTCCGTCGCGGTCGCGGCCAGTAATCTCTTTTTCGGTCAATTCGTAAAATTCTTTCGGAAAGTATTGGTCACTGCGGTCGTAGACACCGAACGATTTGCGCCAACAAAACGCAGTAGTCATCCATTGGTAGGCCTTGTCTTCCGATTTGTATTCAATGAGAAACCTCTTAATTTCCCAGTCATTGGCGGTCACCCGTCGGACATCCGATTCGTGATACAAGTTGTGGCCATTAGTTTTCAATTCGGTTAAAAATTTTTGTCTCAATTTTTCGATTGTAATTTCGTCGACCATTGTTTTCTTCAATTATAAATCAATTACAATATATATAACTACTAATAACAAAAATTATTATTATTATAAAATATAAATTATGTTAGTATTTACTATTATTAATAATTATTATGGAAATATTTATAATAATTAGTAATATTTTTTGAAATAATATAATATTACAATCAAGTACAATAATTGAAGTTGATTAATTTTATACAATATACACTGTATATAACGAAAAAATATTTTATTTAACAAGTTCAATTAAGTTTATTAAGTAACTAATATTTTATAAATATTTAATTATAAAAATTTAGTTATTATATCAGTCAAATTATTTTTTATCAAAAAGATCTATTAAATAAAAACTATTATATAATATACACTACAATATAGGGTATATCATATTATTGTTAAACTGTATAACAATACTGTAGAGTACATTAACATTTTTAATTTACTTATAATACCGATAAATGATATGATATTTATTTTTGTTAATATGCAAAATTTCCCACACAATTATAATTCACTTAATTTTTATATATTTGTATCATTTAATAAATGTTTTTTGTTAAACTAAAACAGCTAATATTTTATTTTAGCATGGTTAGCTAATAAATATCAGATTGTTAAACTTTTTTTTTAGTGATAACCATGTGGTCTAAAATTATTAGTTGTTACCCTCAACTTGTTTTACAGCTTATGTATTGAATGTATCAGTAATTATTATTATTATTATTTTTWAAAAAATAACTAGTAAAACAAGTTGAGTAGGGTAACTATAGAATCTATAGTATAGATGTATTGAAGTTATTTGATTTTGAATAACACACACTAGAAAAAAATCATATTATATTTATTATTTATAGACTGTAACTTATATAGTTACAGATTAAATTTTTAATTTATCAAATAATAAAATTTGAATTGAATGAGTGAATTTTTTAAAAAAATATATAATTATTTTTTATTAAAAAGCACCTTTAAACTAAATTACTGTATATATATATCTAGATAGTACTGTAAGATTTACAATATATCAATAGTAGCTTTAATTAAGAGATTAGTAAAAAAAACTTCTGTATCTAACTGTATATAAAAAAAGTTAACATATTTTTTAAAAAAAATTAATGACTAACTAATAGTATAATAATAATATTTAATAATTTATATACAGTATAAAGTTTATATTTATATAACAAATAGAGAATATGAAAAATATATAAATAAATAAAAATATAAATCTGTATAAACTTTTTTTTTTGCTTTTCCTATTTAGTAACTCTATATTATTACAGAGTCTTAAACGGCGGCGGCGGAGGCGATGCTATTAATCGCAATTATCTGGTCAACAATAAATTTGATTTAAAAGTTACCAATGGCAATTTTGTAGATAATTTTAAGCTGGATAAAATTGTAGTTGATCACTTTATGGATAATTAATTGTATGATTAGCCAGATAATTGCAGTCGACTATCATTTATAAATTTTTTTTAAACAGTCGACTATAAATTATCTGGTGGCCAATCATACAATTAATTAAAAAATGATAAATTACAATTTTATCCAGTTTAAAAATATCTACAACATTGCCATTGGTCACTTTTTAATTCAACGTATTGTTGACCAGATAATTGCGATTAATAGCATCGCCGCTATATATATTTATTTGTATAACTGTATAAACTTTTTATGCTTTTCCTATTTATTAAGTCTATATTATTATTAAGTTATGACAGAATTATAGAATCATCTGCTTGTAGGAGGAGGAGGAGGAACAGTAGGTATATATTATATATAGTATATAATGTATAATATGTGTATATATATAAGGTTCAGGGTGTTTGTATCTGGGGACTGGTAGATGTATTATTAGTAATACTGTTGTACCAAACAAACAAAATTATGAATACACAGAGACTGTTAGTAACACAGTGTTCAAAAAATATATAAACACATAGAGATTATTGATATGATAACAAATTTTTATTTAATCAATAGTTTTATATAACTTATATATCATATTACTGTATAATTTAATATATGATATAAATAATTGCGTCAATAAATTTATTAATTATTAAATATATTGTTTAATTAATTGAATTATTCATTAACACAGACAACAACAATGAATTACAATTCACTGGCCATCATATTGTGGTCATTGTTGGCATCGATAACTTTGGGCCAATCGCTTCTATGTCCCGATCAGACCACTAAATGTGGTGACGGTATGTATTTCATTAATTCATTCATTCGTTGCCTTTAAAACAACTTTAACTACAGTAATCATATTTTTATCATTGTTTTATTTATGTTACCCAGATATGACATGTTGTAAATGGCATACTGGCCGATACGGGTGCTGTCCATTGAGTGCAGGTTAGTGCAGTCAAAACTTTTGATTACAATTAGAATAACTGCAACAAAATTACATAACTGTCCCAAATAATGATGGCTGACCCGCAATATACTTTGTATGTATAGGTCTTTGTTGTGCTGATGGTCTACATTGTTGTCCAAATGGCACCAAATGTAATGACAAAGAGGGAACCTGTGATGAATTAGCCCAATCGACAACTGGCTATAAATTGGTGCTCGAAAACAGTGGCCGGAGTCTACCGAAAAAGTTGGACGACATGTGTCCCGACCGGAACTCCACTTGTGCCAGTTGGCAGACCTGTTGTAAGGAAAAGTCCGGCAGCTATGGATGCTGTCCATACGATTCGGGTATTGATATATATATACAGCTTAAGAGTAATCAATGATACCAATTGATTTTTTTGTGTGGGTTCGGGTCGAATGTCATCCACAGGTGTTTGTTGTAAAGATATGCTTCACTGTTGTCCGCACGGATCCACATGCGATCTCGTACACCAAGAGTGCATACGTACGGTCAGCGATAATACTATCAGTGATCTGACCGACGGTGGTGACCGTAGCCGCACTGGTTCAGTCAAGAAATGGAGAATGCGTTTGATTGGTTCGAAGGCTGCCAATGTTACCGATGTTGTCTGTCCCGGTGGTCGCTACCAGTGTCCCGATGGCAATACCTGTTGTCGTGTTACCGATACCCAATGGGGTTGTTGTCCGATGCCCAATGCCGTGTGCTGTGCCGATCACGTACACTGTTGCCCGAACCATATGCGCTGTACGCCCACCGGTTGTGTACAGCAGTGATAAAATTGCGGTAAAATCATCTTTAGTTAGTTAGTCCTAATTGTTTTACAACAACAAAACAAATGAGGACTTTATTTTGATAATAATATACTCTACTAATAGACTCTATAAAATAGTTGTATAATTTTTTTGTATTAAAATATTTGTCATACAATGCAACAACAAAAAACATTAATTTTTTTATAAAGTAGCTATCAATATCTTTTTTTAAATGCCTATATATTTTAGATATACAGTATATATTTGATATAATCATTTATGTGTTTAGTTGACAATTACGATATTTGTGTTGTCTTCAACTGTAATAACTGTTAGTTTGTTAGTTTCTATACCGATAGCCCAGACCAACCATCTCATATACCGAACCCATAGATTAGTACATTAGTAGTCACATATACTGTCAAATATAATTAGTCACCAATTTTTATGGTCACCAAATTAAAAAACTTTTTAGCTATAGGTTAGGCTGCTGTGATAGTTCATACAGTATATGTATGTATTTTTTTATAACCAACACAGTCGATAATAATCTACATAATTATTATATAAATTTATATATATATTATAAAATTAATAATAATATCGATAAAATAATAAAATTACAAAAAAATGCAAAACGAGTTTTTAAGAGCAAACAAACAATTAAATTAATTATTCGTCAAATCAATGCCGACAAATGACTTCACGATATGATTAGCAGAGTTTGTATCGTCAGCTGATTTACCATTTTTGTTGGCGTTGTCGACAGTATCAGCGACTTCTTGAGTAAAAATGCCACCACTGTTGGTGATGTAAACTGTAGTTTGGTCATCAATTTTTGATCCGATATTGACTTCCTGAGTAATAGCAGTAGTAGTAGTAGTGGTGATGATAGCTGCTGTGCTGCTGGTCATCACGCGATTAGCGTCCACTACTCCGACGTCAGTTCCAGTAGAAGCTGTTCGATCAGAATAATTATCTTCAATGGCATTCAATGATGATGATAATGATGATGACGACAATGCCGATGATGATGATGATGCCGATGAAGAGGTGGCTGATTTGCCAATGGGTGACATTTTTGATAATGCAAGCGATGATCCATTTGGCGATTGATGACTAGCCATGACTTGAATATCGATGTCATTAAGTTCGACGGATTGATCTAAATCTGGCACTTTATTGTCTTCATATGACTCTTGATTCACTATATATATAAAAATTTAAATCAAATTAGCTAATAGTCGTCATCAACAACAACAGAAACAAAAAACCAAATCAAAAATGATTACCATTTAGTCGATTCTCGCAATCATCGTCACAATTGCTATTGTCTTCGCGTTCAGCACCGACACCCGGCTCTCTGGTTAACAATTTGGCCATCAGTTGAGCCCGACGTTCGTGAATCTCTTCCGATATCTTTTCCAAGTCTTTCAGTGTCTTTGCGTATGACTTTTTGGCCTCAAAGATCACTTTATTTAATCTCTCGATTTGTGCTTTAATTGAGTTGAGCTCCGTTTGGACGGCCGCTGATTCCTCATAGTATGGCCTACAAAGAAGTTATAGAAAATAAATAACGAAAGAAACCACCACTAGTTGTCCAGAAATTTCTTGATATAAATCTGTGGCCAAACAAACAACAACAACATTACTTACTTGGCTTTCTTTATGGCACTTCTTAATTGTCTCTCCAGTCGTGTCAAACGTTTTTGTTCATCCAAATAGTTCTGTATGGACTGCGAGTGTTCCGATTGGCTCATCGTTTTCATGGTCTTGGCCTCCATGAACTGGGGATCCGATCCAATCCAATGGATAAATAAATAAATAAATTAATACTTATTACTTAATTATTATAATCCCAATTAAATGCCACAAATTTATATTACGGGTTCTAATAAATTTGCCGAAAGAAGTTGTTTAACAAATAAATAGCAGCAATACCTTAGTATTTGCGTGATTTAGCATTTCCTGCCAAAAGTGGTCAAAATCGGTGCCATCGGCTGCTCGACTACTGTTGGCGGTGGCGGCCGCAGCAGCTGAGACGGCAAACTTGTGTTCGGCAATCGTAATCAGCTCTTTGGACTCCGAATGCAATTCGGCAGATCGTTCGTACGTCTGGACAGCTGTCTGACAGCGTGTCTGTAGTTCGGCTACTCGTTGCCGACACTCGTAGTACGGTCGCGCTTCGGGCACACAATTGCCTAGTTTTTTGGCCAACATTTGCAGTTGCATTGTCCTATTGGTCAATGTTTGCCGAAACAAACTGTTGGACTCCTGTTTTTTGTTTTGTTGGGACAAATAATAGTGGATTAAAAAAAATTATCTTCAAATCAATATATTGACTGATCTTCTGATCCCATCAATCATTACCTCAAATTGTTTCTCCAGTTTGTTGATCCTATTCGTACATTCGTTCAGTTCTTCGAGTTTGTCTCTGATTCGTGGATCCAATTGTTCGTCGTTGTCCTCAGCAGTCGCCGCCACAGCAGCCGAAGATAATGCCCGCCGTCGGAGATGGCGTTCATCGTACTCGCCGTCGCTGCTGCTGATGATGTCCACATCGCTAGACATGTCCGCACCACTGTTGGTGATTGTGGTGGTGGTAGTGGTCGTCGTCGTCGTGATGGTCAACGTTTTAGTTATATCTATCAATACCGGAGCCCAATGTTTACCGCAATCATTGAATCACTGTTGTTGTTGTTGTTGAGGACAGGTATGTACTGTAGTAGTGATGATGACTATTATACACACAATAATAAATGCATTGTTTTTTTTATAGACAATTCAATCATTCAATTGTCAGTCCATTTAATAGTACAATATATAAGACAATTATTATTATTTTGAGATAAATTAAATGCTATTTTTTATTTTTTGTTGTTTTAAATGTTACTTAAATTGACTGTACATTTGATTACTACTATATTATTATTATTATTATTACAGTATTATATGACATATGATGATAGCATATACAGTGAGTGGTTTAGGCATACTATGTCATAGCACTTGTAGTAAAATGTTTAAAGTACTGTATAAAACAGTATACAGTATGGGTTATAATAATATGTTATAAAAATAAAATGTTTCAAATAGTTTATGTGATATGACTTATATTTTTTAACAATGTATATATTAAATACTGTACGATAAAAAAATTGTTTTATGTTATCTTTCATATATCATATTATATACAGTTAGATAATTATTAAATTCATTGTAAAACTAATAACTTTTATAAAAAAAATAAAATAATATTTTTTAAAGTGAGATATGACGCGACTTTAACTAACAACAAAAAAAAGTTAGTAATAACTGGTTATTATTACGTTATTATCATCATATGATAGTATTAACTTCAGTATCATTTATATTTAATAAATAAGTAATAATATATTCATATCCCACTCGTTTGTAACAAAAAACATACGATATTATAATATTAATATTAACAATATATAATATAAATAAATTATAATAAATTATTAATGATAATAATAATATAATTTATTTTATAAAAACCAATAGCTAGCTATACTGTACAAACAATATATTATTAATACACTACCAATAAATTGTTGTATAATATTAGTAAATAATTTTCAGTACAATATTTTTTGTATACTATATATTGAGAATCAATGTATTTATAGTTAAGGAAAATTATACTTTATATAATTTATTTATACTTTTTTTTATTAATTTATAATTTTTTAATGGTTAGAGGAGCACAGTTAGCATATATAATCGTCAAAGATCGTTAAAAAAACATCATTACATCAAACAAACAAATAATAAAAAAATACTTATGAAATAATTATTACATCAAAAGTTATTGTTTTTTTAAGTTTTTCAAACAAATAAAATAATTATCATCTTATGTTTGTTGTAACACTTTTTTTAGTTCTTGTTAATGAAACTAAAAAAAGTAATAATAATTTTTATTATTTAATTAATTATTGATAATTTGAAATGTGTAGACAATATTTACTGCAAATTTTATATTTATTAATTAATAATTTATAAACTACTAATTTATAACTTCAAAAAACCTGTTTTTAATAATACAGTAATTATAAATATTTGTTAAAAACAATTTTTATTGACCCCCTCCCCACACACACACTCTCTACTTGTATTGATTTGTTTAATAGATAATATTAATAATTATTATTAATAATATTATACTTTTACTTATGTTTAGATATTGATTATCGATTAGTTTATACTTAACATGATTATATATCAATATAAATTTAATAATAAATTAGTTGTAGTCTATTTTTAGTATATACTTTGTATATTGTTTTGTGCTACAAATAATATGTAATACTTATTGTCAATAAGTTATTAACTAATAGTAATAGTTGTAATAAATAAAACAGGTAAAATACAATTTGAGCATACCTGTACAATAAATATTAATAGAAAAATTTTTCTATTAAAATTAATTGAATTTTATTTTTTTAAAAATCTCCTATTATTTTATTTGTAGTTGTAATGGACAGGTAACTGTGGTATTAATTAAATTATATCAATAATACTGTATATGCTAACTATTGAAGTATACAAAAATATTTACTAAATTAATTTTGTCACCTAATTTTATTTTATCACACTTGACTTATTAAGTTAATAAAAAAAATATATGAAGCTATTAATCAATCAATCAAAAAAAATCTAGTGTTTAGTAATAGTCTAATCAGGKTTTTTAAAAAAAAACTATAAACAAATTAAATACATTATTTAATTTGTTGGTATAGACTATATATTTCTCTATTTATTTTAATAATATAAATTCAAGGTTTGGGATCTCTGTATACTATCAATATATGATATATATTTGTTGTCTATTGACGTAACGGTTAGGATAGGATTGACGTAAAATGATATATGAAATTCATTTTTTTTATATACAATAGACAGTGAGGAAAGAAAGAAAGAGAGAGAGAGAGAGAGAGAGAGAGAGAGAGAGATTTATGCAATACAATAGATTTTTTACTTGGAAACGAAAAAATTATATTAATTTTAACTATTTATAATTTATTTAAAATAATTTATTATTTGTCAACTTAATGTTTAATTAATTCATCAATTATAACCACCATTAATGGTAAAGTTATAATAGTTTTTATACTGTAGATAAAGTATAGAAGGAAATAAAAAGTTTATAGTTGTAAACAAGTCATGATTTTTTGGTGTCATTTATATGATATTAATAAAAAAATATCATATGATGTTTGATCTATCATTTTAATAATGACTTCCTATTGATTTCAATTTTTTGTTTTTTTATTTGCATTATTATCACAAATGGATAATCCATTAAAATTCAACTATAATTTTCAATATACTATATACGTATAATTATTTTTATCTATACCGTAATATAGATTTTATACTAATTTTTTTTGTAAAATAATAATTGCAATCTAAATGTTTTTTAATTTAATGTTTTACACAGTTTACCTTAATAAATAAATGCAAAATATTTTTTTGCAACTACCCCCACCCCTTCCTCCCAGTATATAAAAAAGTTTATTGTTTAACGAGTCATATTTTTGTTGTCATTGTTTAATAATTATTAGTATTTTTTTTTTGCTTAATCAACATTATATCATAATTAACGTAAATATTTTAGAAATAGTAATAAAATTTATTTATTTATTTCTAATTTTGATTAGCAATATTCAATGATTAACAACTAAAAAACAAACAAACAAATAACTTTTAAATAATCAAATTAATAAGATTGCATAAAATATATAATTGCCTAAACAGTATACCGGTATATATAAGTTGTATAATATTTAATATACCCAATAGTATAATATAGTTAATTAACTGCTAACTGTGTCAAACTGTTGGCTGATAACCTAAAATAATGATTACCAAACTTAGTGGTATCGGTGGCCCCGAGTTTGCCGTAGAGACCAGTGGTAATCGTATCGCTAGCAAAGCCGCGCCAGGATAGATACGACCGCAACTCACAGACAGCACGTTTGGCCACCGCTGCCATCAGTTGTTGGGCCAAACCATTTTGCCGATACTCTGGCCGCACATATAATTCGCAAATATTGAATAAGGGTTCACTATATGGCGAGTATAATCGACAATAAATTATGTAACCAATCGGCTGTCCACTATCTAAACTGACGGCGATAAACACATGAAACAGTTGCTTACAATCGCATCGATCACTGAATCCATTGTCAATTAAGTTATGTTCGCTGATAACATCTCTAACCAAATTAACCTCTTTAGTGAACTATTGAGTCAATTGATGTAAAATACGACTGTCCTCTTTGGTCGCCTCTCTAATACATGTTGCGAGACATTGATGGCCATCCGAGTCACTTGTATCAACTAATTGTTTCAATTGATCGCCAATAAGCCAATACATGTGAACGCCTTCACTATCTGTCAGATCTTTACCACCCAAACGCTTGAGAAACAATAGTAAGCTTTCATTGTTTGACATACAATCCCATTCAATACTATTAACAGACAATTGAATGGCTTCTTTAGCCAACTCTCTCATCAGTGTCCGACCCAAACCACATCTTCTATACTCTGCATTGACATACAGTTCCTCCATTCGAATGATTTTTCCGCTAAATGCAGAATATGTCATATAATAGATGATATAACCGACGAGTTGTTGTTTACTATCAGTACTTTGGGCTACCAGTGCCTGAAACAGTTGTTTTGATGGCTGATCACAGAATCCCTGTTCTTCGAGCTGTTCCAACGGATAAACCAAATCTGTGTTACCATTTTCATGTGCGGCCAACTCTAGTATCAGTTGTCTTAATGTCGGACAGTCATCTTTAACTGCTTTCCTTATAGTAAACATATTTTATATGACTTGATTGTAAATTAGTTGAAAATAAATAAATTTGTTACTAAGTTTTGATTTAATTTTTTTTTAATTATTTATGTTTTTAAATATGATCAAAAATTATTACCTAACTTATTTAATTGTAAATAATAATAATAATAATTGCATTCAATGTCTTAAAATGTGCAATCTAAATGTAATATAATTTAACAATTTTATAAAAATTAAATAATAATAAATTTAACAATTTTATAAAAATTAAATAATAATAAATTTACTTTTAATAAACAGTAAATGCTAAATATTTTTTACTAGTAAACTGTAAAGTGTCAATTCATTAATGAGTAATTGTTTTTGTTAAAAACAATTATAAAATATTTAATAATAATTTTTTTGTACTTAATCAGCATAATATAATTTATGAAAATATTTTAGAAATACTTAAAAAAATAATTTTCTAAATAAATATATTAATTTAGTAAACTAAACTAAAAAAAAACTAACAAATAATTAATAAAAATAATTATTGCAAAATTGTTTACTACAAAAAAACAAACAAAATTATTATGTTTTAACCATGAGTTAATCGTCGATACTATCAATAAGTATTATATATAATTTAATTTCTAATATAATATAAACATGAAATATGTTATTTATTTAATAAAACTATATATTGGTATTTAGGTTAGTTAGGAGGGGAAACACCATTAAAGCCGGTCATCTCTGAGAAAGAAAGAGAGAGAGAGAGAGAGAGAGAGAGAGAGAGAGAGAGAGAGAGAGAGCTATAATATAAACTATACTAAAAATGATATATTTTTAGCAAATAAGTTTTGTGTCTCCCTTTCCCCTGGTATCGCCCAACCATATAATAAATATTTGGGTTTACCATTAGTTAGTGGCAAAAAATATATATTGCAATATGTGGTGTGTATATCTACATATATATATATATTGAATATTTAACTGACTATTATTACTGTATAAACAAAATAAATTTATTAAAAAAAACGATCATAGTAGTTCTAAAAATGTTAACTTAAAAATAATCGCATATATATATATACTCAAGACATTATGTAATAAAATAAAATAAACAAAATAATTTAATAGTTATTTTTATTTGGCAAAATATAAACGATAATATCTATACTAACATCAATGTTAGCGCTAAAAATAGGTTATAACAACAACAACAACAAACCAAAAGTTATGACTTTCAAATAAAATAAAATTTTAAATAATAAAAAAATCAGACACAAGTTTTTTTGAACTAAAATTTTTTAAAATTTTATTTATTTATTTATTTCAAGTTTTATTATTTTTTTTCAGTAAACTTTTATATTTTTCAGTCATATATGTTTTCTCTGAAAATTATTATTTTTATGTGGACAACAATATTTCTACACATATTTTTTGTTGATTTGTTTTGAATTATACAATTTCAGTACAATTTTAATTATATAGTTAATATAAACACAATAAATCCTTAATTAAACACTAGTTTTTAGCTATTATCTAAGTACAGTGTACATACATATCTAAATATACAATTATACAGTATATAAGTTAATATTTTTGTACAACTAATTCAAAACTTAAAATAAAAAAACAAAACATAATTGTTATGTTATTAGTTAATTAAAATTAAAAATTATGTACTTTAAACATTTAGTAATAAATTATATAACATATTTATACTATATTTATATATTTAAAAATTTCAAAAATAAAATAACATTTATAGTATAGATTCTACACTATTATATATATATAAATGATTTGAACATAACGGTTAATTATATCAATATAAAAAATTGGTATCTCAAAAAACACTATAGATAATATTTTATCATATAATTTATATCGATATACAGTATAATCTATTGAAGCACTTATACAAAACACAATTAGTAATAATAAAAAATATTTTTCTTAAAAAAACTTAAATATTAAAAAAATCTAACTTAAATATATTTTAAAAATTATATAATTTAATAACAAAAAAATTATATATACTGTCATATATATGTTTATATTCAGTCTAAATTATGTAATAAATTTGTTTACATATATCTAAATATCTATTACAAAATAATAATTATGAGTACCGTAAATAATAAATTCACAAATATATTCAGTATATATTATTTTTAACTTTTTGTATTATTTCCAATGATTACCACATTTGTTTAAACGACTAATTAAATTTCAATTGCAATCACTTTTTCATTATATAAATTATTAATTAACACTATTATAAATTGTTGCAAATAATAATAATAATAATAATATGGTTTGAATTTTGTCGACAAAACAGTATCCAAACCTCTATACTTATATATATCTCTTTCTCTATAGTCATCGCGATGACAGCCATGGATCAGCTGATTATCTTTATGTTTTCCAAACGGTATTGAAAAATTCCATAAAGCTATCGTAGATCATGAAAGTGATGGCCACGTCTAGGCAGACACGACTAAGACGGGGTACCGTTCCCTTATAGAAAGCCTTAAAGCCCTCGTTTTTGGCTATCTGTACGGCACAATCAAGTGTACTCTTGTATTTGGCGGCATCCAGACCCTGCATACGTGTCTTGACCACATCGATAGGCGTATTGCCGAACACGGAGGCGGCGCCGGCAACCGCACCAAACGCTCCGATAATCAATTTGTTGACCTTTTTGTTGGGATCGCCGCCGCGATACCAATCCTTCAGTGTTTCCATCACAAAAAATCTGATCGCCTGATTGCTGCCCTGTTTGAGTACCGTTGCCGTCAATCCTTGATAAGTACCACGAATACCCTGTTCGCGGACAATCTCGCGGACGCCGTGTGCAAACCCGCGAAACTTCGGCTTCGCGCTGTTCTGATCGTTGATAAACTTGACTTTGACGGTCTCCATCGGCGTCACGGCAAACACTGCTTCGCAGACGCCGGCGCCCATACCGCACATCATTCGCATAACTGGCGATAGATTTCCCTTTTGGTCGACATTTCGTTTCTTCAGTTCCTCGAAAGCACCGAATCTGTGGCCAAAATACAAAAAGATTTGAAAAGTTATGCCAAATAGTTATCGGAACACGTGTTCTCCCTTTCCATCTCTCTCTCTCTCTCTCTCTCTCTCTCTCTCTCTCTCTCTCTCCACAACTCTATCTCTTTAACAGATAAAAACAGTCTAACTCTTTCTGGAGATAAGATAAAAAAAATAGTTATTCATAGAGAACTGGTATATATGGTTCAAACAGACAGTAAAGTGTCTGATGATTATTCAAGTCATGCGAAATATGGATCAGTTATTTAATCGACTGACAGTTATCAGATGATTGGTATAATCAAATTGTATGACAATATGCTCTCTTGAACTTTGCCCTATCCCTCACTAAATCAGATCTGATCACCAATATTATCACATTTTTACATATTAAAGACATACCTGACGGCCGATTTGGGTATCGATCCATAGATAAGTACAGATAGGCCGCGATAGAGACCAAAAACACCGTGACTTTTGACTGTCTGTCTGACACAATCGCCGATACCCGAGTAGCGCGGTTTGGCCGATCGTTCGTCCAGTTGGAGCTGAGTCTTGACGTATTCAGTGGGAAAAGTGATACAAATTTCGATACCGCCGGTGATACCACCTTTTCGGTCGACCATATTATATGGTATATCAAAGTAAAAGTAGTTTTAAATTAAATAAATTACAATTTTCTTCCTATCCATTGATACCATACCTGCGAGTATACCCTTCAGTGTCTTCTGGAAGTTGAACGGCGATGAAGTGCTGGCCATCATCGACGGCGTCGGCGGTGACAACTGTAGCTGCCGTCGGGTACTGTCAGCTGATGTCAGTTTCATTGGTGGCGGCAATGAAGACATTTTGACTGTTGTTTTTTAATTGTATTGTAAATATATTTGGCTTTAATATTAAATCAATCGGTGAAACAAACTGTTAGTTATAATAATTAAATTAATAAATATTTTTCGTAATTAAAAAGTTTTTCGTTTGATATATTAATTATATTATGATTATATTAAACGTTAAAAAAATTATTTGTAGCAAAAAAATTATTAATTTATAATTATTTTCGTTAAAAAATATGATATTTGATTATATTATTTATAAGTTATATATATATTTTCACAACCAATAAATATAATTGAAGGCAACACAAGGTTTTACTGTTTTATTATTTTTATTTATTATTATTTATATATTTTTTTTGATAATATTTTTTTATTTGTTACTTATTTTTAGTATTAATTTATATGATTTGCTGTTAACAGTAATGTTGTTGTTGTGATCAATAAGCCCAACAAACAAACCAACCAACAAAAAAAAAACTACAGACAACTTATGATATTGAATATTCAATGGTCAACACATTTGTTAAAACAATATTAAAAGGTATTATTATATTGATATATATTTTTTTTGTTGATTAATTAATTTCAATGTTATTATACAATTAATGTGTATAATCAATGAACTTGTTTTTTGTTTTGTTGCTGTAATTTAACTTTTAAAAAAAAAAAAATACTGTATTATTATTATTATAAAATTACTTTCAGTTATGTATTAATATGAAAGTATTATGTATTATAAATTTGTAATACACTTTGTATTGAATACATTACACAATCATTGAATGTGAAGTATTTTTTTATTATTATTATACAGTTATGTATGTATGGCTGGTATACTGTATGCGCGCGACTTTCTGTGTGTGTGTGCACTGGTATTACAGACAGATTTTCATAGACGACATGCAATGACTGGGTGACTGTAAACATACATACAGTGTACCAGACTATTAGTGGGTATATTACTACTAAACCAAAGGTTGGTATTATTAATATATGTATTTAATATTGCATTTTATCATACAGTGTATAATACCAATTGAGTGCCACCTTTTAGTTGTTTCTTTTAACCAAAAAAAAAAAAAAATTAAAAGTTAATTATATAAAACATCGTTGAAAATTAAACAAGGATAATTTAATAATATTAGTTTATTTTATTGCACAATTGAATAAATTAAAATATGCGATCAAAAAATATAAAATAATTGTACTTAATTTTTTTTTTAATTAAAAATTAATTTAATAATCTAAAATAAATAAATAAATTTTTTGATTAATTTGATTTTATTTAAACAATATTTACTTATTAGAGTCACTTATTCTAAAAATTATTTTTCTTATATTGAATTTTTTTTTTAAAAAAATAGTAAATCAAAAGAGAATTTAATTAATAAACAATTTTTTTATTATTAATAATTAGACATTTTTTAATTGAAATTTTTCAATTATTTCATTTAAATATATAGACAGTATTTTTTAAGTAATTTATTAGATATTAGAGATAGTATTAGGCCTAAAATAAATTGTGCAACTCATCAAACAATAATAATAATAATAATTAATAATTATTATAATTAGTATATATATTTTTAAATAATATATGTTGATATAAACATATTTATTTAGATAGAGAAAATTGTATATATTATTTATTTATAGATATATATTTTCAATTAAGTTAACCTGTTTAATTTATTTATTAAATTAATTAACTGTATTAATGTGTGTATGTGTGTACAGTAAATGTGTATATATTATTATTATTATATATATATTATATTTAGTATATTATTTAAATTTAAAGCCATAAATTTGTCAATTTGTTTTTAAATTTTTTGTTATTATCATTATTTTGATTTACAATAAAAATTTAATTATATAATAATAATTATAGTAAATATAGTGTTTTTCAAATTTTTTGAAAATTTGATAATTTTTTTTGTCCAATACTTGTCACATATGCAATGAAATCTCACATTTGGTTACAATTAGTTTAAAAATTAAAATATTATTTTTAATGAATTCAATTGTTTTTGTTGTCTATAGTATCATAAGTTTTATTAATAGTAATAATTAATACAATCCTTATAATCGTAATCAATAAAAACTCATTGATAACAATAATGTCGATAATCTGTTACAAACAATCAGTAATAATATAAATTACTATTTAATTTATATTTTAAAAATTTATTGATATTTATATTGTTTTTTAAATATATAGTTAGCTATATGATGTAAATAATTTTAAATTTGTAGCTTTTATAATTATCGCTGATATTGTTTTTTATATAAATTTAATTTTTTTAATTGATAACAAATATCGTTAAATATGTTTCAGATTAAATGATAGACTGACTGACGATATGGTCATTGATTTTAATTTATTTATCATTTTATTTAAATAATTCCTATAATCTCTAAAATATTCTTATTATTTATTTTTTAAAAATCGATATTTAATTAATTAAATACTTTAGTTATCAATATATCAATCACTATTATTATTATTATATATGTATTTATTATCATTATTGTCATACTGTGGTAATAAATGGTTAGTATTATCATTATCAATATTAATAATAATAATAATAATAACAACAATATTGCAAATAGTTTTATATAATTTATATATAACACTATAATTTGTCACAAATAAAGGAGCCCTTATTAATAATTTGAATAAATTTAATTAATTAATTAATCAATATTAATTTGTTAGTTTTTTTTCTCTCAAAAAAGTTAGATATATAATATAAGAAGATTTAAGGCACACACAAAAATATATATATTTATATAATTTTTAAAAAATATTTTAATAATAACAACAGTAATAATAGTTAAGTGACACTCATTTAAAAACTATTTGATAATATAATATAAATTAGAAAAAACGATTGATAGATAAGAGCTAAATGATAGACAACTGTGTATATCATATCAAACAACTCGTGTGAATTAATAAAATTTTTATATCAATATTATTATTATTATTATTATCAGTATTATTGTTTAATAATTAATTAATATAATGAAATGGCATCTAATATGAGAAACTCATAATTTGAATATGTTTTTCATGGTGTTCAATATGGTGCCTCCCTGTTGGCCGGGCATACCCTGGCCAGGCATACCCTGACCAGGCATTCCCTGGCCGGTGGCCATCATTGGCTGACCACCAGTTTGGCCGTACATATGCTGCTGCTGTTGATGAAGTTGTTGTTGTTGCTGTTGTTGATGGTGAAGGGGTCCGGCATTTGGTCCGTACTGGTCATACCCTGCCTGACCGGTTAGGGGATGATGGCCCATAGGTGCGTGACTTTGGTTGGGATGTGCGAGCGGTCCTCTGGCGCCCAACGGTGTGGTCGCTTCTTCGAGTATTTTCTTGCCGCTGGCAAACAGCGAGCCTAACATTCCGCTTCCCGTTTGCTGTTGTTGTTGTTGCGATTGGTTTTGTAGGTTGGGCTGATTGAGCCGGGGGTTATTGGTGGCACTGTGCAAGTCCAGACTGGTTGGCCGTTGTTTATTGCCAGGCATTGTTACTCCGCCGGTTGGAAACATTGCGTTGTAGCCCTGCTGGTGATGGCTGCCCGCCGATTGCATACCGTGCGGGCCCATTGGACCCATTGCCCCCATTGGTCCCTGTGGGGGTACCTGTTGTCTCATACCCCGGCCGAGCATTTGCTGGCCCGCCTGTTGTTGCTGTTGCTGGTAGTGCTGCTGTTGGTTGTATCCCTGTTGCTGGCCCGACATTGGATGGCCCGACTGCTGGGTGTACGGGTATTGGCCGCTGCCCTGCTGCTGGCCCGATGGGTATATTAGTTGGCCCTGTGGACCCATATATGGTTGGCCCATAGCTCCGGCAGTCCGTCGAGTGTCGCCGGGATATCCCACTCCCGGCTGCTGCTGGCCCGGCATATGGGGACCCGACATGGGGTGCACCGGTTGCTGTCCGACCATCATGTGAAGGTCGCCTCTTTGACCCAACATTGATTGGCCCCCCACCAGTTGGGACGGGTGTCTGCCCTGTAATTATCGGTACGGTTGTATAAACAAATAAATAAAAATTTAAAATTTATTATTAGTTATCATTATTTAGCTATTTTTATCGGCACTTTTTTTGCTTTATTTATACTAAATAAAATAGAGGGGAAGTTATAACACAATTACAACAACAACAAAATGATAATAATTGAGACAATAAATCAATTTAAAGAAAAAACTAACACATAAATTGAGTTAAACACAATGGGATAGTGATTTAATTTGAGTGAATTGAATGATTTTATCTTAATTAATTATAGGAAAAGTTTTATTTAATCAAATTAATACAAATTAAGGGTATTGTGAAAGAAAGAGAAAAAGAAAGAAAGAAAGAAAGAAGARAGAGAGAGAGAGAGAGAGAGAGAGAGAGAGAGAGAGGTTAGGGATGGAGAGCAGAGCATAGGATATGTGTGTGTGTTATAAGTAATAATAATAATCATAATAACAACGACAATACTAATAATTAAATTAAAAACAATTAATTATTTCTATTTAATAATTGATTGACAAATAAATTGCATTAACTAAAAAAATAATATAAATAATAATAATAATAATAAAATATGTGATTCAGATTTGGAGGCGCTTTTTGATGATGAGTTTTGGATGAGATCTTGATATTTAAAAAATACAATAATTAGTTTATGTTTGTGTGTATTATAGCACTGGTAGTTTTGTAGCCACATATTGTGAAATAATTTTCTGAGTCCCAACAAATTAATTAATTGATTGATTTATTATTTTTTTATAAAAATTTTAGGATCCGTTAGTTATTATTATTATCATTTTCAGAGAGATTATCAAATTATTATTATTATTATTATTCCTTGAAATTTGAAATAAAACAATTATTATTTTTATTTTTCTAGTACTAATAAAACTAATGAACTGAAAAAAATTATTGACTAAACCTTTTAAAAACAATTTGCTATTTCTAATAAAGTTAAAATGTATTAAATTTTTTATATCTATTAATACAATAAGCTAAACTACAATTTTTTACATTTATTATTATTTTTAAATATCAATTAAATTTGGTTGTTTTTTATTATTCAATTTTAACATATAAATATTTTGGTAATAATTTGATAAAACATCAATTAGCTAAAAACACTATTAATATTAAATTCAATATATCAATGTGTGTGTGTTAGTTAGATAAAAATTATATATAATTTAGATTACCTGTGATTTATGTGGTTGGATATAACTCATGCATTTTTTTGGAGACACTGGTATGTTTGGGACCCGTTCCTAGTCGAGTGTGTGTGTGTGTGTATAGGGACCATCAAAACACACCCACACTCACATAGATATAACTTATATATGATATAAAACATAGGCCAACACAAGTCATGCCATGAATTTGTATTTTGTTAAAACAATTTTTTTTTTTGGTATTTGATATAAGTTATTCAATGGATTTCTCTAAAAATGTTTGTATTAATTAAACGGATATTTAATTAACAACAAACATATATTTATAAACATACAAACAAACAAAAACTAACAATAAAAATAAAAAACACAACAAAAAATCATATGAACAATGACTGTGATGTGGTTTGATTAGACATCCTTGTGCTCCACTCCCCACCTTTAAAGCGACTCACATGACGAGCATTGGGATCGCCCGGAGCTGTTGCTGCCGATGCTGCCGTGACCGCTGTACTGGTCCCGATAGGTGCTGGCGCACCAATATTACCAACCGTGCCGGATGGTCCTACTAGGCCTGGTGCACCTTGCATTCCTACTGGTCCCATTTGAGAAGGACCCGTACCACCAGTGGGTCCGCCGCCGCCTCCAGACGGTACTTCCGATAGAAAATTTGAGGGAACGAGTCCCCGGACACCGTTGACATCGCCCATATAGAAGCCGTCCTCATCCATGTCTCCGTAGACATAGACAATATCACCGGTATTGAAGGCCAGTTCCATCTATACAGGTTTGGTAGTTAAGTTATATACTTTTTTTTAAATAAACAAAATCATTATTTGTATAGAAAGGCACACATAGTTGGAGATTTAGGTATGGATTTGATTTTTTTTGATCTGTTTGTTTTGGTTTTTTTGTTTATTTATTTTTTTGAGACAAACATCAAGTTGTGGTGTGTATGTGGTATCGTAGTGTTGTTTGTTTGGATCGGATGGTGTGTCCATTAAACATATATATATATTGAGATTGCAATTTGGGGGAGTAGTAGAAGTAGAAGTAGTAATAATAATAATAGTAGGAAAACAAATTGTGGTTTATTTATTAAACTAAAATAAAAAATATTAGTAAAATTCTGGAAAATTTCGAGAAAAAATTATTAATTCCCAGAGATTATCACACAATGATAGAGATTATCAACAAAATTTGATAATTTGTTTGTTTGTTCAGTAAAAGCGGTCCAAATCTGAATTCAATATTTTAATTTTGTTTACTTATAAAAATATATTTCATATATAAAGTTTATATATATCGTATCATATAATTTAAAATAAAATTTTAATTAATTATTAACTATAAAAAAAATATTTTATATTATTAGAAATTGATAGAAAGTTATGTAAGTTAATTCATATAAATGACAAAATTCTAGTAATATTTAATTAATAAATTTAACTAGCTAATTTAACATATCATAATAATAAGACATATAGTTTTTCTATAATGGGAAACTACACTATATATATATAAAAAGAATTAAAAAATATATATACAGGGATATATGATTATTTTACTATAAATCCAAACACAACTAGTAGTTATATAAACAGTATATACTAATACCAATATTAATTTACTAAACAATTGAAATAACATTTAGTGATAAAAATGCATTAAATCGACACTATTATTATTATTACAAAAATAATAACAATAATAACTATTTACGACACTATTAACAATTAAATAACTAATAGCTACTGAATTATAACAATCACTACTAACATTTGACATTTAGAAAAAAAATAAATTATTGTGACTTTTGAATTATGATTTATATAAAATACAGTAAATATAGACAGCAATCACTACAATATTGTTTTACTGGACAATCACTAATTTTTTTTATATAAAAAGCCATACATACTATAGTATATCTATAGTGGGATAATCACTAAATATAATAATTATTTTTTCATAGATCCCACTCTAGATATTTGCAATACATAATTAATTACACAAATATTTTTTTCTCTACTATTTTCTAGAATTTCATATTGCATTCCAATAACATTGCTGATGGAGAGGATAGGGAGGCGGTTAGGTAGAGGGGAGATGGGTTAGTGATGAAAATATCAAATATAAATATGGGTTAGGGTTTGGATAAGTTAACATCTCAGACAAGTGATCTGATAACATGATCATCATTATCATCAACAACAACAATAATATAACATTATTGGCACATCACTGACCTCTGCGTCCACGTTTGGCGATAATTCTTGCGGATCGTAGTCGTAGAGGGCGACCATTTTTCTGACATTAAGGTGAGACCAGGGATCACCAGCAGGGCCGGCACTGCCGCCTGGGCCAGCCATCTGCTGATGCTGTCTGAGTCTCATATCGGTTTCGTTGTCGTATTGCGCTTCAGACACCATATTGCACGGCACAAATCCTATCCGTCCGTTGGCTTCGCCTCTGTAGAAGCCGTCGGCGTCTTTATCACCAAAAATCTGATTACAAGAATATATGTTTTTTATTGGTTAAAGAAAAAACCCAATTTTGTTGTTGGTTTGTCTAATAATAATAATAATAATAATAATAATCAAGAGTTACTTTGATAAGCTGTCCCTCTTGGAAGGGTAGCTCCTCTTCGGCGGCGTCGGGATTGGGAGACATAGTGAGCGGGTCGTAGTCGAAGAGAGCGACGAACCATCGGATGCCTCGCTCCCTATCGCGCTGCATCTGAGCGCTGGAAACTAGTCTACGATTTGGGTGATCGGAGGGACCAAAATGGGATCTCTCGTAATCACTAATAGCACGTGTTCGTTGTGGTGGCACTGGAGAGGCGCCGTACGGACCGCCGCCGACAATCCTGCCGCCAGCTGTCCTGCGCATCGAGGCGTCAAACTCTTCCTCCGAATAGCTTTCAATAGGATTGATACTCTCGCTGGGCGTGTCTTTTGTAATCTCGATGGCCGGTATTGTCATACGGCCGTCGCCGCCAAGACCGTCGCTCATGCCGTGGTGTGTGTGATGCGGATGATGACTACCACCACCGATGGCCTGACCCGTAATGTGATGTGTTTGTGGATGCGATGACATATGATGGTGACTCTGTTGTTGCAGTAGCTGTTGTTGCTGTTGCTGCAGATGATGGTGACGCTGCTGCTGCTGAAGGGCACGGTTTGTAGCACTTGTTCGCTGCAATGGCCGACCGGTGCCGGCCATCAGTTTGTTTGTTCGGTGCGCGTCGTAAGCCATCTTTCAATATATATATGAAGATAATCATCAATGTTTTGGTTAGTCATTTAAAAAGAAATGTTTGTAATTATAATTAATTTTGTTAATTAAATAATAATTATAATTGAAAAACATTTATATGCAGTGAATATTGTATTAAAATTTGTTTTCATGTAATTTTCGTGTAATAAACTTAAAAAAATATAATTAAGTTAGTTATATATTGTATGTGTTATTAAGTGATTATGGTTTAGTATTATATTATTTTAGATTAAATACTTTAATTAGTTTAATGCATAATTGTTTATACAAGCACAGTTTGTTAATATATGGTCAGGGTATGACAAATCACCATGAACAGGTATCAAAATATCAAAATTAATATATATATATATTTAGGTATATATATATACACACACATATGTATGTTATAGAAATAATAATATCAATAGATTAATATAACAATTACACGACACAATTTGGTAATATAAATACAGGTATAAAATAATTTTATCAATAATATCAATAGTTAGGGTGTGTGTGTGTGTGTAATAATAAAATATAATACTGTATAAAAGTATATATATAATATTATAAATATAAGTTATATATATAATATCAAATATACTGTACAGTATATTAAATAGTATTAAATACAGCATAATCATTACATTAAAAATATAGGTACAGTTAGAGAGAAAGAAAAAAGCTTATCATTTATGAGGCACATGTATGATAGCATCAAACAAACTAATAATAAAATACAGACACAAAAATTCAAGACACAGACAAACAGAGGACAGGTATATAAATTTATATACACAGTACAGTACAGTACAGTACGATAACAATACAATTAGGACACGACACCACAATTTTTGATTTTAATTTTAAAGATGATCACCAATACATATAATACTATAACTACTACTACTACTACTACCTGATGATTGTGATTCATTGGATCAAATGCTTGTGATCGTCTGACTACGCTCTGCATCAGTTGCGTAAACTCTGTATCTGACTCTGAGTCCGAATGATGCGTCTGTTTCAATGATTTTTTTTTGTGGAGGAGTGGGAGGAGGGGTGGATGGGGTGGAGGTTTCGGGTAATTAATTAAAAAATATCATCATCAATCGGTATTGTTGCCATTTCAGATGTCTAGTCTATTATTATTATTATAATTATTATTTAGTCAACAAATTCAATGTAAAAAAAACAACAACAAAAAACAATAAACTATAAAACAACAGATCACTAGTTATAATACATATCATATTTGTTTGTTTTATTCATTAACTACAACAACAATTAATATTATAATTTATTATTATTTTTTTTTAAATAACAAATTTAAATGCAATAATGATTTTTTTTTAAATATATATATATCAAAATCTTTTAATACTATAATATATTTAAATTTATTGTATATAATTTTATATATAACAATAAAAATATGCAAAATAATGCAAGATGCACACTATTATGTATAGATAATATTATTTGATTAGGTTAAATATGCATAAACAATTTCAAAATTTTTATTTTATTTAAAGATCACTAAATTATTTTTTAATATTATATCATCGCAAATGTAACTAAAATATGGTAAAATATGCAAATAAATACTTTATTATCAATGTGTTATTGACATATAATAAAAAATATTTGACTAACATATGATATTTAACTGAAATTATTACTGTATTATTATTATATAAATATAATTCAAATATTTTTATGTTATATTAATTATAATAATAATTATCATGTAAATTTACAAATTATTAATATAATTCATCTAGTTAAAAGTCAATTGTGACATCTAAATCTAATTAACATGTTTTATTGTAAATACTAATAATTAATTTTATTCATTAAATATTTTTAAATATTTATATATATATATATTATTTGCTAAATATGTATAATTTTCATATATTCTGGTTTAAGTTAAATAACTAAAGCATAAATTTATATATTTACAAATATATTGCATTTATTTAATTACATTAGCAATGTTTTCAGATAAGTGAATATTATTTTGCCCACAAAAATGTCAAATAGTAATACAAATATATATAATTTAATATAAATTATATTTAATATTAATGTAGTGCTTATATTAAAGTAAATGTCATCTAATTTTCTTGTAGTTATAAGTTATTTTTAGCATAAATTTCAAATTTAAGCTAATTATTATATGTATACCGCAAACGATTTTTAAATATAATTAATTTACCAAAAAAAACAATTTTTTACTCAAGTAAAGTTGTGTAAAGTTTGGAATATAAAAAATTTATAAAATTATTTTCGAAACAATTTTTATATTATATTTTTTTTGTTTTGTACAATATTTTCTCTCATATAATACATTTCACTAAAATATTTATACAATTTAATAATAATAGCTGTAACTAAATATTTATACTATTATTAATAATAATATTTTTATAATTATCTATAGTATAGTATATCTATAGATTTTAGATCTAAAATTTTTAGTTAAAAAACGATTAGTTTTCTTAAGTAAGGTTACTAATTTTTTTTTTTAAATTTACCACTAAAATGGTAATAATTAAGTTTAATTATTTTTTTAAAAAAAATAGGACATACCTTTCTATTGGAGTGCAATTGCATGGGAGGACACTTGAGTAACTCGTCCGGTATCTGACAGGGCATAGAGTCCTGGGACAGGTTCTCACCAGACTTTGTCCTAACGGTGACCGCCTTTTTGTGCAAGTGCTCCAACAAGGCTATCTCCAGGAGCGCGTGATCACCTTTTTTTTTAATTATATTATAGATATTAAAACAAATTATTATTATTATTACAAAATATATAAATAATTATCAATCAAACTAATATATATTTTTACACAAAATAAATACTGTATTACTAATATAGTACTAAATACATTTTAAACAAAATTGTGATTTACTTTTAGTATCATCTATATAATTATTATACAGTGATAATAATAATTACTATTAACTAACTAACTAATAATATACACTGTATAAAATAGTTGATTAACTAATTTAATGTCTATATCTGTGGTAATTTTGTTGTTGTTGTTGATTATTATTTAATCATTAACCCAGAATATTTGGTGTGTGTGTATATATATATATAGACAATAAAAGCAACACAAAAAAATCTAAACAACTAAAACAACTTTATTTTACTGTACATACAATATACAGTATGTATTTATATGTTAATTGTTATCCATTGAAATTGTAACACAATTGATAGAAAAATATAATTTGTGTGTACCGTATATACAGAACAGTATATAAATTGGCAAATAATATCTATCTATCAATAATATAACTAAAACTAATGACAAAACTAACATTTTTATACTGATTGTTAAGAGAGTGAGTGAGTGTGTGTGTGTGTGTGTGTGTGTGTGTGAGAGAGAGAGAGAGAGAGAGAGAGAGAGAGAGAGAGAGAGAGAGCTGATAGAGATATATACCCAATAGTGCCAACATATCGACTCCGCCCTAACTATTCTCCAATTATTATTGCAATAGTCTTTATTATGACAATATCTATACATTTTCTAAGAAGTATAATAACATCAATAATAAACTATATCCCTATCCTTCCTTCCAATCATTAATACATATCCTCTCTGTCTATGTCTCTCTCCCCTATCCCTTCCCATTCAATCTCTTTTCTCAAATATGTTATGTTAGCTCATCTACAGTAGACACACCATCACCACAAAAATCAACCAACAAAATGAATAAATAAAATAAAAAATAACATAAAAAAGCAATTATTATTGTTATTGTTATTATTATTTAGTATAAAATAAATATTAGTGACAATAACACAATACCAGTTGGACTATCAATTTCCGAAAGCTTTTTATGGCCGGCAAACACGGCATATCCGGTTACCGGACAGTTGTTTGATGTGCCGAACTGGTTAAGTGTGACGGGAAGCCACGTAACCAGTAGTGTTCCCTCTTGAGGACCGGACTCTATCTGAACATCAACTGGTGGATCGGGAAGACCTAATCATTGGTTACAACAAACAAACAGATCATTTGAATGATTATTAAATTATATTAAATTTTGGGATAAATATTTAAAATATTTTCTATTTGATATTATACTAAAGTAAATATAAATTAACTAATAATGATATTTTTTATATAATAATTGTATATTATAATAATAATTATTATTATTCTACTTGTATGATAAATAATTATAATTTAACTCTACATTGATAATTAAAAATATTTTTTTTTATTAAATAATATAACAACTAATCTATAAAAGATTATTAAAATTTAAAAACTTTACTATTAATAATATTTTATGTTAGTATATTAGCAAAGTTTTATGTGTATAAAGTTAACTATTAGCTAAATAAACTTTTGTCAAACAAACAACTAGTGGGACTCAGTCCTACTTTTTGGTAACGTCCTAAAGTCGACAAACGTTGTGAGCATTTCCAGTTTTTTCGGATTCTTCTCATCACTGCATAACAGTTTGCCGGGTTTGGCACGTACTGACACCCGATACATCGTATTGGCCGCCAGACCAGTAATCAGGTGCTTGTAGACCGACGGCCGTACTGTACGCACCTCAACACTGTTGACGGCCACTACGTGATAGAAGTTTGAATTACACGGTAACCATGATATGATAGCCGTATCCGATGTTATGTTCGATGCCTTTACACAACAGGGCGCAAACGGTATGCCTATATACATACGGTATAATGAAAGAAACGGTAGTTATCGGATCAGTTATGTTTTTTATTTGTATTATTTATTAGTATTATTATTATACTGTATAGTTTACATACTTTTGCCTATAACTACAGTACATGCCGGGTCTTTTGATTGCCGTCCACCCCTGTCCATTGCTCGCACGCTTATCCTATGAGGCTATTGGTTGTTGTTGTTGTCCAGAAAAATGGGATGACATGATTTTGAGGAGGAGGTGATGGGATATTGTGGAAAAAACATATGGTTAGTTAGTTTGATTAGAAAGTGCAAAACACACACACATTTCAAGCAATATAATAGCAACAACAACACAAAAAAATCCATAAAAATGAATCAAACAATTAATCATAACTTTAATGATATATTATATCTAATAGTTTATAAAGTATTTTATTTTTTAGTAGTTATCTCTATCTCTGATAGTGACGCTTAATCAACACTGTCATTGACACACACACACACACACACACACACACACACACACACACACACACACACACACACACACACACACACACACACACACACACACACACACACACACACACACACTGACTGACAGATCCATACTAACCATTGAAGAGTCGACGCCCTCTACCAATGCTTTAGTTCTGTCACCGCTGGGAATCGTTGCTTTGAGTACACCATCGACATAGATCTGGAAGGACTCGATGAAACTCTTGGGACACTCCGGATGAAGCCAACCAATTAGGACACTCTTATGCAACTGGCGCTCAAGTAGTAGACGCTGTGGCGGTGCCACTGGAAAAACAAATAATAATAATAATGGACAGTTAGATTAATTGAAAAATCAATAGATTTATTATATTTATGTGTGTGTGTGTGAAATATTATATATCTTCAAATTTTTTATGATTCAATTACAGAGAATTATATTTTAATTGATAATAAATTATTGACTAATTTTAGTTTTCTCTCAATAGTGTTAAATATTTTTTAACATTTAATAATAATTCAATAATATGACTCTGAATATTAATAATTTTTTAATAGCATATTATATTTATAAATTTATTATAAGTTTAACTTTATATATATAATTTATTTTCTTGATAAAAAATTATTGTAAAATATTTAGAGATTTTGAAAAGTTTATAGAATAAAACACATATATAATTCCCAATAGTAATTAAAATAACGATATATATATGTGAGAGAGAGAGAGAGAGAGAGAGAGAGAATGTAAATTTTATTGATAAAAATTAATAATAAATACTAAATTGATTTATTTTAAGTCCGACATTGACTTTCAAATTAAAAAAATAAATAAATGTTAAGCTATTTTACGAATAATATTTTTTTCAATACAGAATTTTAGATAACGTTAATATATTAAATATTTTATTAGTTTAGACTTATGGTTTTTATTTTATTTTGTATAGTACTGTACATATATAGAAAAGGTTCAAGGTTATTTGAATATATAGATATATGTATAATTTTTTTTATTTTATAAATTAAATCAATTTTTTTATTGTAAAATCCAATTGTATTACTAAAGTTAATACTACAGACACAGACTCTTTATATAATATATATCTGATTATTGAATTAGAGAGAAATATTATAAAACATAGTTTGTCTGTCTGTCTATTAATTATTTAAAATTATGTATGTGTTTTCATACTATAATCTCATGAGAGGATATACAGCATATAAATTATATATTATATATAAGTTATTTTACAACAACAAAAATCAATTGTACTTAAATATTTAGATAATATTGAGTAGAAAAAAATTTAATTTATAATAGTCCTACAAATTTAATATATAAAAGTTTAAATAACACTTAGAATTGACAAATTTATATTGTATCATCATATATATTAATAAACTTATATATGTTTAAATATTTAAGATAATACTCGGGTACAAAATACACAACAATACAAACCAACAACAAATAATAATAATAAACGTCATATATAATTTATATTATTATTATTATTATTATTATTATAGTCTATAAATTATCATTTGTTATTTGGTTAAAGCTGTTAAGTTAGTTTGTATTGTTTGATTGTAATAGCATTAAGTAGTTTATATAAAATGTTTACTATAACTACTATAACTTTATATACACAATATATATATATATAATTTTTATATATCATAAGTATACTGAACTTTATAGAAACCAAAACTATTGTACATATTGTCAACATATATATACAGAATATTACTAAACATTATAATTGTGTTGACACAGAATATTACAGAATTTTTATGTTAGACAATAGTATAAGTATTTATTATTATTATTATTTTAATGCCACTATTATTATGGCTACTAGTTTTCGGCATTATTATTATATTATTTAGCTATTTATGGTATTAATATTTTATTTTATTTTTTATATATATTCAAATTTCATTCATATTTATGCTAATAATGTACAGTATATACTGTATATGATATAAAACTATATATATATATATATATATGTATAAATATTCACACAAAAAATTATATAGCACATTTATTTATACTGAGATAAATATATTTATCGTATTTAGCAAACAATGTGTCATTACGTAACATATTTTGCATATTTGTTTAAATGTACTGTAATATCCTTTATTAACATAATATATATAAATACAGTATATATATATATAACTCATTGACGTAAATGTGTGTATTTTTCTATGAAATTAATGTTATTTTTCAATTTACATTTATATTAGTTGTGTCGGGATAAATATAAATACTAAAATCACATACAACAACAAAAATGTCTAAATAATGTGTCAGAATTTTTTTTGTCTATCATTTTTATTTTTCTATACAAACATAACAACAACAACAACAACAATAAAAATCTGTAATCCAATACATCAGTCACATACACGTCTAGTTGTTGTTGTTTTTTGAAAATAATCACATATATATATATATAATATATATTAGTTTTTTTCCTATTAAAATAAATTAAATATCAAGTTTTTATTTTAATCACTTGATACATCAACTTATATATTATTAAAGTTTAAGTACGCAAACACATACACACACACACATACATACACACAATTTAACTGTACATAAATGAATAAATAAAGTGGGAGTTGGAGTACATACATACATACATATAATATAAAAAATAAATATAAATAAAATTGCTAAACGTCTAGATAAGAGAGATATATATACTGTAGAGGAACGGTATGAGAAAATTGTTGTGAAACTGTAAGCTCAATGGTTGGTTTAATAAAAAACCAAACCAATAGTTATATATCGTATATATATATATATATATATATATATATATATATATATATATATATATATATATATATATATATACTGTATATATGTTGTAGATATAGATAAAAAAAATAATACAATTTTCTAGGAAAACCAAAACTTTTTTTTCTATCTTTTTTCGATATGTTTTATCCATTTATTTAAAACAAGCAAAAAAATCAAATTGAATTTTACTCATATTTTTTCATTGTATTAGATTTTTGTTTACACATACACAACACCGACAACAACAACAACTTTTTCAATACTAAAATAATAATAATAATACCGATAAAAAAAATGTATCGAAAGCTTATTTTGGGGATTTATTTAAGATTTATTTTATTTATATATAAAATCACTTACAAAATAGGTGGAACTATTTTTTTTGGGAATAACCTCTCTGGATAGGAATTTAAAAAAAATAAATAAATATTTAATATGCAACTATAGTTTTCTGGGAAGAATACATTGGTATTTCTATTTTGTATGTATACTGGCACTAGTATGTTAGCACCGGGATGTTATAAAATATAAGAGATTGGAAAATTAAAAAAAAACAAATTATACATCTTTTAAAATGAGTTGACACTTGTGTTTAAAATATTAATTAGTTTTCGTAAAAATAACTTTTTTCAGTAAAAATGAAAATTTCAAAATCCCATAAAATAAAAGTGTCAAGGTATTTTATATTTTTGTTAATTTTAATAAATTTTATATTTAAAATAGAACAAATCATCTGTATATTATAACTAGCTAGCTCATTTAGTTATAAAGATATTCACACATAAATTGTTTTTTCATACAAATTTTTATTAGCTATTGGTATTAAATTTATAAATTATGGGATAATAGTCATAAATTATCATAAAATTAAAAATTATGAATAATTTTAAAGCTAAATGAGCTAGCTAATTACAATGTACAGATGATTTGTTCTATTTTAAATATAAAATTTATTAAAATTAACATCCCGGTGCTAGCATGCCAGTGCCATTATACATACAAAGAAGCTAAAACCAATTTATTATTCCCAGAAAATCATAGTTGCATATAAAATATTTTTTTAAATTTCAATCCATAGAGAAGTTATTCCCAAAAATCTAGTTCCGCCTATTTTGCAAATAATTTTATATACGATATTCAACAATAATATCAAAAATTGTTGATTTTTCTTTCATAATGCATCCCATTTGAGAACATTGACATTTTATCAATACAATTGATTATATAATTTATATACAGTATATTTGTTTTTAACTACTGTACACATGTAATACAGTACATACCGGTGCTCTTTGCAGTTAGATCTTCAGCCCTTTCCAAATCAGATACGTCTTCATCTATTTCGGTGATGTCCTCCAAATCAATGTAATCGTTGATACGGTGGAAGTCATCTGAAAAATAAATTTTAAAAAATATTTTATAATTATTTTAACTAAATATTCTTTTTTTTACAAATTCACTATTATTTCGATTTATATTTATTAGAAAAAAATTTCATAATAAATATTTTTTTTAAAAATCAAAAATAAATTTTAATATTTATACAGAAAAATGATTAATAAAAACTAATGCATATTTATAATTTTAGTATTAGGATTAATTTAATATAATATTAATTAATATCTGGTATTTAATGTTTGAGAGAAAATTTAAATCATTACTAATTTAAACGTAACAGTCGTTTACATAATCAGATTAATCTCAATCTCATTTGTCGTTTAAATCAGTTTATATACTATATATATATATATATATATATATATATATATATATATATATATATATATATATATATATAGGTTATGATATTTAATGTTTATATTATATTTAAAACCAAAAACATAGACTCAGACACACATAAATATATGTTTTACTATAATATATAATGATTATAAAAAAATAATGTATATACTGTATAACTTTGATATATATAAAGCAAAAATCAAATAAAAAAATATAAAAAATCCTATTAAATAAATAATTTTTTGTGAGCTTAAAACATTGCCTTTTATCTTGATTAAAATTGAACCGATAATATTACTAACTATTTTAATATATAATTACACACACACATATATATACCAGTAATAGTAAAAAAATTTCTATTTCTATTATTTCATGATTATATATTTATATATTAATTTATTTGTATAAATAATTTAATTACACATATATACAGTTATATTGTAGAATGTAATATTTATTATTTTTTATAGTTATTTACTTTTTTATTTTCATTGGTTAAATTATAATTAAATAAAAATAATATATATTGCTCAATTTATTCTAGTATAATGTCTAAAAAATTTTACATTAATTTAGATTATATTTATATAATTTTTTAATATTTATTTATAGTTTAGTTTTGTATTAAACTTTTATATAAAATTTAGAAAATAATGATCAATAGGATTAGTCAATAGAGATTGAAATATTTTTTATTAAAAATGTATTTTTATAATATTGTATATATATTTTTATTATATATATATATATTTATTATATATAATATATTTATATAATAACTTAAATCCCACTAACTATTTACTTAAAACACCCACATTTTGCTTTTCCTATTAATTCAAATATTGTGTTGGTGGACATGTACTATAATGTTATACAGTATATGTAAGTTATCACATGAATATTATTGTAATAAAATATAATATACTGAACTTGTATAATATATTTTGATGACAATTTTGATAATTGACTAAGATTTTTACAGTATATTAATATATCGTATATATATTATTGTTATTATGAATCTAAATTTATATATTTATATAGAATATTAATTTATTTTACATTAAAAATATTGTGTATGTATGTATGTGTGTGTAAGTGTGTGTGTGTATATGTTTTGTGTATGTGTGTGTAATAATGAGAAAATATATATTTTTTGTTAAAATACTATTTTTATAAAGAATATATACTGTATATATAATATGTATGTATATACAATATAAATATTTATTATATATAATACAGTACAATGATATCAAATTATTCTGCAACTAATGAAATTGTTTGATACACAAATTGTAAACAAATTATTTTTAAATAATTACAATCAATTATCTATTACACAATCAATTTGGTTGTGAATACCAAACATAGTTTTAGTATTAGTAGTACTAGTATTACTATAGTTTGTGTTGTTATAATGTGTTTGTTATTATCATATTTAAGTGTAAAGCTCTTTCAATAAGGTTGTCTATCTATGCAAGCAATTTGTCATAACATTTATATTTAAGCTATAATATTATATAATACATAATATAATATATATAAAACAATATAATGGGAGAGAAAAATTTCATTTCACATTTTGTCGTCAGCTTCTCATATATTATATTGGATGTGTCATAAATATGACGCCAGTCTATTAATACTCTCTCTCTCTCTCTCTCTCTCTCTCTTCCAAAAACATAAGTGCTTTCATTGCAAATAAACAGTAAATTCCAGAATATTCATACAAAAAGTTATTAGCAAAATATTCCTATAGTTATGTTTGAGAATATATATATAGAATAGATATCATATATACTATTGATATATCATATCAGTCATATACCAGTAGATTATTTATAGAGAAAACTAAAAAACTATTGTCACAAACAAATAAACACAAAGACACACAAAGTGTCATTGATTTTTATAGAATATATAAATTATACAGTACATATATATCATATTTTCAATCAAATATTTACTGTACACACACACACACACACACACACAACTCAAAACTATATTAACTGGAAAAATAATAACAACAATACTATAAGAAAAAAATAATTGAAAAATAAATAAAAACTAAATATAAAAAAAAATATCAATAGCTACTGTACAGTATAATGGATCAATGAGTTTAAAAATAATAATAAAAAACAGTTAGCTTTTCAGCTCATAGACAGACATACCGGGCGCCAACAGGTGCTGGAAGTTCGAGTGACACATCTGATCATTGAGTATGGCGTCGTAAAACTCTGGCGGATAGCTGGCCGTATCGGACTCGGAGTCGCGGCCGTATAGTACACTGGCCTGAAATTCGAACAGATCTTCGCCGGTAAGCTTTTCAACAAAGTTGGACGGTATTAGACCGCGTCGGCCGTCCAGACATTCGCCAAAATAGAAACCGTCTTCGTCTACGTTGCCGAAGATCAATACAAAATCGCCGGCCAATAGCTGTAGTTCCTGTTCTGGGTTGTCGTTTGGCGATTGTTTATACGGATCATAACTGTAACGGGCAATATAGACCTTACAGCGGCCCCGGTTCGGTATTTCAATGCTGTCCACAATGTCTTCGGCCAGTTTTAGTTCATCGACGGGCTGGTGAAACGGTGTATGCGATGTATGCAAAAATTGGTGGCCGTTGTGCGCCGCCGCGCCGGCGGCAATCGTAGGTACGGTCGCCGACTGTGGCACGCTAGCCAATGATTTGGCCTGTAAGCCGGCCAACAGGGCCGACGTTCCCATAATTGGTCCGCCAATAGCTGGTCTGTCCATTGGCTGCATGGATGAGCGGAACAGTGCTGCCGATGACGCCGTGTTTAGCGAAGGCAACGACGAAGACATGGGATAATAGTGTGCGGCCATTGCCGAGTCAATGAGGCCACTGCTGGTTACGTTGCGTAGTTTGCGGTCCAGTTCGGCCAATATTTTGTTGTCCTGATCCAGTTTGGCCATCAGTTTGTCCAAATCGTGTCGCGTGGAGAGTGAAGGCGCTGTGAAATTATTTTTTAATATTTATATTATATTTTATATATAAATTTAGTTAACTATTATTATTATTTGTTTGTTTGTTTGTTAATAATTATTTATTTTTAAAAAGTAATTATCATAGTTATTATAGTTTTTATTGTAATTATTATTAAAACTAATTTACTATAGGAAATAAATTAAACTAACTAGAAGCTGAAAATTGTTATCAATGATAAAATGTAAAATTATATATTTATTAATTACATACATATTGGATAAATCATAATAATCAATAATATTATTTTTATATTATTATATTTATTAATATTAATATATATCTATATCTATAATTTTTTACTGTATTACAGGTATATTGTATATTCATGACAATTATAATACACCTGATGTAATATTAGACATCGTTGAGATTGAATTATTCTCAAATATAATAATATTATTATTATTATTATTATTATAAGCAAGCAAATATATTCCAAGCATCATATTTATTAAATAACCTAGAGCATTGGTTACTAAAAAGATAAATATATTATACAGTATATATGTATACTGTAAATGGTGAGTGGGATAACATAGTGTATTAGGTAAACTGGTATATTTAAGTGCCCACACATCAAAACACACAGTACTCTATAGTAATCTATAATCACTTACTATACATGTTATTCACCAGAATATTCTTTAGTTTAGTTATAATATAATTATTATTGATTTAGAATCAGATTTTTGTTTTCTGTTACCCAATTGCTTATCCTATTTAATACCCCAAAAACATACATACATTTACATTCACTATTTCAATTAAATACTTTATATATTACTGTATATTACAGACTGGCAAAACTAGGGGATTAAAATATATTTACTTAAGTACATATATACAGATAAAAGGATTAATATATACATGCAAAAATTTTATATAAATAACATATATAAACAAAACAAAGATACTAATGTCATATGATAAATAAAGTTAATATTATATTTAATGTTAATATTAATATAAAATAAAATGTTTAAAAAATTTAGATAAAAATATTAAATATTGATGATTGATTTGATTGATTTAAATATAAGAATAATAGTAATAATAGTAATAATAGTAATAATAGTAATAATAGTAATAATAGTAATAATAGTAATAATAGTAATAATAGTAATAATAGTAATAATAGTAATAATAGTAATAATAGTAATAATAGTAATAATAGTAATAATAGTAATAATAGTAATAATAGTAATAATAGTAATAATAGTAATAATAGTAATAATAGTAATAATAGTAATAATAGTAATAATAGTAATAATAGTAATAATAGTAATAATAGTAATAATAGTAATAATAGTAATAATAGTAATAATAGTAATAATAGTAATAATAGTAATAATAGTAATAATAGTAATAATAGTAATAATAGTAATAATAGTAATAATAGTAATAATAGTAATAATAGTAATAATAGTAATAATAGTAATAATTTTTGTTTTAACTTTTATTATAATTATTTAAAATAAAATTTTTGTATGCATAATATTTACTTATACTGTATATATGAAATAAATAATTATATTCATAACTTCCCTACTTTGCCTGTCTGTACTGTATATATATATACAGTATAGTTAGATAATGCCTACAAGAAATTTATCAGGTCGTACAGAACCTGATAGGTTAATCAAACAACACAAACAAACTAATGTAAAATAATTTCATAAATGTTGTACAAATGCTACACATTTAGTATATTCCTTGTAGAATATATATGTATGCTATATATATATATATATATAATTTATATATAGTCTTACTTTTATTGTCGATCAAAGCTCCGGTATGTTTGATAAGTGGTTCGTACGACGATGTGTGCAAATGATAAGGCGTAATGGCGTCAGTGGTTTTTGAATGCATTTTTGTTAGCCTATGCCGCAAATGACTGCTACTGTGACGGCCGGCGGTACTGCTCAGCAATAGTAGGTCATTATCGTCAAGCAAACGGTCCGCTGAGCTCATCAGCTTCAGTCGGCTATTACTACTACTGTCGCGGACTAGACTGTCCAAATAGTCGGTATCGTGCATCAGCTCCATGTCCATCATGTCCAGGTCGTCGTCGAGCAAATGGTTGACCATATGTTGCGATGTGGACAACGATTTATTTCCGTTCTGCGCCAACAGTGCAGATCCAGACAAACCCGATTTGACTGTCTGTGTAGAACTTTTCGATCCCTGACTGCCGGTGCCGATACCCGAATCGGTTAACGATGGCGTCTGATATAAGTAAGCGGATGTCAATGAAGGCATCGACGTCGATATTGAATGACCGCCGCTAATGGCGCCGACGTTAATAGAAGTGGTGTTGTCCAACGACTCGACACCACTGTCTGGCAGTTCGATAATACTACCGGCGCTGTAGGTATTGTTGGCTGCGGTGGTGGTCTTAGTCTTAAGTTTGCAGTCGAGCTCAGCCAACAGTTTGTTGTCATTCTCTAATTTGGCTAATAATGTGTCCAAATCTTTGGATGAATGCTTTGAAGGCTCTAAACATGTTGTGGTTTCATAGGGGGGGAAAGGGTGGGAACGGTATGACACAAACAGAAAGGTCATTGATTTATATATAATATGACTGAGTTTTCATTAGAATTTTATTTTATTTTTCTATATATATTTTATATTATATAAAAATTATATTAATAGATAAATTCAAGCAATAAATTTATACAACATTAATGATTATATTAAAATAATCATTGGCGTGTATATGTATAAGTACTGTATGTGTAAACACTAAGCAATATACCGTATGATATATCATGTATGCATATGTTTATATACGGAATAATTATATATATATATATATATATATGTATATGTGTGCAATTGATATTTAAATAGTTTTTGAATGGTTAAATCTAAATAATTATTAAATGCTAATTATGCTATTTAATTATTTTAAGGTTGTACCAGTATACCATATATATAAATACAATTGATAAAATATATTAAATATGATGATAATATCAACAACAAAAATTAATTTACGTAAAATACATTAGTAAAATCAATTTTTCCATATTTCAATGTATATTTAGGATTTTTTTTTGAATAATTTATAAAATAAATTATATAATCAACAATAAAAAAATTGATTTGAATATTAACTATCATCAATACAGTAAATTATCTGAAAAACATTTCATACGGTATACTATCAATACATTGTAAAGTTTTGGTGTTTTTCGGTATGTTTTTGTGTGTACTGTATATAACTTAAGTGTATTATAAATTGTATTAATACAACCCTACTTAATTAGTATTGTGCTCATGTGTTATTCACAAATCATAAGCACACCGTAATAATAATGGAAAAATAAATATTGATTTACTATCACATTATTAATGTTTGTTTTGGTTTTAAATATAAACTAATAATAATAAATTACAATCATATTTAATAATTGACTGAACTTTCAATTGAATTTGTGTGTATGTGTGTGTATGTATGTATGTATGTATGTATGTATGTATGTATGTATGTATGTATGTATGTATGTATGTATGTATGTATGTATGTATGTATGTATGTATGTATGTATGTATGTATGTATGTATGTGTGTATGTATGTATGTATGTGTGTGTGTGTGTGTGTATGTGTGTGTGTGTGTGTGTGTGTGTGTGTGTGTGTGTGTGTGTGTGTGTGTGTGTGTGTGTGTGTGTGTGTGTGTGTGTGTGTGTGTGTGTGTGTGTGTGTGTGTGTGTGTGTGTGTGTATGTATATGTGTATTTAAGTAATAAATTATTTTTTTTTTAAACAACAACAACACTAACTTTAATACAAACATTAATTAATCAAAAAATTATAATTTTTTAAAGGCATTTAATCTATATATATATTCAACATTAATATGACATATTTAATGTCTTTTTGAATTAAAATGATAATTCATTGGTTTTTTTATTTAATATAAAGAAAACATATAAGAAAAGATAATATTCATACATTAAGAAAATTATTATAATATAATATCATATTAATAATAATATTAAGTTTTATTTATTACGAAAAAATAGTAAATATGGTAATTAGATTGCATAATAAATATAAATATTTTTGTTTTATAAAAAAATTAATAAGCTAATATATTTGAAAATTATTTCAGCCTAATAACTATTTTTTATTTATTTCATAGTCAAAATTAATAATAAAATTTTGTTAGAGAGAAAAAATTGTTATATAAGCAAAAAAATTTATTTTGTAAATATTATATATACATTGTATACTAGAAAAAAATAAGCCATAGTTATTAACTGAAAATTTTAGTATTATATTGTAGAGTACTATACTGTATAATATACAGTGTATATACTATACTAAACTATATATTAATATTTATATATATAGTATTATATATAATGCAACTTTTAGTCCAAAAATAAATCAATACACAATGTATAACTTCAATATTTAAATAAATTTAATTAATTTTTAAATATAAAACATTAAATCAAATCATATATATTTAGTATATAGTATATAAAAATTTTTATTCTTTAAAATTTTTATGTTTAATATAATTAAATAAATTATTGAATATTTGATACAATTTTATTTTATTATAATTATTTTTAAAAAATAAGTTAGCCTTACTACAACATATATATAATTTTATATTTTACAATAAAAATCTTATTATTATTTTATTTTTATTTTTTTGATGCACACACACGAAATTTCAATTTCAAGTAAGCAATTGTTTAGCTAAATATTGATTTAGTTTATAATTTATATCCGTATTTTTCTACATTTTCGTAAAGCAATTACATTTTTATTTCAATAGTATATTAAAATTAGATAATAATAATAACAAAAAAAATAATAACTAAAATTTTTATTTTGCTTTAAATCATACTCTTATATTAGTATATTTAAAATAACATAATACACAGTATATAATTAGTAATTGATTTATTGACAATTATTTGTATTTTTTATTAAATAATCTAATAAACCTTTAATATAAATTATAAATATATATAATATAAATCATTAGTTGCTGATTATCTTATTCAAATATATTTTGACTCAATAATTTTCTACAATATTTTATTTTTAATTTTATTAATGTGTATTAAAAAATAGTTTTAATAATAATATAAGTTGTAATTTATATATTATTACTAATTATAAATACTATTATTATAGTATATAAAAATATTGTATTATTAATATTTAATTATAATTTAATTGCAATAATCTATTTAGTTATAATAACAATATTATTATTATTGCTATTGTATTTTGTTTATAAAAAATAATGTTAATAAAAATAAAATAACATTTATTATAACTATTAGGTTGCATTTAAAAAATGAAAAATATTTACTGTATATAAGCAATAATATTTATGTAATAAAATATTATTAAAATACATATTTTTATAAATATAAATAAAACAATTTCTATTAATAGAAATTAATTAAAAGTTCCAATAAATTATACAGCATATAATATTTTTATAATATTGTTGATTATAAATAAATATTATATTAATATTACTAACCACTAATAATAATAATAAATTTTTTTACAAAAAAATACTTACCAAGTGAGATATTGTCCATTAAACGAGTCCAAATCAAATAAATAATTTTATTATTTTTTCACCTAGTTGATAATGATAATGGTGGGTGATGTTTTGTAGTGATTTTTTGTTTTGTTAATATATATTTTTATGATACACGTAAACAAAAATAAACAAGCATACTTGTGGTGTAGTATAATGTAGAAATTAATTAATTAATTATTTATATATATATCCTAATTTTTTAAAATACAAGTTTTTTACTATACACTATACTTAAGTTTTATTATATCAGTAAATAATATCATATGTATTATTATTATATATTTAGTAAATTTCTAGAATATGTATATATTCTTGTAGAATATTCTTGTGTATAGATTTTATTTATTATTATTATTATAATTATTTAAATATTATTTTCAAATACACTTTAAATAAACACACGAACACATACTGTGTACTAGCATTTAGCAAACACATCAATAGTTAAAAAATATTAATAATATTTTTATTAATAATAGAAATAATTGTTATTTCATTTGATTTCATTGTGATTGTTGATCAGTTACRCACACATACACACATAAAACTACTGAATTTCATTGATAAAAATTATTATTATTATTATTAATGATAAACAATTTATACACAATTCTATAATATATATTTATTTAAAAATATATATATATAAATAAATAGTTATATTTATATATATATATACATATATAGTTAATAATTTTTATGATGGCTCATTGTATATCAATGGGTATAGTATGGTATGTTATGTATGACTGTGTGTATGTATGTATGTACAGTATGTGTTTTAGTGTATAGTACGATATAACTGCTCATTACATGTAAATATAATATTTTTTTCGAGACAAGAATCGCGAAGCATAGTCGGGTCAATACATATCCACACAAATGCTCCGACATTTTGCCCAAACATAGTCAGTGAGTGAGTGTGTGTGTGTGTTTGTGTGTGTGTGTGTGTCTATTACTAGAATATGACTTTATGGTAGGTATGTGCTATATATTTGTGCGGTCACCGATCGATAATACTCTCTCTCTCTCTCTCTCTCTCTCTCTCTCACACACACACACACACACACACACACACACACACACATACATACATACATACATACATACATACATACATACAATTATATACATTCAAACAATTTATATCTAACACATACACACACACATATATATATGTAGTATATAGAGCTGTAAATACATAGAGAATTACATAATAGTAAAAAAGATTTGTATATTAGATTTCATTGATAATCTTATGTACTGTATTTCAATACTGTATACCGTATTACACATTACACCACACAATGTTACACAAAGTTTTAGTAACTGTATATAAACTTATTATTGTCATTACCAGTATATAAATATATTACACAGAATATTACTAAAATAATTACTTAATTTTTTTAATTTATCAAATTTCAGAATATAATGTTAATATTATTCAATCTTTCGATTTAAATAGAAATTTTATTTATATAAATAATAAAATTGATCTCTAATTATCAATCAATTGCTATAAAAAATCAATGTTTTAAATTAATTAAATCAATTATAATTATACAATTAAATCTATGTATAAAAGGTTTATGATTTTTTTTGTCACAATTTTTACTACAATTTAATTTAAATTAGATTAACGTTATTTTTTAGGGAAACAAAAAAAACYTTTTTTTTTTTAAAAACATTGTAATTATGTTTTTATAATTTATTCAAAAAACAAAAAATTATTTTTTTTAATTTTTAGTATTTACCGATAGTTTTTAAAACAAATATATCAATTAGAAAAATACCGGCTCCTCATTAAAAATACGGTTTATTTCCCGGTTTACGGGATTTTTTATTTCCCAGTTTTACTAAATTAAAAAATAAAAATGTTTAATCAAAACTACTGTAAAATTATTTTATTATATATTTAGTATTAATATAATAAATAAATTAAAATTCATATCAAACGCCAAAAATAAATATTACATATAAAAAGTATAGGGACTGTACTGTCATTGCATTCAAACTTATTCATTGAATTTTTACATTACATTTATGAAATGATTGTATATTTGAGTACAGTTTGCCATAACATTGTGTTGACAATAAAACATATAAATCGTATAGAAATAGTCTACAAATAGTTTGAAGTAAAAGCTATCCATTTGTATTGATATAATGACTATTGACTGTACAGTCTGTCACTAAAATACAGACAAACCTAACACGTGTTCAAACGTATTGAACACCCGATTGATTGCCGTTATCCCAGTGGCCACAAGTGATTACATCAACAACAACAGCCACAACAATGTCGAAAGCGAGTAAATTTTTTGCCAATCTATCGGAGACCGAAAGCTCGGAGGAAGAATCAGATGAAGAGGTCGGTCTCCAAAACAAGACTACCGCTGTGTATGTATTTTGGTGGCCACTGCTGGCCGGTCCGAACTGACTCGCGTGCGGGAGACCATTATAGTCTATACTTTGATGTATCGATTGACTCATTACTTATTATTTTCTGTTTTGTCTCTCTCTCTATCATTCATTGCAGCGCCTATTCGTTCAGCGATGACGAAGAAGAGGCCAAACGTATTGTACGATCGGCGCGCGAGAAGCGCTACGAAGAGTTGCATACAATTATTAAACAGATTCGCAATCACAAGAAAATCAAAGACATATCTAAATTGTTGACCAGTTTCGAGAATCTGGACAAAGCATTCAAAAAGGCTAAGCCGGTGATCGATAAGGAAGAGTCGGGTGCGACGCCTAAGTTCTACACAAAATGTTTGGTCGAATTGGAAGACTTTGTCAACGAAGTCTGGGAGGACAGAGAGGGCCGAAAGAATATGAATAAAAATAATTCAAAATCGTTGGCAACTTTGCGCCAGAAGTTGCGAAAGTATAACAAAGATTTCGAATCGGATATCAATGGCTATCGCGAAAATCCCGATGAGTTTGAAGACGAGAAAGAGGATGATGATGGCAGTGGTGATGAAGATGATAGCGGATCAGATAGCGATGTCGGCGCTTTTGTTGGTCGTAAACACCAGTCGAAAGGTGAAGAAGATGGAGATGTATCGGAAGTCAAGAAAGAGGTGACCGCCGATGTTAAGTCCAAGTTTTTGAAAGGCGGAAGCGATGATGAAAGCGAAGGTAGCGATGATGACAGCGATTGGCCGACCAGTAGTGACGAGAGTTCTTCGTCCAGCGATGACGAAAAATATGGCGACAATTTGGCCGCAAAATTCTTGAAGAAAGAAGGAGACGCCAAAGAGTCGAAGAAACGCGAAAGAGTTAAAGTAAAGGAACCAAAACTTGGCAAACGTCGCGACGATGACGATGAAGGCGAATGGGAAAAGGTTAAGGGAGGTGTGGCCTCCAGTGAAAAGCCGAAAATGTTTGCCAAAGACGCCGAAATTAATCACTTGGTAATGAACAAGAAACTAATCGAAGTGTTGGCGATGCGCGGTAAAAAACGAATCGATCGCAGCGACCAAATCGAAATGTTGACCGAATTGTTGTCTATTTCCGATCAAAACAATTTGGGACCGGCTTTGGCCGCCAAGATATTGCTCGGCATTTTATCGTCGCTCTTCGACTACAACTCGAACATCAATTCGTGTATGAAGTACGAGATGTGGGAAAAATGTTTGGACACATGCGAACAGGCCATCAGTCTGTTGACGGCCAATCCCGACATATCGGTCGGCGAGAACATTGCCGAAGAATCCGAGTTGTTTACAACGTCTCCCTATAGAGTTCACGGCTGTATACTGACGCTTATCGAGCGTATGGATGAAGAGTTTACGAAAATACTTCAGGGATGTGACGCACATTCGCCCGAATATATTGAACGACTCAAAGACGAAACTCGTGTTTGCGCTATCATTGAGTCGCTTCAACTCTATCTGGAGACCAACAGTCGCGGAACGGCCAGCGATTTGTGTCGAATTTATATAATACGTATCGATCATTTGTACTACAAATTTGATCCGCAAGTGTTCAAAAAGAAGGAACAACTACGCAAACTGAAGGAACTGGAAGAAAAACAACAACTGGTGAACGGAGACTTTCGGCCGGTCGAGATTGTCATTGCCGACGAAACTGGTGAACCAGTAAACAAAACTGAAACCGAAGAGATAATTGTGACATCGATGGACATTTTGAATGAATTGTGTAAATTTATCTACGCCCGCGATGTCACCGATCGGATCCGTACGCAGGCTATACTGTGTCACATCTATCATCACGCACTGCACGACAACTGGTTTGAGGCGCGCGATCTGATGCTGATGTCGTATCTGCAACACAACATCCACAAGTCGGACATTCCCTTGCAAGTGATGTACAACAGAGCACTGGTCCAGTTGGGTCTCTGCGCTTTTCGTCACGGAACTATTCGTGACGCACATACATCTTTGTTGGACATCCAGATTCAGGGACGCGCTAAGGAACTGTTAGCTCAGGGTTTGTCATCATTTGTTGCTTTTTGTTGATGAAGACGTTATAGATTATCTGGTCTTTAATTTGTTTGTTGTGTGTGTATTAGGTCTGCTTCCGCGACAACAGGAGCGCACACCCGAACAAGAAAAACTGGAAAAGCGTCGTCAGATACCGTTCCACAAACACATTAATCTGGAACTACTCGAATGTGTTTATCTCGTTTCAGCTATGCTTCTGGAGATACCTGACGTGGCCTCCAACGAGTTCAGTGTCCGCAAGAAAATGATTTCGCGTTCGTTTTACAATCAGTTGCGCAAAAACGAAGAACAACCGCTAGTAGGTCTGCCCGAATCGATGCGCGAGCACGTAGTGGCCGCATCAAAGGTCATGCGTATTGGCAATTGGCGACAATGTCAGGAATATATCATCAACGACAAGATGAACTCGAAGGTCTGGAATCTGTTCTATCAGGCGGACAAAGTACGCGATATGTTGGCCCAGAAGATTCGCGAAGAATCGCTTCGGGCCTATCTGTTTACCTATAGTTATGTTTACGATTCGATATCTATTAAATTGTTGGCCGAAATGTTCGACTTGGAGTCATCAGTGGTACACAGCATTATCAGCAAAATGATAATCAACGAAGAGTTGATGGCCTCGTTAGACGAGCCAACACAGACAGCAGTTATGCATCGTACCGAACCGTCCCGTATTCAGGGACTGGCCCTACAGTGCGCCGAAAAGATTAATTCGCTGGTCGAACACAACGAACGGCTCTGGGAGATCAAACAGATACCATTGGGTCAGCTGATGACCCAGGGCAATCAACGATACTATAACCAGGATGGAAATTATCGTAACTATAATCGACAGGATAGACAGGGTGGTGGTCGCGATCGCGATGGTCAGGATAGGAATCAATATAGACGTGGATCGCACAGACAGGACTATCACCATCATAATAGACAGGACCGACAGCAACACTACAGGGGTAATCATCATCATCGGGGAAATAATCGGCGCCACGACAACAACAGAGACCGCGATAACTAATAGGTGTTTAGATACGAGTATTTTTTTATAGCATATCCCCGTTGACTACGTATATAACTGGCCACTGGTTATCGATCTATATCTAAATAGTTGCCACCAATTGATTGATATATAATAATTTAATTATTATTTTCTACTCTATAATTATTTAACTCTAAAAACTAAATTAAAATTAAATAAATGATTAATAAATTCAATGATAATTTCCAAAAAAATCTGATTTTTTATTTTATAAATTTTAATGAACAGTTATATCGAAATCTCCCGGAGCTCTCTCTCTTTAGAACTTGAGTTTGTGTGGGAACACCCGATTCCTTAACTGAAAATAGGATCCCAGGTATGCCAACAACAGTTTCTTGTCCTTATTCTTGCGGACGACATCTATGATCTGTTTGTCGACAGCAATCTGATCGGCCTTTCGTTTCTCATCCGGTTTCCAGCCTTCGGCTTTCGTATCGAATATATCGCCGCCATCTCCGCGCTTACCCTTCGGCGATCTGTCCTTCTTAACCTTAAAGTATTTGTCGTCAATGTGATCGGGAACCTTAACGGCTGACACGTCCAGTCGAGTACTGGTCACAATGACAAACTGTTGGTGCATTCGTCGTAATGGACAAGCGTTGATCTTATACGGTCCGGTAACCAATAGTAAGCCCGATGCCAGTTGTTTGAGAAATACAACACGTTTGCCGCGATGACGACCGGCCAACACAATCAGGACAGAGCCGGGAACAAGACCTGTCACACAATATTGATCATCACATATATAAAATCAAATCAATTGAATCCTCTTTTTATATGTTTCTTAAGACATACCGGCTTTCAATGTTCGCTTATGTTTGGCAAATATCTTATGTCCAGTTCTCGACTTCTTCGGTGTTTCCTCAGTCGGATAGTACTTCTTTCCCTTCTTGACGAGAACCTTGCGTTTGCCACCATTTTTCTCGCCGCCGATCTTCTTCACGACAAACTTGGGCTTCTTTTTCAACAATGTTTCGGCCGGAACTCCCTTACGTTTGGCCGTACGTCTGATTTTGGCCCACAGCGGTCGAGTCGATCGATGAGTGACCAGTTTGCGCACGTTCTTCGGCAACACGCGTTTCGGTGTCTTTTTTGTCGACTTAGCGGCTGCTGTTGTCGTTGGTTTCTTGGCGGGTGCGGCGGCCGCTGCTTTGGGCGCCGCCTTAGCTTTTGTGGCGTCTTTTCCGGCCTATAATAAATTGGACACAAGTGGTCAGTATAATAAAAAACGATGTGATTATACCGAAGTGGCCAACAAATTATAAACAAAATACATACCATTATTTTCACGTGAACTGCAAATACAGGAAAAGGATGTGTTTTATGTGTTGTAGTATTAAATAATAATAAGCACTGTTAGTGTTGTTCACTACCTGTCCCGACATCTACCGTTCCCATACATATTATGTCCGCAAACAACGTTACATTAGATACAATACTATAGTACTGTAAAATGTTTTATTATAAATCATATCTAATATTATAAGTAATACAAATGTTTTTTTTTTAATTAGTGATTAATTATTATTTGTTATATTTTTTAAATTGAAATTTACCCATGATACATTTTTTTAAATTGTTGTCATTTTATTGATTTATTAAAATTATATTATTATTATATTATTACTATATTTTACTGTAAAGTACTGTATATATTATGAAGTATTAGTGAAACTTCATATTTGATTGGATATACAATACTGTATTCAATGTTTGTAATAGAGATGTGATCCACAAAAACATGTATAGAAACCAAACCGAAATAATAATAATTAAATACAAATAAATTAAACTAAAATTATACTAAATTTTATGATTTAATTAGAAATTTTTGTTGTTGTTGTAAAATTGATAATATTTTTTTAAAAAAATAAATTAAAACAAATCAAAATCATTATAAAATTAAAATCATTATAAATAAAACCCCGGTTCTCACTGTTTAATCGAACCAAACATAGGTTTACAGTATTTCTAGTCTATTGTCTATCAAAAAATATATCAATGTTTTAAAACTTTTTTTTTAATATTTTTGTTTACTATCTCTACGTCTGTACCGAACTGTCACTACATTTTCTGTGACCAACTTTTCATATCCCGACGGGTGTGAAATAGTTAGTCCACCAGTTAGTAGTGACCACTAACTAACTACTCGTGCGATAAATTTGAAGAAATAATGATTAAATTCAAGGCATTGAACGAATCGGAGCCGTCGTCCGATTCGGAGATATCGCAGACATTGGTTGTCACTCGCGAAGCACACGAAGAAAATCTGTTGGCCATCTATGACGAAGCCATTCGTACGCTTAGTGCCGGCGACGACGTTGCGGCCAAACAGATGCTACTGAAACTGAACGATAGTCTGGCCGCTGCCGGCTGTGGTAAGACTGGCCATCAAAAACTCAGTTCGGAAGCCATCTATCATAAGCTGCGGTACTCGACGTTCAAGAATTTGGGTCTCATTACTGGCGATTTGAACTACTATTTGGAAGCACTCGAGTTGGACGCCACTGATGTTACATTGTGGCTGAAAACCGGCCGATTGGCTGCCGCTGGACTCAATTATCAATTGGCCCGCGAATGCTACGAATGCGCCCATTCGTTGAGTCAGAACAACTGGCTGGCCATCGATCGGCTCATCGATTGTACGTTTGTCTTACACGACATTTACCACTGCTTTCGGTTGTGCTGTACGGCCATCGATCGCGACGAGACGTACACCAAAGCGCTTGTATTGTTCAACGAATGTATTCGTTTGCAGCCGTCATTTGTTACCGAAATGTCCGAAAAATATCGCCGTTTTGTAACGGCTGTTGCCGGCGATGTTTACGAAACTGAAGACTGTGAACATATTGTCGGCGAATTAAGACAACTGAAAGCCAAACGAAAACAGTATTTCGATGACGAAAGACAACGTCAGGATCAGAAACGGCCGAAATTGTCACTAATTTTGGACAAAAATCTGACTAATCTTACGTTTGCCACAATTGGTTTGAAAATTAAGATTATTTACGACCGAATCAAGAAGTGTCATCTGTTTCCATCGACGCCAATAGACATTGGCTTCGAGTATGGCGTCAGTAGTTCGCAGACCGACAGCTGCGGTAATGAGAGCGGCAGTACTAATACAAGTGCCGACGAGAGTACATCTACGGCAACAAATAACGGTCCAGTGCTCGCTGTTCCCATTAGTGACGGCCAAGACTCGGATGTCAAGGAGAAAGAGGTTAACAATACGCCGAACATTGTTAACAACGAATCGGAAGCAAATGACACGCCGACTAACAACAATAGCAATCCGAAGAAATTCAAGAGATCTAATAGTCTGCGCAACAGTACATCAAATTTGTTTCCCTCGGAGTTYGTCGATAAACGGAGATCGAGTCGTGTGAAGAATATTTTAAATAAGAGCCGTGATATTGATGAACGAAATATATCGGAAAGTATTCTGGAACTGTTGCCCGATTCCTTGAAGATGGCAATGCCTGAGATGCGTCCGAAAACTCCTGAAGAATTAATAGCGGCCGAAACTGCTTACAGATGTATCAATTTGTGCGAAAAAAGTGAATCAGATTACGTAAATAGTTTCTTGGAACGGATCAAATCACTTAAGACTCAACTATCGGTGATAACAATCTACGATATCATTGAATCGTATTTATGTAAACTGAGTGCCGCCAAGAATCTAATCATTCCGATGGCTTTTCACGAATTGTATGCCGTTTATCGTGACTATAATCCGCTGCCTTGCGGTCCGCTATCGGTAATCGGACGCGACATCGATGTTGAACAACTGTGGTTGTGTTTGACGGCCAATGAGCTAAAGTTTCATCGAAATGAGTGCATGTTTTTAACACAAATGTTAGTACCGTTGGAGTTAACGCTCAATAAAGACCAATACAACGAATTTGTGGTCAGATTGTTGATGATTAGAGGAACCAAAGAGAATGATAACGATTTTTTGAATCACGCCATCAGTATTCTGTGTGACAACGAGATCGAAGTGATGGCAGCAAACAAAGTAGTGATCAAATATACGGCCATTAAATCGATTATCGATTCGCAATCGCGCGAAAACCTGTCACAGTTGATGGCCGAACATAATTTCGATCAGTTAATAAAGATTTTAATGTCGAAACCCGAATCGGAACTGACTATCGACGAGATAAACCTATTGAATGATGCTATTGTTAGCTCACAGCTGTGGCAAAAGGGAATCGATATATTGAGTACAAGAAACGATTTGAACAAAGAATGTTTGGCCACAATTGTGAAATGTGTTGAAACGGGTCAGAGGGCTCGGATCAAGTATCCATTATCGGTAAAATTGGTCAAATTGGCGGCTGAAGGAAAGTCAATAGTTCCCTGGGTTTGTCTGTATTGGACACTGATTGCCGAAGGCTACGAAGCCACTAATGCCAAGAGTCTGCTCATCAAATTTCTCAAATTAGGCCATCAATATCTCGGCAAACGGGGCACCTGTACGTCAAACAATGGCGAGTTTCTGTTTCTGGCTCTACAACACTTCATCGATGTCGACATCGAAAATGAAATTTTTGCCTGTTTTACCTGTCTGTTCAATTATCCGGCGCGTCGACACCAATCGGCGGCTAACTATCATCATTCGCCTCACGTACCACTCAAATGGGAATACTGTGAACAACTTTATCATTATTTTGCTCCCGAAGAACTACCCGAATACGACAGTCTTGTACGACAAACAGGTCTTACTCAAGATATACAAGAATTGTTGGTCAAAGTTGTCGATTTAGTTCCCGGCCGTTTGCAGCCAAACGCACGAACCGAACCCATAATCAATTACATTGATAAGGGAGAGGAGATACCCGACGATATGAGTTTCGAGAAAACATCAATAACTGAGACTATTTATTATCTATTGGCTGACTATTACTTCAAAAATAAGGAGTTCAGGTGAGGACTGGGATTTTTTTTTAATTAGTGATAACCTGGAAGAATAAATTGGTAATTATTTATATTTAATTTTTATTTTATACAGTAAAGCCCGTGAATACTATATCTATGATTTGGCGCTAAACTGTAATCGTTTCGACTCGTGGGCCGCATCGGCACTGACCCGTAATTTTGAAGTTGACCAACAATTATTATCGGTTTGTTTCTATTTTAATGGACAAATAAATTTTCTACCCACGAGTTAATTTAAATTTAAATATATTGAACAAAAATAGGGCAAAGAAATCAGCGAAACATTCTATGAGCTGGCAATGGCCAGCCAACGGTGCTTTCAACGGGCCCTACTATTAGAGCCGTCAAACACAAAACTATGGATAGAATTTGGACACTTTATGTACAATATATCGAGTACGACATCCCGGTTGCGAAAGACATCGCTGTTTACAGCAGGATCGGCACCGAACTCTGACGCTGAACGGGCTCAGGGTATGACTCAAGTGGCCAAACATTGTTTCGAAAAAGCTTTGAATGCCGATTCACCCGAAGAACTATGGCTTCCCTACTATATGTTGGGTAAAGTTATGGAAAAGAGTAGCAACATTTACGGCACAAACGCACTGTTTGTGGCCATCAAGTACTACGAATGGGCCGATATGTGTCTCTACGTTGATGGCGCTTCTTATCCAAAGAAAATAATGTATTACAATCCTCCCTATTTGGCAGTGGAAGCGCTAGAAGTTCATTATCGCATACACGCGTCGATACTTAAACATTTGACATCGTTTCACAAAAAGTTGTCCACTCGTGTACTCAAACGTTTCAAACTTCATCTGACGCGAGCACTGCGCTCACCATTTGTCAAACAGATCACTACATCGACAACTTCATCGTTGGCCACTGCACAGGCTGATCATGACTACACTGGAACTGGGAGAACAACAGCAACAACGGCGACTGGTTCGGCGAGTAGTTTTGTACCGCACAAAGAGGTTACCGAATTGATGAACGATTTGGTCGACAATATAGAGCTGAGACTCGAGCGGACGGATGCCAAACAACTAAAACAAGAGTTAATAATGATGTGTTTGAATGCTATGTTTCGGTGCGTTAACCGATATCCGGCACACTATAAGTCTATATTTCGATTGGCCGACTTCTACCATAAGATTAATAACAACGAGGAGGCGAAACAATTGTTATTGAAAGCACAGGGTGGTCAGCACCGGCCTCAACGAGATAGAGGCGGCGGCGGTGAAGTAACAGACCTGAGCCAATTGCCCGGTTTGTTTGCCGAACGAAAGAGTAACAACTTATTCAACGGCATTTGGCGCATACCTATCGATGATATTGATAGGCCGGGCAGCTTCTGGTCGCATATGTTTCGATCGACTTGGCTATTGATACGGGTCTGTACTTTTACCATCGACTATCATATGCTCTGTCAGATAGCCATACAACTGAGCAAAACACCCGAAGCGGAAAAACGTTTTCTGCGGGACACTGATCGCAAAATTTTGGCCAAACTATCATTCGACTCGTGCTATGTATTGCTAAAAGACAAATACAGTAAAGCCATGGTTGAGATCAATCCAACCGAACGGCAACAGTCGCTAACGGATATACACCGTACGGCCAATCAGTTTATTAAGTCTAGTGTTTTTGTCAAAGATGCCGGTGCTATGATTAAGGAAATATTTCAATATCAACAACAAACTTAGTTTGTCTTTTTTTTTTAATTGTTAGTGATTTTACTGTATTTGCCAAAAAAAAGTTGTTTTGTAAATAAAATCTGTATTAAGTTAAATAAGTTTAAAAATTAATAATATTTTTTATTTTGTATTTTTTCCCCTTAATTAGTATTTATATTACTTATTGTAATCTACTAAACTTTGTAATCAATATATTTTATTATTATTATTATGCTAAATAAATAATGCAAATAATGTTTAATCTTTATTTATAGATGATTTAGTACATAATTTTTTTTAAATTGAATTTAGCCATTAATATAAAAAATTTCAAGTGAAACAAATTTTTATTATATTGATATACATTATTTAAAAAACGGAAAAAATCATTTTTTAAATTTTATTTATTACAAATATACTGTCAGAAATACATATAAAATTTTTACATAAATAATAATAATATAAACTTTTTATTGCTTTGATATAATTTTTTTTTAAATATAATTTCAGTTAATATAAAATTTAAACATTTATAATTTCAATTTTTTATTTAATTACTGCTCAAAAAATGGATACAATTTTGTAAAATATCGAAAACATAAAATACTAAACAATTTTTATGAATTTTTTTAGTTATAATCGGTTTTGTTTGTGACTATCGATAACCAGTTCATTGATTTATTGACTCCGCGATTGTCGCCAATGTTTTCGGAAACCAAACCAACCAATTGTGAGACACTCTTAACATTGTATTCATTGGACACATAGACGCCAACAATGATACCCATAGCCAGAGCCACACAAAATACACAGATATCACTCAATATACCCATTAATATGAATACGGCTGTTTGATGAGCACCGGTAGGTTAGGGGTAATCAATAGAAACAATTGATATATTAATTGAAACACTAATAGACAAAATTTTATATATGAAATGCAATCAATTGTTGTTTTTTTAAATTGCAATTATTCGAAATACACGAGTATTGTATAAAACACTAAATGCACGCGCGTTTCAAATTTGTTGTTAAATATTAGCTATTTTTAATACTTTATATAAAACTTTGTACATTAGTGTGTAATAAACAGTATATATATTGTCAATAATTCAAGTAATAGACAGATATTTTTTGTGGTTAAACTTAACATAAAAATTAAGACAAATTGTCTGAATTTTTTATATTATTGAAAACTTTTGTCAATCATGTCTTTACTTATGTTAATAAACTTGTATTGTTGTATACTATGTCTGACATTTGTTGTGCCACTAAATGCTAACCAATTGGTTATTAATTTAATTTTTATAACATATTTAATTTTCTATTATTTTAAATATGTATTTAATTAAACGTATTTTTAAAAACTAATTGGTAATTATCATTAGAATTCGGATATCGGTTCAGCGTTCATCTGCGGTCAACCAATTGATTCAATACTGTCGGACATTTCCAACAAAACGGTCAAATTGTGGATATTTTCTGGCGATAGTTACTATTTGGTTAACAATTTTGTAGCCGACAATGTAAACCAAACGACTAATATTGTGGCTGAAAACGGATCTATTAGTCAACTTAATAACAATATAAGCGCACCAATAGATATGGCTTTTAATTATAATGATGAATACCATCTGATCAATGTCTGTGACTGTGATTTGAATACAACAAAAAATGGCTTAAATCTATATTATAGACAGCCAGCAAAAAAGTATTGTTTTTATGCAGTTATACATATATAAAATGTTAGTTTTATTACTTAATTATCATTTAGTTAGGTCAGTTTGGGGTGTGTGTGAGGTTAGGAAGTGGTTGGATGGGTGGGGTGGGTTTGGGTCAAATAAATTTCTACTGGCTGTCTATAATATAGATTTGTTCCCAAAAAATTACACAATATTTTTATTAATCATATTTTTTAAAACAGCTATTAAACCAAACAGAATGGATACTAACTAAAGATTGGGATCTAATAGCAGTTATTAAACCTCAACTAAATACTGAACGACGATATTTGGAAGGTTTGGGCAGTATTTTCAATAATCTTACCATTTATTTAGGAACAGTTAATATAATTGCCTGTCTATACGATTATCGCGATTTTCATTGTGCACTGATGATGACTACGTTCAATGACACGGATCAGTTTGCATTTTATTGTAATGAAGCGCCCTATACTCGCGGACTAGAATTCGTCAAACTACTCGATGGTCGACCAGTTAGTCACGCCATACGAACCCAAAAACAATTATATCTGATCGCTGGCCAAAATGTTTATGCCGTTTATTGTTATACAGATATGTTTTATGCTCTCTTTTGGCAACCAATGTCTAAGTTCATGGATTTGGATCAATTGATTACCTGTGCTAATCCGGATGATAATATTAATAATACAATTGATCCGACATCTGATGCAACGGGTGTTCAACTCATTCACATTATTTTGATTGTCATCTTAAGTGTGATTATTATTGCCATAAGTTTTAATATTGTTATACTCATTATTCTTCGGTTAAAAGCAAACAAACCATTAGAAAGTATGTATTTATTACAATATTTTTTTTATCAATTTTTGTATACAATTAGTATTTACTATAGTTTTACTAATAATTATTAATGTTTTTTTTTCATAATATTTTTTTAAATGTTAGTAAATTTAAATGAAGACAAGTCTGTACACTATAAAATCGATTCAATCAATTCAATCAATTCAGTCAATAGTCAAGATATAACTAATTAATTCATTTAATAATAAATCAATAATTTTTTTATATTTATTTCTATAATTAAAAATTAATAAAAAGTTTATTTTATAGAATATTTTAGCCATTAATATAAAATTTTTTAAAATGAAACATATAAGCTAAACTTTATAATACTTTGATAAATAATTGTTACTATAATATGATATAATATTAATTAATATTAATTAATGCATTAATAATTAAGATATTAATTTTTTTTTTAAAATTAAAACAATAGAAATTTCAATATTAATATTTGCTATACAAGCAATTTATCGTAAATTGTATTATATCACTGTGTTCTCAAAAAATAAGTAACTAAAAAATAACTAAAAATATTCACAAATATGAGCAATGGTTTGATTGTAATAGTTATCAAATTTCATGAATATATTAATGTTAGTAAAGATCAGAAATATAACATTTATTGTGACTTTTTTGACAAAAAAAAGTTAATAATAGGTATCAAAATACTGTATAACTAATCAGATTACTGTAATGTTTTTAATTTATTGTTTTTAATTATTAAATTGTTAAGTATTTTTTGTTTGTTTGTTTTAAATCAATATTAATAATAAAATATATGTAAATTTATTTATGCTATTGTTGTCGTTGTTGAACAAGAGTCCAATCAATTATTTCATTAATCCATGGATGAGATAATACACCGAACATATCAATTCTTTTATTATAATTTGGTTCCAATAGTTTGACCAAAAGATCTTTGGCTTCTGTATCGATATTTTTGGGTAAATTATAATTTTTATTTTCCATATTATAGAGCATTGTCTCCAAGTTTGAGACATCAAATGGTGTTCTTCTGGTAAACATTTCATAGAGACAGACACCGAGTGCCCAAACATCACATTTAAAAGGATTGTTGTCTTTAAGTGCCTCTTCTTTGCGAAACTCGCGATAGACTTCAAGTCTTATAATTTCGGGCGCCATATAAGCCCGGGTGCCGGCAAAGTGTGCGCCTTCTATCTTACCCTTCTTAGTCTTGTATGCCTTTAATGACAATCCGTAATCACTGATGCGGACATCTTTTTGGCAATTTTTTTGGTTATACATTAACAATATGTTTTCAGGTTTGAGATCTTTGTGTGCAATGCCTAGTCTGTGGAGAAATGCCAATCCCTGAGCTATTTGTGCAAAATATCTTCGTATATCCTCATCAGTCAATTTAGTTAAATCATAATATAGTGTCTTTGAATCGGCGAACTCCATCAATATATAAGCTATAGTAGTCTTATTGTATTCAATGATAAAACATTCATCTAATTTGATAAGAAACGGATGGTTATGTTGTTTCGCTATTTTCATTGAATAGATTTCACTTTTAAGACTTTTTAACATTTTCCTTCTCTTATCCTCTTTAATGATAATCTCTTTACAGGCCATCTCTTGTTTATTACCATTTTTATCGGTATAAATAGCTTTATAAACAGTGCCGAAACCTCCCTGTCCGAGCTGTTCGTACAGTTCATAACCCAAATGTTTGAGCAGATCCCGTGGTGCAGAACAGTTAGCATATGGAAGCCTATATGTCTCATACAAGTAATCTTCTGGTATTTCTGTCGGTGACATTATCCATAAATTATTAGTAGATTTGGTATCATCTGTCTTAATATCTGTCGTTTTGTTGTCATTGTTTGAATTCATTGTGTGATAAAAAGAGACCAATTCTTTACTCATTTTTGTCGGTGTTTTCGGTCTATTCAACTGTTCATCACTTGATTTAACGGTAAGAACTTTATTCTTGTTTTTCTTAATAACTTTTTCCGATCTTTTGTCAGTTATTTTATGATTTAATAATCTATTTTTGCCTTTACTTCCAAAACAACAACATAAACAACACATTATATTAGATTAAAATAATTTATACGATATTTCTTTGGCGATTAAATTATGAATTTTTTACTGAATCTAATATTTATTTTTTTTAAATTTAAAATAACAATAATATAGTAAAAACAAATATTTACCTATAATTTATATATCGCGTGTATTTCTTTCAATTATCAATAATGTTATGATACAAGTAGTTATTTTTATTTATTATTACAACATTATTGAACAATACTGTATGTATTATAAATATCGGCAAATTTAACAATAATAATAATAATAATACTGTATAAAAACGGAACAAATATAGATTATAGACAGCCAGTAGAAAATTATTTACCCCAAACCCATGCCCACCCACCCAATCACTTCCTAACCTCACACTCACCCCAAACTAACAGTAACTAAATAATAATTAAGTAATAAAACTAACATTTTATATATGTATAACTGCATAAAATACAATACTTTTTTGCTGGCTGTCTATAATATACATTTAAGCCCTAATTAATTTTAAATTATTATTACATTATTAAAACACTTTAATTTTCTATTTAAAATATTATTTTTAGATATTTTTTTTAAAATGTCGAAAATATAAAAACTAAACAATTTTTGTGACATTTTTGTAATATTATTTTAGTTATAATCGGTTTTGTTTGTGACTATCGATAACCAGTTCATTGAATGATTGACTCCGCGATTGTCGCCAATATTTTCGGAGACCAAACCAACCAATTGTGAGACACTCTTAATATAAATATATTTAATTTTCAAACTATACATTATATGTCAATAAATTTTTAAAAAATAATAATAAAAATTTTATTTTTTCGAGTATATGTAGTCTTATTGCATAAATAAATAATTATATATTTTGAAAGTAAATGATAGAAGCAAATAACATTTGTAAACTGTGTAATAAAATATTTTTAAATAACTATAATTAAATAATTATATAAAAATAAATAAGAATATGTATATTAATTATAAATTTTAATAAAATTAACATTAATTATCAAACTTAAAAATAAATATATAATTTATTACAATTAGTAAATATTACATGTAGTGGACTGGCTTTTAATTGTATGATTAAATTTGTGTAACTTTAAATGTTGTGCCATATATAGAGTAATATTTTGTAATTTATTAATATATAGTTAAACCCTATTTAAAATGTTCAAAATGGTTAAATAAATTTTCCATTAATTATATGTGTAATATTGTAATTAATTACCGACAAATAATATTTTTTATTTATTGTTTTATTTGATCAAAACAATTAACTATTAACTGTCTAAATATTAACTATAATACAGCTTTTTTATTATTAATAATAAAAATTGTATAATTTATAAAATATATTTATATATTTAATATTCTACGTCATATTAAAATTTGAAATATTAAATATTATCTAATAATAAATCAAGAAAATGTGTTTTTATTTTCGATAACAAATTTTTTAATAAAATGTTTTTGTATTCATTTCTATATTTAAAAAATAGAAATTAATATTTAATTTAAATATATAAAGAAATAACTAATTTATTCTGGTTAATTAATTATTTAGTCTGGCTTTAAATTGTATGATTAAATTATTGTAATTATAAATTTTACAATAAATAAATTTTAGAGTAATATTTTGTAATTTATTAATATATTTTCATATAATTTAATATTTAAATGCTTTATATTTTATAGGTGTGAGCTATAATAGGCTAATTGTCTAATCAATGAAAATGTTATAAAAAATTTACATTAAGTTAGATAGTATTAATTTTTTAATAATTCAGTTTACTAATTAATATTACATAAAAATTTACTAGAAGTTTCAATAATAATTGTTTTTAAAGTAAAAAATTAAGACAAAATAATAATAATTACAATGCTCAGTACATCAAATAAAAAATATAACATTGATTAACACATTTGATTTCAAATGTTCAAAATTATTTTTAAAAATGTTTAATTAATTACCGATAAATAGTATTTATTTATTGATTTATTTGGTCAAAACAATTAATTATTTAAATATGAAATATAATAGTAATAATAACAGCCTTTTTTGCTATTAATTATTAATAAAAAAAACTTATAGTTTACTATTTAGTATATTTTGCATAATCTATATTTTAAATTTAAAATAATTAATCAGAAAATGTGTTTTATTTTCGATAACAAATTTTCTAATAAAATATTTAATAATTTTTTTTATATATAAATACCGAATAATTTTCATATAAAGCATACATTAATTTAATTTAATATATTGTAAAACAAAACAATATTTAACTTAAAACAAATGATTCAAATTCTTGTTTTAACTCTAACTATATCTTTGGGTAATTATAAATATAATTATTATTATTTTTTATTTTATAAACCATTTACAAAAATAATATTAACATTAATTTTCTATTAATGTTTTGATTGTCAGCCACAGCCAGTCTACAGGAAGACCATCAGTTCATACAATGCGCTAAACAACGGGTTAACGCACTCAAGGGGTTGTCCGACGAGCAACTGATTGAACGGACTCAACAAAATCTTGTCGATGCCTCACAATTAGTGGCCAAACGAGCCTCAGCTGCCAAAGCACAAGGATTGGTATGTTATGATACCTTCAACAATGATTACGGAAAGTCAGTTATGGCTATTATGGGACCGACTGGTGAACAAAAACTGTTGAGTAATGCCCGAAACCAACGGGAAAAATCGTCGGCAACTAAACAGATCGCAACAATGACTGAGTATATTATGTTGAACTTATGCCAATCATATTAACGATGCGGTTGAATGTAATATATTTGAAAAAAACGGTTTAGCACTGACCGAGTTTACAGTCAGTCTACCCATCATTGAAACAGTTATGGGTGCCGGCGGTGCCCTAATGAAAGGTTGTTCACCACCCATGGCATCGGTTATTACACAGGTATGAAATACCAGTATATACTGTATAAAAAATTAACTAATTAATTAAAAATTTATGTATTATTTTTTAGATGAAGAATCTCTATGGAAAGTTGTATTCTGCTGGCAAACAGTGCTCCCAAAGCCAGGATCTGCCGGTTGACCAACAGTGCCGTAATCTGAAAATGTTTAATCTAGAGTTACGTCGATTGGGTCAGTTGGGAGCATTGGTGGCCGCATCTAAAATACCGACACCTTTCTAATTATATAATAATGTGTTTAATTTTAATTTAATTGCATTTCAAATAAATAAAAAATCCAGCATTTAAAAAATGAGTTTAAATAACATTTATTAATTTATTAATAATTTATAAAAACAGAATACTTTAAAATCTTATTTGATAATTATAATGTCTAAACTATAACATAATAATAAAATAGTTTATAGTTATAATTAAAACTATTGTACCACTAAATAATTAATTTAATATTGTTAATGTTTACTATAATTATCAGTATAATTAATTATATTCAACAGTTTTCAGATAGTTTTAATATTGTTATACTCATTATTTTTCGGTTACACAAAATCAAACCTTTAGAACCTGTCGAAAGTATGTATAAATACAATAATATTAGATATATATATATAATATATGTTTTATAGTTTTACTAATTAATGTTTTTTATTTATTTATTATTATTTTTTTTATATAAATATCAGTAAATTTAAATGAGCACAAATCTGTAAACTATAGATTCAATACAATCAATACAATCAATTCTGTCAATAGTAACCAATAGCTATTTTAATTCATTAAACAATGAATTAAAATATCAATATTTATATTATTTTTTATATCTATTTCTACAATTTAAAAAATTAGTAAATTGTATTTAATATTTAATATTTAAATTCCATACTAGTGTTTGTATATATTGTATATGCCAATAAAATAAAATTTTACAAAATAAATTATTTGTTTTTTATTGAAGAAATAGTAATAAACAGATTAAACTGTAGAGTAATTCATTTAATTTAATTGTTATTATTTATACATTTGTAAACTTTATAAAAAAATAGATTATGATTAAAATACGGTTTATAATGATTTTATGACTATTGATGTCAATTACTAAAAAAATAATTTAATTCATTTAGAAAACAACATTTATTTTGATAATAATTATATTAATTTATTTAATTTATTTATTAAAAAAATTGTAAATAATATATAACATATACAATATATAAGTATAGTATATTATATAACTGTAGCTACAATACAATAAAAATATTTGCAATAAATTATTATTAAATTTATTCATTCATAAAATGATGACAAATCCAATTCATTATCGGAATCTAAATCACAGTCTCTATTGTCAAATGGTTTTAGATATCTATCAAAAATTTTGTTGATTACCCGGCAATCGGATTCACGAAGATCTACCACATCATACATAGCATTGACATTAGTGTCAAAAATGTTTACCCAATTGGGCGACAACTTTGTCATCTCAAGTATTATATCAGCACTGGTATGTCTTTTTGATGGCAGCACTTTGTGCATAGATTTTATAGTACTGATCAGCCATTCAATATATGGGTGCAATTCACACGGTGACAGTTCACGCATTTTACTTAAATTAAAACTATAATAATAAAATTATAGTATAGCAGTTTTAAAAAAAAATTATTATAAATAATTAGTTAGTTATTAAATATGATTTAAATAATGTCTAAAATTTTATACCTATTGATATCTATACCGAATAGCTTCTCTACTGTAACGCCGACACTATAGATATCCGATTGTGTTGAATATCTGGCAAAATTAATTACTTCGGGTGCCATATATAGTTGTGTGCCGGCATTTGACTGTTTTTTGTCCATATTTTCCAACAAAAAGGCTAACCCGAAGTCACCTAACTTTAGACCAGCGTTGCGATTATCAATCATAATGTTTTCCGGTTTAATGTCTCGATGTATGATCGGTGGCGACAATTGGTGTAAATAGTGGACGGCATCGAGTAATTGGCAAAACAGTTGCCATAAAATGAAAAACTCTGTAAATTTGATTGATTCCTGTGTTTGCCGTTTAAACACATTACTGGCCATTAGATGTATAATACTTTTTAGATTATACTTATAATAATCCATTGATATGTAAAGGTGTTGGTTTTGGACAAACGATTCACGATATTTAATTACATGTCGTGATTGAATTTTGGCCAATAGTCTTACCTCATTGAGTGCCCGAAATTTATTTCTTTCATTATAATCTGATAACAACAAAAATAATGTTAATATTATGTTTTTATAACTTGTTATATATTCATTATAACTTAATAATAATATTATACAAACTTTTAATATAAATCTTTTTGATTGCCCAGTAACCACCTAATTGAATACCTTGTTGATGATTGGCCAAATAAACGGTCCCAAAACCACCGGAGCCCAGTTTATCATCAATCCGTATACGATTAATATGATCGGGAAAGCTAGCTAAACAAATACATATGATTTTAATAAATTGATTTAATATTGGAAATAAATTAATAGATGTTTATTTAAAGTGCATAAATAGTATGATTATAACAACATATAATATAAGTTAAAAATCAATTACCTGTAAGGTACCTTAATTATAAATTAAATTGAAATATAAATAATTACATACAATCATTGAAAATCTCGTAGAAATCGTGCGACAAAATTGCCGGTAAATTGTTCATATGATCCAAATAATTACAGTCAATAATATGTATAGTATAGGCATCGTTATAATTTTGTTCAATTATACCGTTATAATAGTAGTCAATATTCAGTTTATAAAACCACTGGTTTGGATCCAGAATATTCTGTTCATCAAAATCTATTGGTAATAGTCTATTGCAATAAATATATTTAAAGCCATCATATCGGTAGATATTGTCAACATTTGTTATGTAGTCATCACTTTTATCATCATTAATACCATTGTTATCATCATTAGTATTATTATTATCATCATTATCGCTGTCGACATCATTTGCTATGCCATACAATTGGTTGATAACATGGCGTACAATACCAGTAGCTTTCGGTCGACAAGTAATATCTGATGATAATAACTCCCAACTGTTTCGTACAATACATATCTCATAGATATGTTTGTCTTTAAGGGTTGACATAAAAATTATTATTAATTATTTTTAAAAAAAAAACTATTAGTTCAACAAAAAAAATAATAATTAAAAATATTTTTACATTCATTTAGCAGATATGGATCAACAAACAGATTACTATTATTTGTTTGTTGATAATATAGTTGACAATTATCGACATCAATAGTCATATGTGTAAATTGGCATTTAGTTAAATAGACTGAAATTATATTGCTATAGATTGTCGACGTAATAGCCGACGGGTTGTCATCAATAGTAACAAACTTGTTGTCGTATGTAATCAACAATTTGTTGTCCATATATCGCAATACATTGCGTTTATTCAGGTGCCACCTGTCCTGTATATCCTCAAAATGTAATACCTCTTGAAAGTAGTCGACGTAATAGTGTGCCTGAGATCGCGGATCGTAACCGCAACAAAATACTCGGCCATCGCGGCCAACAAAATATGACTTTCCATTTTCATCGTCTTTGTAGACGTCGACAATGTCGGTCAATTGGTCTACTAATTTCGGTAACATTAGATGATAGATAAGCACATCGATACTGCCAGTATGGGCTAGGATCCCGTCCTATTTAAAAAATAGACATTTATAATAAGATTATAAGATGATAAATTTCTAACAATAAATATCCCTATAAACTACTGTTTGCAAATACAATACAATACCTCATCGGGTGTTTGTGCACCGGTATGATGTCCTAACTCATCGTTAAAATTTTCGCCCCAACTATAGACCCGGTCATCACTTGTCAGGGCGTACGATGAGTCATAAATACAGTAGATTTTCGCTATACAATGATCCGATTGAAATATCAATTTGACCGGTTCGGCCACATTCTCGTCCGGTTTGCCGGTACCTGTTTGGCCAAACATATTACGACCCCATCCGTACACTTGACCATCACTAGTCAGTGCCAAACTGTGTCGTCGGCCGCACGATATGGCAATTATTTTAAGATTATCTAGATCATTTTTTTGTGGTTGTTATATTAATAATAATTTTTAAAACACAATAACTTGTGTCCATGTTTACCGAAAAATTCAATCCTACTAGGTGGCCAAATTGGTTTAGGTACATCCATATCAACCTGGTCGGCTTCTCTAGCTAATTGTCCATGTGGATTCTTACCCCATCCATATACCCCGCCATCATGAGTAAGAGCCATAAAAAAGTCCATTCCGTGTGCAAATTGTTTGATATTAAGTCCACGTAATTTCCGAACCAGTTGTGGTGATTCCTGTGGTATGTCATTACCCAAACCAAGCGAACCGTTTTCATTGCCTCCCATACCGTAAACCTGGCGCTCGTCGGTCATAAACAGTATGTTTTCGTAGACATTCCGGTCAAACGTATAGTTAAACACATAAAACAATTTGATTTTTGATTTTATTGTTTGCGGTATTTTTTCGCAAATACGAAACGAATCTAATATTGAGGAATACATTACTGTATATTAATTGTACACTAAGTTTCATAAAAAAACTTTTTTTGAATATCAATATTTTTGACAATTATTTATATATTAAATTTTACATTATATACAGTAGTAAAACTATAATAAGTCAATCAATAGTTTTCATCTAAAAAGAAAAACTTATTTACATTTGGTTGCAGTATTAATAAAAGATATTTAAAGAAAAATTTAAATACTAAACACACTTATAATAATAATAATACTAATAATAAACACATGCATTACAGCATTACTTAATAAACATTTAAGTTGTATTTCAATTACTACTACTGTATTATAAACTTATATTATGCAACAATTTTTTTCTCTATTATGTAATCACATAAATAATGTATAAATACAGTGTAGATATAGTAATAAAATCATTAAAAAAATCATTAAGTTTTAATTTGATCTAATTTAGGTATAAATAAAAAATTGATTAAATAATCATAATAAATAGTAGTATTTTTCATTTATTGTGATCAAATATGACACCCACTAAAAAATAGTATATACCGTATATTCTCACACACTTTACACAATCATACATTAGTTATATCCCACTGTTCCTCCCAATCCCTATCTCCACTCCCCAGTAACCAAACAACTACTAATAATATCATCGATGTCTTCTAGTACTTCTACTACGATTCCCAGTGGTCAGTAAGGAGCCACCGCTAACGCCGGCACCACTACCAGAACCACCAACATATGCACTATTACTAGTACTACCAATGTTACGGTTAGCCTGTCTAACAGCTCTGGCCTTTTCGCGCTGTCGTTTGTTGACCAATGCCCGATACTGGCGCTCCAACTTCTCCAACAATTTGATTGTCTTTTTGATTTCATTCTTTTCGCGTCTGGTCGCCGACGTCTTCGGACACCGTCTCAGTTGACCCAATGTATGGCTAACGGCTCGCAGCTGGTCCTCGGCCTCTTCCAGTAGATCCCGTTCCGTTTCGGGCACATCGATCTCGCCCTCGTAGCCAATGGCAACATATTCTAACTGATCCGGATCGTGAGCGCCGATCATAATGTAGCCATAGATGCGACGACACGTCGGACACCGGTAGTGTTGGGCCGACCATTCTCGTAGACAGTTAGCACAAAACTCGTGCCGACAAGTGGATGTCAGTGCAGGATCAGTGATCGTACACCAGCATATGGGACAGTTGTCCGATGTATCTATTAATGTCATGGTCTTTAAGAGATGTCGGTGCTATTATACCTTTTGGAGCTCAATGTGCGACAAATAAATCCTTTTTTAATAAAAACAAATTTATTTTAAATTATAAAACTTAAAAAACATTGTTTCAAAAAATCAGTTTTCAACTAAATTAATTTTTAATCAAAATTATACAAAAAAAAAATAATTGTACAAAATTTTTGTTTAATAAATTATCAAATTATGCGTTTACTTTTTTTTACTTTATGTATTAAATAATGTATTTTTAAAATTAATTAACTATTATTAAATTTAAGGAACAGTTAGTTTTCTTCAACAAATAAAAATATTGATAATTCTTCAAAACGTAATACAATTAAATGGCACATGTGGTAATGCATAACCTCCCGTTCCCGCCTCTCCCCCCAAATCCTCTCCAATATTAAAAAATAATATAATTGTGTGGAGATGTGTATATTATTAATAATAATTGCATTGACTTTTTTTTATAGTAATCTCATAACAAATTAAAAGTATAAATATTATACTATAATCCAAATTATTATAAATATAAAAAACAATTAAAATCAGAGATCATCTCTAGTATTGTGATTATTATTTAATCATTAATCAATAGATTTTCAATGTGCGGCAAAACTATGCTATCGTTGCTAATTGGCTTATGATTGACCAAAACGTGGGTAGGATTGTCCACACGTATGGCTCGAAATTTGTATGACTTGCCGCCAAACTCGAAGTCATAGTCGCGACAAAATGGTTTCGCTATCACAAGTGTATCACCGGTTTTCGGTCCCAACGGTACGGCAATGTTGTACATAAATATAGCGCAACACTGGCGCTCACTGTCGATAGCACAGTAGGTTGAGGCCACTGCCGAACTGTTGCTGATGCCGGCCATTACTTTGCATATGAGCAAATCGCCAGCAGAACCCGTAGCAGCGGCACCAGCAATACTCGGTTGTGTCAGCTGTCCAATTGTGACCAATTTTCGGTTGGCGTATAGTTTGTGTTTTGTGTCCTTATTGACTAACTGGTCGATCAGCGTTTGTAGCCGACGGGCCTTTAGTGAAGCTTTTTTGGCAATCATATCGCATATGTCGTGAAAATAATTGCTCAATTCTAGCAGTTTAATGGCTGGTTGTTCCCACTCTGGGTCCACAATAGTTGCCCTCTGAAGACAGTCGAGCGCTTCGGCAAATTCCTGTTCGTAGTGCAAAACAGTGGCATAATTGTAGAGATAGTCGGACTGACATTTGGCTACTTCGTCTTCATTGGCCTTAATGTAAGCCGCTTTGCATAGTTTGAGTAGACCCGAGTTTCGTGTGGTCGGCGCACGAAAAAACAGTGTCAGATAGGCGTTGCCCAACACATACCACGAGATACCGTCCTGGAGATCGCAGTCGAGCGCCTGTTTGGCTTTGTCCACACTTTTGGTCAGATTGCTATCTCGTTCGGCTACCGTACCGTTCAATTGGCGCAAAATCATTGACGTATTTCTTAAAGACACTTTATTTGGTCCGTATTTGACGGCCGACTCGAAACAGTTCAATGCGGCGGCCGTATCACCAAACTTACGATACGACTCGCCCAACTGGTTCCACGCTTCGGGCGATTTCGGCAACAATTTAACGGCTCGGAGCAACTGTTGGTGGGCTTCATCGGAATACTGGTCGGTGATGTTTAGAGCGCGTCCGCGTTGCAGACAATAGACGGCCGTTCGGTCCAGTGTTGGCCACTCGGCACACAGTTTGTCAAACTCTTGGAGTACTTCCTAATTAACAAACAAACAAAAAATTAACAAAACTTGACCAGATTTGAGGTGATTTAGTTCATTAGTACCGCCAACTTATTGTTGACAGCCGAATGTCGGCTCTTAACGGTGGCGGCAGTCCTATCGCCAGCAGCGGTCGTCACATCAGCCGCAACGGCATTGCGGACAAAGTATTTGTCCCGAAAGTCGTACAACTCATCGACCAATTGTTTGATGTGACTTTCAGACGACAATGACGATGACGGCGATGATGATGATGTCTGGCCACTGGTGTCGGTCATTAAGGTCGAGATCAGGGGGTGAACTAACACTGGATTTGGCCACAAGACTGGATTGTCCGCTCAAAAAACAACGGCTTTCGCACAAAACAAACACAACTTTTATTTCATAAGCAATACATTTATGCAATCATTTGTTTGTTGACAACAATAACACACACTTTGACTGTCAAACACTGACATAACATAACAATAATACTGTATATAATTGCTATAACAACAGTATATAAATTAATTCAAGTAAATAGTTATGCATTCAATAAATAACATTTTTTTAAAAAAAAACTTTATAAATCTATTATATAATTATGATTATATTAAGATAAATTAAATTATTATTTATTAGGAAATTAAAAAAAATCTATACTACTATTAAACTACTATTATAGTCACTAATATATAAACAATATTTACCACAAAAAAACTAATTATAAATAAAACAAATTTAAATTAATTTATTAATTTATTAAAATTTTAAATTTATTAAATCACAGGAAATATCATAAAAATATTTTTGTTTTCCACATATTTTTATAATATAATACATTTTCAATTATAAACAGTATACACATTATATATATATATATATATAATTACAATTAGTTATAAATACATTTCATTAATAATAATAATATTAATTATAATTATTAATACATTAATAAGATAATTTGTTTACCATATAAAAAATCATTTAAATAATAATTTAACAAATTTAATATTTTTTTTGTCAATTAACTTACAATAAATTTATAATTGGGATAACATAACTGGAAATAGTTAAACTAATTTTTTTTAAATATAATAAAATAATATAATGCGGGAATTAATTAATAATAGTAATAATTATGTTAAATAATTTAACTATAATTCAACAAATAATTAAAATAATAATAATATTCATTTTTATATTTAAAAAATCATTCAATTAATACTAATAAAAAATACTTAAATTTAAGATTAAATTTTTAAAAAACCTATAATAAAAAATAAATTTGGTTCCGGTATTGAAATATTTTGTGCCTTTGTATTGCAATTATTTTAATTAATTTACTTTCAAATATAATTTTGTTATCAAAAAAGTTGTTTTTTGTTGTTGTTGTTGTTGTCTGTACTCAAAACAAAATTGTAAAACACTTTTTAAGGGATCTTAAAGAGGACGGACAACATCGCCCTGACCTCTACATTACAAACCGATGATCGGGATCGTCACCACCGTCGCGTGGGTTACCACCGCTACCTCCCGGGCCGTTTTGGTGGCCCTTTTTGGTGTCCGTTCTGCGTCGCCATGAGCCGGGACGCAGCAAATACAGTATCATTGCAATGACAATCCAGCCAATCATAAATGTCATCAGCGATAGTTGAGCAGTATCATCGGCTCCCGGTGCCGTAACACCATTAGTACTCGGACCAGATAATAGATTTGTTGCTATATGGGGTAAGGTATATAATATATACAAAAATATATAATTATATAAGTTATGCAATATATATACTGTATATTATCATAACTATAATTTTATCAAGATATTTTTTTGTGAACATTTTAAGTGCTAGTAACTATTGTCAAATAAAATTAAAAAAATATACAGTTTAAATTGTTTATGAAATTTTATTTTAAATAGTATATTATTATTAAGTGATGCTCTTTACCTGTACCTATTTTTAAATTGTAAATAAAATACAGGTGTTTATATTATTACGGTAGTTTAAAACATATTAAATATAAATAAAAAAATAATAATGATATTTTAGAAAATTTGTATTTTACCTAACAATACATATACAATAATTTAATTATAAGTCTACTAAAGTAATTGTCAAATGAATTGCAAAATTATTACATATTGAAAACATGCATAAACTAAAATGTTTTGTCATTTTTTAGATAATTATAAAAAAATATACGGTAATTGAAATATAATTGATATAAAATAAATTCAATGTTGTCTACGTATGATTATTACTGTTATATTTATATACATGTACTGTAAGTTGTAATATAATTATGATAACACTAAAAATATATATATAATTTTTTGGTAAAACAAACTAAATTATTATTTTTTTTAAATATATTACCGGTAATACAGTATTAAATATAATTTTTTTTAAATATGAAAAATAGTATAAATATTTTTTCATAAATAAATTTTCCCATCAAATATAATCACTAATTAATAAATAATATTTTATTAATAGTATAAATATATATAACATAATATACAGTACAGGTATATTGTATTGAATAATAAAAGTGAAAACATCTGTTTCTATAGTTTTATAACAACTCCAATAGCATTGCATAAATTGAAAAATATTATGTAATAATATATATAGAAATTATTATTATAAACAATATATTGAAATAAAATATGGAGTTTTACTATTTAGCAATGTATAGCAACCTATTAATATATTTAAAGTTATAATTAAATTTATTAAAAAAAATAGACAGATAGATAGATAAATGGATGGATAAATAAATTGATAGATTAGTTAGATAATGGAAAGACAGATAAATAGATTGATAGATAACGACATTTAAATAGACATACCATCAGTAAAACACTCGGTGTCTGTACAGGCACTCTGGCTGTCCCTTAACTGTAATTAATAATAATAAATAATTAAAAACAAACAAACAAATAGATTATTAGATTATCATCAAATCAAACTCATTGGTCCAACAACACCAATATAAAATACAAAAAAAAACCTGGGATCAATTTAACCATCATCATGGTAACAACTCATATCAAATGTGTGTTTAGGCCATACCTAATCAAATAGCCTAACACACACACACACACCTAACACATATGTTTTTATCTAACCTATCCATCACCAAGTGATGGTATGAATCATACATTTATCAGTATATATATATATATCATAGTATGAAATCAATTGATCCAGCAAAACTGATCGCCAGTTGAATTGTTTGTATTTACCAATTGATGGATCAATTACTAGTGATACTAACCATACTAATGAGTCTTTGCATACGCTGTTCGTGTGTCAAAATGTTGATACATTCGCACGGATCAAACTGGTCACCCATTGTCGCTGTTGTTGTTGTGTTTGGTCGGTGTTTATGATATGATTATTATCGACCGGAACTAAAAAGAAAACCACTTCACCGGAAAACTTCTTCAATGATAATAAAATAGAGGACACACTGGAGGAGGAAGAGGAGGAGGAAGGTATAGGAAGATAAAAATGATATAATAATAAAAATTAGTCAATTGATTCACACCAACAATAAAAAGACATCATTTAATTATAATATATTTCAAGTTAATGTATTTATCATTTTAGACGATACCGTATTCACCCGCATAGGTGACCACTGTTTATCAGTGGTGTGGGTGTGGGTGTGGGGGGAAGGGATGTGACATATTTTGTTTGTTTTCAGTAAAATTGATTATAATTTAATTAATTTAAAAAAAATAGTCATAATTACCTATTAATTTGTTGGACAAACACTTTATACTGACTGTGTGTKTGTGTGTGTTGTGAGCACAGGTATGTATGAATATTACAACAGTAGAGTAGTACCTGAGCTTAACTTTCGATATATATATATATATATGTTATGTAAAAAACTGTAATAATTATTAACTCAATTATTATTTAGTACTACTATTACAGCATTACTACTGCTTTAGAGACATATTTATTATTATTATTATTGTTATTATATATTATTAATGTATTATACAGTATATGTGTTTGAACTCAATTGGCTTTTTAAATGTATGATACAGTCAGTAGTCATTTATTTTATTTACACTATATTTTTATTATTAATAATAATAATTTTAACATGCTTATTTTTAGTAAACAATTTTATTTTTTAGTAAACAATTTTATTATTATTTTTTAGTAAACAATTTATTATTATTAATTTTAATTAATTAATTAATTACTAATTTTTTTAAAAAATTATCTGTATGTATAGATTTTTAAAAAATATGTTTTTGCAATACTATACATTTATACGACACATGTATACTTGATTTTTTTGATTGAATGTATGTAATTTAAATAGCGAGCATAGACTGTATTGACTGATATCCCAAGTTGAAATAAATTGGCAATCATATTGATATACGTCATCAATTGATTTTGTCCATAAATAATGTATTGCATACAATTATAATTGGTTTATTAATATTAGTTCAAATTATAACTATTATGTTTTAATAAAACTAATTAATAGTGTTAAGTGGGGAATAAATTTAATAACATTACGTTATTTATGTTTAGGTGTGTAAGTATAGTTACCAAGTTATAATTTATATATACTGTATAGTATAGTGTATACTGTATATTAAATACGAGTATTTAATAATCACAGAAATATGGTGGAAAATTATTATGGAAATTTTATTACCTAGATAAAAATTTAATAATAAATAAATTTTATTAAAAAAATTTATCTAATAAATATACTAGCATAATTTATTTATTTTTTTTGGAGCAAATAAAAATTGATTCATAGCAGAGTTAAAAGTTTATATATTATGCATAATAATTATTGTTTGACTAAATAACATTTTTTTTTTTAAATGACCATGATAATATTTTACTTAGGTTTAAATTAATAAATTTCAAATTTAGATTATTAATAGATTAATCATAATTTTATTATTATTAGTCAATTTTTCTTACTCATCTATTAATAAATTTTGATTTTTATAAAAGTTATCAAAAAAAGTTTTAATTATTTTGAATTAAATGTTTTTTTTAAATTTCTTTAAATTTTATAATTTAGTATATTTATATTTGATATAAGTTAAACAATAAAAAAATTGCTTAATAATTATTGTCAATGACTTTATAAAAATGTCAATATAAATAAATAAAATAAAGTTAAAAGTAATGGTAGACTAGTTATTAAGTTGACCTATAATTTATTTAGTATATATGCAAACAAAAATATATGCATTACATTTTTATTTAATTAATACAATATTTTATATTTACGTTAATAAATATATTAGATATTAATTTTTATCAAATATTAATTTTAAAAAAATAAATTAATATTTTTGTCACTTAGATATTGTCATTTGAAATAAAGAATCATAATTTAGATAATTTATGTAATTATACAAACAAACAAAAAAACAATATTCAGTTATATAATAATAGCTATCAGAAATTGTTAGTCAAAAAAAATCAAATATCAAATTTTATCATTCATTCAGTAATACTATTAATTATAATTTTGTAACAAAAAACAAAATCACGGATTAAGTCTCATTTCGATACAAAACGGTTTGATTTCAATGCGATGCTCCTCAACAAACCGTTTGTTATATATCGGGAGCACCTGATTAGTTAGGCCGCCAAAGCCGACAACACCGCGTTGGCCAATATTCAGACCGTCAGCATTGGACAACTCTTGGTCGCTAAAAGCCGAATTGGCGTCTGTCGGTAGGCATCCCAGTGCTCCCATTTCGTCGTCATAGCCATTGTTCAACACAGGCTTTACTTGTACTTTGTATTCAACTTTGACATTAAAATGTACGGCCGAACAGAGTACAGCAGCCTCGGCCAGACTTGTACCGTGTTTTTCGGCCGTTTTGCGTACCATTTCCTGTCCGGCCGGAGAGTTTGGACTTAAAAATCGCAATTGTCTGCCAAACGTTTGCAAAGCCTGCAGTCGTCCATACTTTCGCTTAGACGGCATGTAATAGACGCGCTCTTCGTCCAAACCGTACGATAAGCCAATCTGTATGTCCCGATGATGCAAATGATTAATAAAACCGATTTCAAAGTCGACATCTTTATCATCGAAATGGCCAACAAATATGCCATAACCACATCCATCGGTCAGAGGCACATCATTTCTATAGTTGTTGGGCCCGATGGCAGTGATCTTGATTTCAAAGTCCAATTCATACGTCGGATGATACAAATGAACGGTATTATTACCGGTGGCCAACGGATCAACCTATATATGATGTAGTAGTAGTAGTATAAATGACAAACATTTCATGATTAAAATTTATTAAAATTATATGTTTAGTTTAAATCAATTTTAATATATAAATTATAATCAATAATTATAATTACAATGCATTTTTCAAGAGACATAGCTACTAATAATTTATTTAAGGAAACAATAGTAATAAAACTATTATTTTTTTTAAAGCAACAAATGTGTGCTAAAATAAATGTTATGGACAGATCCGGTAGTGGTCGGGATAAGTAAGTATCTGATCAGTATATATATATATATATGCAGTATATAAACTGAAATTATGCTATACTGTATGTTTAAATAGGAAACGGTAGTCACTGTTTAAACTATTAGCCATTAGTCCTATTTTGGATACAGTACCCCCAACAACAAGAAAAATTTAGTAATTTAACCTAAAGTATATCATGAGTTATTATTATTATTATTATTATTATTACTGTATAATAATAATAATAATAATAATTTATTAGTCATTTTCTATTTGGGGGTACAGTTAGTTAATTTTGACTCAAAAACCAGACTCAAAACAAACAAACTGTCCAAAAGTTGTCCAAAACTTTTGAGTAATCGTTTTTTTATCTTAAAAATTTAATGGAAATTTCTTATATATGAATTATCAATTTTATTGTGAATAATGGAAAATTATTGATAAAAATCAATTCAAATATGGCAAATAAACGTTAGAAATTTAATGGAAATTTTTTTCAACAACAAAAAATAATTGCCCAATCAGTATTGAAAATTTTTAATTAAAAATAATATCTTCATCTCATAGTTTAACTAAAAATTTATATTTAGATAGTTAATAAAGTTTAAACTGATAAATTAATTTTAAATTATTTTATTTTAACATTTAATACAATTTGTAATACAATTTATTTTTGAAAAAATTGATCTATAATAGACAAACTAGGATATGAAAATGTCGTTTAGAAATATTAATTAATGAAAATTATTAATTAGCATAGTTTTACAACAAATTTAATATTAAATTTATATTAAGTACAGTTTAAATTAATTATATTAAACAAAACTAACATTTTATTTTAAACAAACAAAAAACATTAATTCTAAGGTTTGATTGCCATCTGAATGGTAAACGGTTTGATCTCAATTCTCGGATCTTCAACAAACCTCTTGTAATATCGTCCGTATATCTGATCGGTAACAGTACCGAAACCAACAGCACCGTACGGACCGACATTGGGTGGCGTATTGAACAACCATCTATGGTTGAGCGCTATATCGTCGGCCATCGGCGATGACATACCCCGGTTTTGTCGCAGTGGTCTCATAGAACCCACCGGTTTAGGCGATTTGATAATAGGCTTGAATTCCAGTCGAAAGTCCAGATGAATGGACGAACAGCGGACAATAGCCTCATCGATAGTCAAACTATGCCTTTTGGCCGTTTCGCGTACCAAAGTCTGTCCCTGACTATTGTTAGGACTGAAAAATCTGAACTGTTTGCCACAGCTATCTAGCGATCGTATGCAACCATACTTTCCCATATAGGGACTCAAATACATTGTACGGGTGTCGTTCAAACCGTACGATATATTCATTTCCAAGTCCCTGACATCCATGTGCTTAATAAAACACAATCCAAAATCAGTGTCCCGGTCGTCATTGAACTGTCCAATTATGATGTCGTTGCGCGCGCCGTACATCAGCGGTATTACATCCAAACAATCATCGGCTTTGGTATTGTCGGCGGACGACGACACAAATCGGATAAACTGGATCTCGAAGTCCAGCGAAAACGATGGACTAAACAAATAGATTGAATTATGGCCAGTCAGTACTGGATCAACCTAACCGATCCATTTCAATCAAATATGATATTAAATTAGATATCAATAATATAATAATAAAAAGTAAAATATTAACCATATATTTGACAAAATCCATGTCATTAAGTGTTTGACTTTCGAGAGGGTCAGTACTGTTCGTCTGTTAAATACTTTTTTTCGTTTAAAAAAAATTATTTAGCAATAGATTAGGACAGTAATACCAGTTAACTTGTGTGTGTGAGTGAATGTATGTGTGTGTAAGTATGTATGTGTGTGTGTGTGTGTGTGTGTGTGTGTAACTGTGTGTATGTGTGTGTAAGTATGTATGTGTGTGTGTAACTGTGTGTATGTGTGTGTAAGTATGTATGTGTGTGTGTGTAACTGTGTGTAAGTATGTATGTGTGTGTGTGTAACTGTGTGTATGTGTGTGTAAGTATGTGTGTGTGTGTGTGTGTGTGTGTGTGTGTGTAACTGTGTGTATGTGTGTGTAAGTATGTATGTGTGTGTGTAACTGTGTGTATGTGTGTGTAAGTATGTATGTGTGTGTGTGTAACTGTGTGTAAGTATGTATGTGTGTGTGTGTAACTGTGTGTATGTGTGTGTAAGTATGTATGTGTGTGTGTGTGTGTGTGTGTGTGTGTGTGTGTGTGTGTGTATGTATGTGTGTGTGTGTAACTGTGTGTATGTGTGTGTAAGTATGTATGTGTGTGTGTGTGTGTGTGTGTAAGTATGTATGTGTGTGTGTGTAACTGTGTGTATATGTGTGTAAGTATGTATGTATGTATGTATGTGTGTGTGTGTGTGTGTGTGTGTGTGTGTGTGTGTGTGTGTGTGTAAGTGTGTGTGTAAGTGTGTGTGTGTGTGTGTGTGTGAGGGGTAGAAGTTATAATCATAATACTTATAAACCATTAGTAGTCAACATTAGTAATAATTTTTTTTATTAGTCATATATTTAGATTAAATAAATTTGAATTTTTTTAAAACAAAAAAAACATGAACTTTATTAGTTGCTATCATTTGGTTTAATATTACAGTATTACACCAATTTGACCATGCACCTATTGTGTTATCTAGTGATTGGTTTTGTAAAATAAGAAATTTTTAACAAAAAAACTTTTATTATCGGTTCGGTTCCTGAATTTTGGTTTCGGTTTTCAAAAACGATTCGGTATTTCTGACAGACGGATATAATTATATAAACTATTAAATAATTATTTTATTGATTGTCTTTGTATTTGTTTGTTTGTTTAATTTTAATTAAAATTATGTTACAACTGTTTTTAATTAATTAAATATTAAATATATCTATTATAATGAATCGGTAAATTAATAATAATACTCTAGGTAGTTATAAATTTATTGTATAACATAATTAATAATAAATAAAATAATTGTTTTATCTTATTAATTTTGTTTGTTTGTTTATTAAATAATGTATTAAAAATAATAATTATCTTTTTCAATAACTAAATTAATTAATTATTTTTTATATGCAGTTTTTTAATAATACAAAAAAATTAATATTACAATACTTTATTTTTGTTAGTCTTGTATTTTTTGAGTATTATTTTAGTATTTATTTATTTATTTAAAATATAATTATAAAGTGAATATTATTATTATGAAATAAATTGCTATATTATTTAGTTTTGATTTAATGTGTAGTATAAATAAAATTTTTTTAAACTGATGTCAAATTTGCTTCAATAATATTTTAAATTTAATATTATGTTAATTATAAATAGCATATTATGAAATTTGATTTCTATTTATATAAAACAACAAAAAATATTTATATAATATTTAAATTTTCAATGACACACAAACACATACACAATAAATAATTAAATGACAATTAAATGTGAACACAATTATATACAATAATAAATTAAACGAAAATCCAATGAATTACCGGTATTATTAAATATTGAATAATAATAATGTGAATCGATTGATTAAAAATAAATAATATGAGACAGATATATGAAACAAACATATATTCAATTTTTTGAAAAAATTGTGGCAGTAATCATCGGATCAATCGCTCCACTCCCGTCCGTCCCGTTTAGGGTCACTTTTTCACGTGAATACTATTATAATGTTTGCGCATATTGCCCTTTTCGACAAACCGTTTGTCACAGCCGGGCCACTCGCAACGGTGCGGTTTGTCGCCCCTGTGTATCATCAAATGCATCTCTAGTTTATTGCGGCGGTCAAACTTGGACTCGCAACCGGGCCAACTGCACCCGAATTTTTTGCCACCCGTATGACTGAGTCGATGTGTGGCCAGTATGTGATAGCGATTGCATCGGAATTCACAGCCCTCCCAAATACAGCGAAATACTTGTTCGTTCGTATGGATCACCTTATGTATGGTCAGTGCACGGTTAGCCTTAAATGCCGAATCGCAACCAGGCCAATCGCACTGTAAAGGTCAAGCATATGGGCGAAAAATGCGGTAAATTAAGTGTTCGGATAATATTTGATTGTTTAAACATATACTTTATAGGGACGGTTATTGCTGTGTGACTTTTGATGAGATCGAAGACAATCGGATGATGTGAACGTTGCGTCACAGCCCGGCCACATGCACCTGGAGTTTATGAGTTATTAAAAGTTTCAATTAATTAAACTGTACAATGAGTTTATTACGGTAGTTATTAATTTTTTAAAAAACAAACAAATCCTACTTATAAGGTCTTTCGCCCGTATGATTCATAACGTGTATCTCCAGCCGTTGTTTGGTCATTCCCCGATAGGTACAGCCGGGCCACTGGCATTGGAACTGCTTCTCACCAGAATGTCTCTACCAGGAGATGATTGGAAAAATACAAAAAAAACTAATTGTAAGTATTAATTGTATTAAAAAATGTTAGCTATAAAACTACTAACTTGAAGATGAATATTGAGACCTAATTTAGTTTTGAGGGCCACATCGCAGCCCTCCCACGTGCACCGGTAGCGCCGTTGTTCGCTATGACACGATTTGATGTGAACATCAAGTGTATTGGAACGGGCAAACCCTTTGTTACAGTCGGAAATTGGACAGACATATGGCTTTATAACACAAAAAAAAACAATTAACGGTAATTAAAGACAACTAATTGATAAATATGTAGTTAATACCCGTTCCCCAGTGTGGGCACTGTTGATGTGTTCGCTAAGCATTTTGCTACGCGTGCACCGGTAAGTACAGCCATCGTACGGACATTTAAACGATTGTCTCGGCTTTTTAAGTGCGTCCACATCACTGCACACGGCCTTCGGAATAGTGGATGTCTTAGTTAGTGAATCGCATTTTCGTGGTCTACCTCTGCCCTTCTTGACTACCGTTGACAACAGAAATAAACGATAAAGAAAAACAATTCAACACTTAATTTCACTGACAATCGCAGATACTCTTACCTAAAGTTGTGGTACTATTTAGGACACGACTGGCCATATAATTACCGGTAATACGTGACCTAAACTTTGTATCAAAACTTTTGGTCACTGGTTCGGCATCAGCAGTACCGTTGGATTTCCGTTCATTAAGCGCTTCTGTGTAATCGTTGTTCAGTTGTGTCAACAGGCAATCGGCTTCGTCGTCGGCAATCTTATCATTATCGCCGTTGGCTTTGGCCGAAACAGTGGCCAACTTTTGTTCCAAATGCTCTTTTATACGAACCAAAATATCGTTAACTTTGTTGGCCACCAGTAACTGTTGGATCAGTTTGTCGTTTTCTTTCCTCAGTTGAACCAACTTCTTATTTTTGAGCGTAACAGTCGTCTTGTGTCGTCTGTATTGAGTCAGTTCGCTCTTCAGCCGCTGTATGTCTTGCTTGAGTTGTTGTACTTCTCGAATATGACTGAATCGCATGGATCTGCTCCGTGGCTGTCGGCCGCCGTTACTAATATTTTGGTCAACAATGGATTCGTCACCACCATCACCACCAACAACGACTATTTGACCACTATTTAGACAATCAGCAACTTTATCGACATCATCATCATCATCATGTGTTTGGTCACTAGTGGCCACAGTAAAAACAATCGGTGTCACCAATTGGTGGTCACCATCAACCGTGCAATTGACAACTGAATCGACAATCATTGCTGTTGTTGTGGTCATCGGCTGCGGCGGCGGCGATGATGTTTTGATTTCATCGATAGCTTCCACTTCTTGGACGACAATAACGGTGTCTTCGACAACAACGACCTGATCCATGGCTTAGCCGACTGACTGACTGACTGACACCAGATATCCGATCAGTGATTATCGATAGTGTGGTTCAAAAAAACCATTTAGTAGTGAACTATCAATCAAATAGGTTTGCATTGAAAATATAAATAAACAAAAATATGTTATGAAATACACAATAAAAACAAACTAAAAAAACAAATATTATATGAAATTAGTATTCAATTTGTGTTACAAAAAAACAGCATAAAGTAAACAAATAATGTTTGGTTTAGTGTAAAAAGGGCGTAAACTGTGTGATAGATTATTGCTATTAATAATGAAAAATCAATAATACAGTAGTTGTAAATAATGAGTTATGCCCTTTTAGTTAGAAATTCGTTTCTATGTGTTTCAATGTTTTATTAGTAAAGTTAGATTAAGTTATGTTATATTAAGTTATTTTATATTATATTTAGATTACTTTAAATTATGTTTAAATTCATTTTTATTTTATTTTATTTATTTTTTTTTTTTTTTGATTAATTTTACTTATTATAAAAATATGTCATTTATTATTTTATGGCAATTATGGTCTTAATTTTGTTTTTTTTCTGGTAAAACATTAATACTAAATTAAATGAAAAATATATAACATAGTTATTGTTACAAGTTTGTTACTAAAAAAAAAATATTATTATCATTAATAACATAGTAAATTAAATTCATTAAATTAATTTAATCATAAAAAACATTTAATCACTTTATAAAAAAAATAAATTATCCTATAATAAAAAATTAATAAAATTGTTTTAATTAAAACATTAAAACAATTACCATAGATTATACCCCTGGTGTATAAAAAAATAGAGTTCAATCCATAGATAAAACACAAGTTTTTTTTTGTATCAATCAATGCTCAATAATATCAGTGATTTTCACCCGTCATTATCATTATCACCATCACTGTCATTGTGGTAATCATCGTAGCGTTCAATCAAACGCTCGCTGATTGTCAAACCAATCATCTGATCCCTTAACTGTTGCAAACATTTCTCTCTGACATAGGGATAGGATAACGGATCTAATGATTTTACTTTACTGTAGTATAACATAAAAATTATACTGTAGTATCATATTATGGTAAATAAATTTTATTTAATAAAATATCTCACTATTAATTTAATTATTGGATATTATTAGATATTATAGTATTTGCGTGCAATTCAATTGAAATATTATTTATTGGTTAATGAAATGCTTGACATCACAACTGATTTTCAACTATTTTATTAATTTAATAAAAGTAATTGAAATGTCAGTATTTCTAAGTTATAAACCAAACAAATGGATTGTCACAATACTGATGTCCACAAACTTGTTTCTCATGACAATAATCTTGTGGTCGATTGAGAGTACAATTATAGTTATGTTTGTCGCTCTCGAGCAGAAACAGACTCAACTGGTTGTCTATAACTTCTTATTGATGATACCATTACTGCTCTTTATTATCGCTCTTTACTACGGAATCGTTGCCTCATTGAAAAAGTCTGCTTTTTATCTGAAGAAATATTTATACAATAGTTTTGCCACAATTGCATTCTTTACCATATTTTCAATGTATTGGTTTTTTGTACCGAAAAGTGATTTCAAGATATCAATCGGCAAAAAATCGTTTGATGTCTTATTTAATAAATGGAAAGTTATTCTTGAAAATTGTCTCAAGAATCCCAACCAAACGAATATTATTGACTTTGAAAAAGCAATTATAAAACTCAATCAATTTCAACAAACTTATGATTGTTGTGGTTGGAGATCAATACAACAATATGACAATTACTCGACAACTTGCCATTCAGTATCAGCACTTCCCGATTGTGTCATTGATTATCGATCTAATAATATTAACCAACAATCCTGTGAACTAACACTTAACAGTTGGCAACCATTGTTTGATATCTCTCATCTGTTAATATATGTATCGGTTTTAGTCTTAATTATTATCAATTGTATTGCAATACATATGAGACGAGTAATCATTAAATCTCGACGATTGCAGAGAAATCTCGATTAAACAAATCAAATAAAAACTGGACTAACTTTTCATTGTTTTAAACATTTTAAAAACATTTTTAAATTTCAAAAAATAAAAATAATTAATAAAAATAATATTTTATTATTCAAAAACAATCTCATTTTAGTTAAAGCATATTTTATTTTTTATAAATAACTAATTAATCACTTACGGTAAAGCAAATTACCGACAATAATGATGTTTGAAACAAAATATAGCACTCATGTCATTGTAAAATATTCAATACAATAATTAATGACAAACTAAAAAAAGTATTATTAATATTATTAACATAGTAAATTAAATTTAGTAAATTAATTTAATCATAAAAAACATTTAATCACTTTATAAAAAAAATAAATTATCCTATAAGAAAAAATTAATAAAATTGTTTTAATTAAAACATTAAAACAATTACCATAGATTATACCCCTGGTGTATAAAAAATAGAGTTTTCAATCCATAGATAAAACACAATCAATGTATTTTTGTATCAATCAATGTTCAATAATATCAGTGATTTTCACCCGTCATTATCATCATTGTTTGTATCACAACTGATGGCAATATGTTGACAATGATTGTCGATATCATTATCACCATCACTGCCATTACTGTCATTGTCATTGTGGTAATCATCATAGCGTTCAATCAAACGCTCGCTGATTGTCAAACCAATCATCTGATCCCTTAACTGTTGCAAACATTCCTCTCTGACATAGGGGTATGACAACGGATCTAATGATTTTACTTTACTTCTATTGGCGCTAATTTTGCGGTCCGTTTCTTCAGATATCGGTTCTTGATTTGATTGATGACAATTAATTTCGTTTGCATTATGTTTGTCATTACTGTTGCCATCATCATCGTCATCACCGCAAACCACACTAACAGGTCTATTGTCGTACAAATGAATGCTTCGAAGTGAGGCCACTGTGTCCGTTGTCCGCAAATAGACGGCTTCTTCGCTGACCTGTTGGCGCAAGTAATTGCTGGCCGCGAGACACGACGGACCGCAAAACTTTTCTAATTCGTCTCTTCGGTAAATCTTATTCTTGTTTGTGTCAATTTTGTACACCTGTTTGACTCCAAATCGCTGTTTTCGGCGACCACTAGCCGCCCGAACTTTGGACAATCGGTTCGAGCACATCGGGTAACCGCACTGATCGCATAGTGACCTTTCGGTACAAATGTCGTCGTAGTGACCGCGCGTAATGTATCGACAGGCGTCCAGCAAACGTAACTCGTCAACGATTGCCGATTGTTGGTAATTATCATTATCATCGATGGCCAACATTGATTCAACAATAGTCAGACATCTCCGCTGATACTCCTTTTCGGGTCTCACTTTCGGCAACGGTTGTTTGGCCGTCGGTGTTGTTGTTTTTGTATTATTTTTGATCGCTTTGTTGTCATCTAATTCGCCGTTGCCATTCGTAGTGGTAGCCATGAGTTCCGGTCAGGTGTCCACCGATCACTTCAATTACCGAAAAATTGTTTTGTTGTCACATAAACCAAATGATTGTTTTGTTTATGTTTTTATTATTACATTATTAATAATCACATGTTGTGTTGACTACTCATACATTGTGTAGTGTTTTTAATAGGTATACTGTATTATAAATATGTACTGTACTATTTCAATAGTTTACTGTATATAAAATAAGTACAGTATAGTACAGTATATATATAGTATATAGGTCATTAACCTTTTTTTTATTAAATTATTTATTAAATTTCTATCAATTAACTTGTAATTTCAATAGTATTATTTTTTATTTTTTAAACTTACCCTTGGTTAAATTAGTATCCTATAATAATAATAAAAAAAATCATCATAAAATTTTTACTTCAAAAATTAAATTAATTAAATTTTATCTATATATATATATATATATATATATATAAATTTATATATAAATTTATTTTAGTAGTTTTTACTTTCTGTAATGTTTGTTAAAAAAAACTGATGTTCACATTTAAGTTTAAGTAACTTATATATTAAGTTTATAACAAGTGAAGTACTATTTTATTACTTTATTTTAGGTTAGGTTGGGATGAGTGTAGAGGGTTAGGTTAGGGTTTGTAGGGAAGAGAAGGAACGGGAGGCGAGGACTAGTATCTTATTTTATTAGAAACTTGTTAAATTGTCAATTTTAACAGTGTTTAAAAACTTAAAACAACTAATACATTACATATACAGTATAGCAAACCTGTTCCCGTGCAGAATCATTAGGCTGTGCCGATACAGTTGATCTAATATTTCGTTAATTGATTGTTGTATACATATAATTGTTGTACACCTGTTACAAATCGGATATACAGTATATATATATATATATATATTAAATTCACATTTACATAAAAAATCTCAAAAATAAATATAGTTTTTACTGATTGTATTTGTTTTTTCTAATAATGTTGTTCTGCTATTTCTATTWACGTTTCCGTCCATTTTCATCGTTGTTGTCATCTTCACTCTTCACGTTCTCCATAATCATCAATTAATACCTCCGCCTCATCGATTGGTACATCGAGCGGTTGATCGGCCAGTATATCGATCGGTACATCAAGCAGTTCATTGAGCGGTATATCAAATGGTTCATCGAACGGTAAATCGAACGGGACATCCATCGGGATATCGAACGGGATATCGATCGGTACATTGAGAAGTTCATCGATCTGTACATCGAGTGGTACATCGGCCGGTACACCGGGTGGTACATCGGCCGGTACACCGGGTGGTACATCGGGTGGTACATCGGCCGGTACACCCGGTGGTACATAGGCCGGTACATAGGCCGGTACATGGGGCGGAGCATCGAATTGTTCATCATCAGACGGTTCATCAAAATTCTGGTTAACATTCAATGCCGGCCAGAAATTGGTTACTATCAATGGATCGTTGATATAGTCCTGGTTTGAGATCATTACGCTGTGCCGATACAGTTGCTCTAACTTTTCGAGTGCCAAATAATTGTCGTACAACTGTTGTCGTGTAATGTCCAACCAATTGGCTCTTTCTAGCAACTGATCCATCAATTGCAAGCGTCGGACATCGTTTTCTGCCATTCCATTGGCAAAGCGTTGCAACTCGAGGAGCACTGACACGTAACCACTCAGATCGTCAAACCAGTCGCGATAGACATACATGATGTCCCACACTTCGAACATATTACGCAATTCGGCGGCCATTTCACGGGTAACAAAAAATACCCGTTCGGTGCCGTTGTCCACTTCATTGTAACGCAATACCATTGATTGCCAGCCGTTTAGTCCAATATGTGGATGATTGCCGTGAATACCGCACGAATAAAARGGCAGTTGATAATTTCGGCTATGATTGGTTCGATAGATAACCCATTTGTCTAAAGGTGCGCCTGGATTTACAGGCATTACCAGTAAATTTGGTTCCATAAGGCCTTCATACACAAAACTGTTGGACCAAAGTTGAATAAATTGTAATTCGACGAGCTGTTCTATGGCAATTGGTGGACGATTGGGAAACTGTATGTTTTGAATGCCTGGTTGACCCAAAATGATTGAATAATCGGGTTTAGCGAAGTCGATAAATCTATTGTGCCAATCAATTTGGTAGAGTTGGTTCGGATGGTTTTCAATACTGTTTTGCCAAACTTGCAAATCTTGAATCTCATTGATATCATTAACTTCGACCATCATATCGTCGGTCAAATTTGGATAGTGATGTTGTAACGCCGGAACCGGATATACTGTCGGTTCGGGCATATTTGGTGCATTTTGCACATTAAATTGTACCGGTCTATAGACCATTGCGTGTGTCAAGATTTTCTCCAATCTCACAAATAAAGCCAACATTTCGCCGATCAGACGTATTTCTGCATAATATCTTACCCTAAAGTTATCCAATTCGGGTACATAATAGTTGCGATAACATTGGTATAGTAGATGTCCGATTTCAATGATCCAATTGTTGGCTTCCATACACTGGTGTAATGCTTGTCTTTCGCATATTTGGTGTGAGATTGCTCTGGCTTTTGGTTCGTCTAAGACATATAGCAGTTCTTGGCGCTGATTGTTCGGCCCTTCCTCGTTGACAATGAGTTTTGCTTGTGGACCGCCATCTAAACTTAATCCATACGCATGAACTGATCTGCTTTGACTATTGATGAGTTTGCTTATAATCATACATACTCTGGTCTGTTGATGGTTTACCCATTGACACGAAACTGTTAAGTGATTCTCTAATTTTATATGCCGTTTATTATTCCTATGTCGTACTGTGACAACAATGGGCACTCCGGCTACTTGTAGTACCTGATTCTCCATATGGAGCAACATATCGACATAAGCTCGTCCCTGATTTTCCTCATTGTCTATATCTACCATTGCTAGAGATTGGAAACAATTGTGCGTTTGTGTTAACATTTGATCCAATAGTATCAACTGATGCTCAGAAATCTGATGCAAAATGGCTGGATCTCCGTTGTTCATGACTCAGATGTTTTTATTGGTTCGGTGTCTGTCTGTGTGTGTGTGTGTGTGTGTGTGTGTCTACAGCTCCTGTATGTAATTCTTGTAAGTGTCTTGAATTGTCACTATTGTCTTGAAAATCTATAATTACTTTTATTTTATTTTAGATTATTTTTTTTATATTGTTTGTTTTTAAAATTAAAAAATATATATATATTTAATTTGAAAGTATTAAAGACAACAAAACTTTATTAGATATTTTTTAAATTTTATAAAAAAATAAATAAACATTTAATTAATTAGATGTCTATTTGATTCTAATACAGTGTTTGATTCTCAGTTTAGTATTTCTATATATTTTATACAATTATCTGTATTTATACCCATTTTACCACAATTATCAATTATTATTTATTTAGTATACTTTATACTATTTGATTGTTAATTTTTATAAATTTATATATTTGATTTAAAGTTATTAATGACAATAAAACTTTATTGAATTTTACAATTAAATAGTTTTTTATATTAATGTACTTGTTAAATTTAGTTTTTTTATAAATCTATTTTCTTAATTAGACGTCTATTTGATTATAATATTTGTTGTGACAATACTCTGGCCGATAGTTCATTAATGACATACAATATAGTTTAGTTAATAGTTTAGTTTTTTTACTGATTGTATTTGTTTTCTAATAATAATGTTCTGCTATTTCTTTTTACGTTTCACTCCATTTCCATCGTTGCTGTCATCTTCACGTTCTCTATGACCACCAATTTCTACCTCCGCCACATCAATCGGTACATCGAGCGGTTCATCGATCGGTTCATCGATCGGTTCATCGATCGGTACATCGTCTAGTATATCGATCGGTACATCAAGCAGTTCATTGAGAGGTATATCAAATGGTTCATCGGACGGTAAATAGGTCGAGACATCGATCGGTAAATCGAACGGTAAATCGATCGGTACATTGAGCAGTTCATCGATCTGTACATCGAGTGGTACATCGGCCGGTACATCGTGTGGCACATCGGCCGGTTCACCGGGTGGTACATCGGCAGGTTCACCGGGCGGAGCATCGAATTGTTCTTCATCAGACGGCTCATCAAAATTCAAGTTAATAATCAATGCCGGCCAGAAATTGGTTACTATCAATGGATCGTTGATGTAGTCCGGGTTTGAGATCATTACGCTGTGCCGATACAGTTGCTCTAACTTTTCGAGTGCCAAATAATTGTCGTACAACTGTTGTCGTGTAATGTCCAACCAATTGGCTCTTTCTATCAACTGATCCATCAATTGTAAGCGTCGGACATCGTTTTCAGCCATTCCGTTGGCAAAGCGTTGCAACTCGAGGAGCACTGATACGTAACTACTCAGATCGTCTAACCAGTCGCGATAGACATACATGATGTCCCACACTTCGAACATATTACGCAAATCGGCGGCCATTTCACGGGTAACAAAAAATACCCGTTCGGTGCCGTTGTCCACTTCATTGAAAGCCAACACCATTGACTGCCAGCCGTTTAGTCCAATATGTGGATGATTGCCGTGAATACCGCACGAATGAAAGGGCAGTTGATAATTTCGGCTATGATTGGTTCGATAGATAACCCATTTGTCTAAAGGTGCCCCTGGATTTACAGGCATTACCAGTAAATTTGGTTGCAGACAGCCTTCATACACAAAACTGTTGGACCAAAGTTGAATAAATTGTAATTCGACGAGCTGTTCTATAGCTATTGGTGGACGATCGGGAAACTGTATGTTTTGAATGCCTGGTTGACCCAAAATGATTGAATAATCGGGTTTAGCGAAGTCGACAAATATATTGTGCCAATCAATTTGGTAGAGTTGGTTCGGATGGTTTTCAATACTGTTTTGCCAAACTTGCAAATCTTGAATCTCATTGATATCATTAACTTCGACCATCATATCGTCGGTCAAATTTGGATAGTGATGTTGTAACGCCGGAACCGGATAGAGTGTCGGTTCGGGAATATTAGGTGCATTTTCCACATTAAATTGTACCGGTCTATAGACCATTGCGTGTGTCAAGATTTTCTCCAATCTCACAAATAAAGCCAACA